TATGTAACCTGAGGTATCACTGTATCTGTATTACGGCAATGACTTTATTGGATCAGCCGAAATTTCATGAAATGCTTTGCAAGCTTTTGAATTCTCCAGAACTCTTCATCAGGTTAGAACAGGGGTCAGCAAACTTACTGCACCTCATGGAGTGCCAGAGGGCGGGGGAGCGCATGCCCATACACGTGCGCACACGCTATTTCCAGTGCACTTCCGGGTTGGAGGAGCACCGGAAATAGCTTGTGCGCATGTGCACGGGCCTCCTCCAACCTGGATGTGCACCGGAAATAATGCTTGCACATGCGCACAACTCTTGCGCATGCGCACAATGCTTGCGCATGTGCACAAGCTATCTCTGGTGCTCCTCCGACCCGGAAGTGGGCAGCCGCACAGCGCAGCGCTGGTAAGAGCAAGTGGCGACAGCGGGGGTTGCCGTGGGCTGGATAAACAAGTCCCTCGGGCCTTATCCGGCCCAGGGGCCTTAATTTGGGGACCCCTGGGTTAGAAGGTAAACAGAGCAGTTTCAGGAGAGGAGGTTTCTAGCACAAGAGGACAGAAATTCCTATCCACTGCATGTGGCATAACAAAAGCCACCAGACAATCAACACCATACATGCATTGTTTGAGGCTTCCCCCAAAGAATCCTGGGAACTATAGTTTGTTAAGGGTCTCTTAGCAACTCTCAGGACCTTTAGCAAACTATGGTTCCCAGAATTATTTGGGGGAAGCCCAAAGTGGTAGATAAGAGTGTTTTAAAAGTATGGTGCAGATGTGACCGGTGTATCACTTAAATATTCCTGCATTGCAGGGGGTTTGACTAGATGACCCTCACGGTCCCTTCCAACTCTACAATACTATGATTTCTATGAAACATTTCTTTTTTAAGGGAATCCAAAAGCCATATTGTGCAGGAAATCCACAGGCAGTCTCCATCCGAAACATAGTTTTAGTCCTAAACCTCAGGATAGTGACCCAAAAGACCCAGAAACCCATCCATTGATGTAGCTGCAACTCACTAAGGAAAACACACTCTGCATATGCCCAGAGGCAACCAGCTTTTAAATAGATCTATATGTACTGGGTTTGCATCAGGGTGTTCTAAGCAGCTCTCAGAGTGAAACCCGCCTCAGATAATCAAGCCCTGCCCTAAAAACTTTGCAACCTACCCACAGCTGTGCTGGGGCCACCCAGGGACTCTGACTTCTGGAAGCCCAAATGCGTTCCCATTGCAAGTGTCCCTAGGAGCCCTTGTCCCCATGAGCTCTTCAGAGGAACAGTCAAGGTCCCTATAAATTCTGGTGCTTGATCCTCCAAATCCCGGCAGGAGGTAACCTGAGTCCTTTTTGGCACCGTCAAAAACCCCACAATGGAGCACTTAGAAGAGATAAACAGTCTTGTTTGTTTCAACCCACGAGAATCTGCACTTTGCAAAAAGAAAACAAGCCTTTCTGAATGCCGCTTTGTACATCTTGAAACAAACAAGCTTTCTGTGGGAATGTTCAGGGTGGCAGGAGAAGATATATTATTTATTAATATCCTTCCTAACTTGCGCTAGCAAGTTTCTTTACTTAGCAGAGTTTAAATTCCCCTTTTACATGTACAGCAGATAGCTGGTTGCAAGCTTGTGTGAGCTTCTCACTATTGTGTCAGACTGAATTGTATGTTCCTGGTAAGTTCCCTTGAATGTCTCTTAAAAGAATAAAGACGCCACAATCTTATTCAAAGTCAATAAAAGAAGTTTACTTACATCAGTTCACAGTTGAATCCCTGAAAGCAGACTTAGTCACAAATATGTGCATGTGGATCTACCCCATATAGGGGGATAATCCCAGTGCTCCTACTAGCTGAGAGCTAACAGAGCAGTCCTAGCTAAGAAGCTGGTCAAACGAAGAAGGAAGTGAAAAAGAGGGAGAGGGTGGCAGCATGCCTTGTCCTTTTGTTACCTGGACAGATTAGGCCATGCCCACCTTCAATCACATGCAAAAGGAAGGATGCTCCAGCCAGGAGGAACAGGAAGTTTTGAATGGCTGGACCAAACATTCCCTCGCATGTCTTCTCTAGCATTTCAAGGAATGTTGTACTTGACCGCTCTCAGTGGATTACATCCAGGGCCGTCTTAAGCATATCCGGCACTGTGGTTCAAAGATCCCTCCGGCGCCCCCCGTTTCCCAGGGTTGCTCTCCTCCTGCGGAGGCTTGGGAAGGAAGCCATATAGTTGGTGTGGCGCAGCTTCCATCCTAAACCTCTGCAGGGATCGCTCTCCTCCCACTGAGGCTTTGGAGGCAAGCTGCACGCCCGCCAGCCATATGGTTGACGGGGCACGGCTGGCGGGCGTGCAGATAAAGGGGAGGCCGCTGGTAAAGCCGCACAGCTTCCCCACTCGCTGGGGCACCCCGAGAGGCCAGCGCCCTGGCGCACAGCACCAGTAAGCCCAATAGGAAAGACGGCTCTGGTTACATCCCACACTTTCTTGACATTTCCTTGTCACTGATTTCTTCATCGCCTTTCCAACAACCGGCTCAAGGCAATGCACACAACAGATGGTTAAAAACAGTTAAGGTTCACATAATTGTAGAGTTGAAATGGACCACCCAAGCATACAGACCAACCCCTTGCAGTGCAGGAATCGCAGCTAAAGAATTCCTAGCAGATGGTCATCCAGCTTCTGTTTAGAAACCTCCGATGAAGGAGCGTCCACCACCTTCTGAGGTGGTTAAAAGCATAAAAGCAAATGCATTTAAACTGAAGCTAAAACTGTACAAATTTGCAATGGGTGGGCACTCCAGGAGTGTACCCCAAATTTCCCCAAATTGCAGAGAAAGACTGTCCACTGGAGGCAGCTATTTCCCAGAGGAATTTGTCTTCTCTCACTGGCCTTCTTGTTCAAGAGCCCAAATCAACTTCCAAACAATTGTGGTTAGATTACTGCAATGCACTCTGTGTGGGGCTTCCGTTGAAGATAGCCAGGAACTACACCTGGGAGAGAATGCGGTTCCCTAGCTGTTGGGGGGCGGGCAGCAGGGTTGGATAGTGAAATGGAATTACCCAACATAGATCTCGAAGGCGCTGCAACTGGACCCAATTCAGGATTGGAAAGGTTGCAGCATTTGGGATTTTTTGAGTCTAGGGAAAAGGCGAATAAGAGACAGCATGACAGCAGTTTATAAAATTATTCCTGGCATGGAGAAAGTGGGTAAATAATAGGTTTTCTCCCTCTCTCATAACACTAGAACTGGTGGGAAATTTGGGGGGAAATTCTGCCCCACATCAGAGGAAGCTGCTGAGCTCAGTTTACCTCCTAGCCTGATCCCCGTTCTTGTTACCCTGCAAATCCCCACAGACAGACTTGGGGTGGTGGGGCAGGGGCAAAAGATTTCTATTCAGGGCAGCTGTCAATTTAGCACAGTTAATGGTGACATTTGTGGCTTGCCAGTGGAGACACTCACTGCACCAGAATGTTGACAAGGTGGATGAATACCCAGCTGAGCGGTGGCATGCGCTATTCTCCCCCAGATCCCCTGGCACCAGCTCTGAATTTTTCTTCTGCAATCCACCCTGTCACCCACTCCGCTTGCAAAGGCCCACCCTCAGTTGCATATCTTAATTAAAGCATATCTGGCCACAGAGACCTTAAAAGACTCTAGGTGGGCTCCCTCCTTTTTTCATTGAATTTTCCAGCTGGCTTGGCTTGCCTCTTCCCCACCTAATTTAGTTGTGATGCTTGCATTGTGGGGAGTTGGACCAGGCGACCCTCTTACAGGAATTTACAACAACCCTATGATTTGGTTTCATTTTAGTTAGGAGAAAAGAAGCATTGCTGCCTCTGGCCGTGGAGGAAGAGCATAGCCACATCAATAGCTCCTCCATGAATCTGTCCAATGCTCTCTTGAAGCCATCAAAGTCAATGGCCTTCACTGCCCTCCTGCAGGAGCGAATCCCATTCAGCTCTCCACTGCCTAAAGATGGACTTCCTTTTAGCGGTCCTGAATCTTCCAGGATTCCATCTGAAGGAAACAGCTCTCCTCTTTGCTGAGCATCCCAAGGAGGTTGGCAGTCCAAGGTAGACTTCTTCTTAACTTGGAGGCTCTACTTCTCTGCGATGTCTTATAGCCAGGGATGGGCCTGCAGAAGAACCTCTTGGCCAAGCAGCTTGCCATCTAAAGGGGCCACCCAAGGATGAATTCATCCCTTCGCATCTATTTTTTTTAAATTGTCTACATCTTACCCAGAAGCACAGTTTGATTTTTTACTTACATTCATTTTGTCAACTTAAGCAGTAAATACCAGCATTGCTTTAAGGCCTAAGTAACTTTTCTTTGGAACTCTTGATCCGTTCTGAACTACATTATACTATACTTGGGGTTGGACTAGATGACCGTTGGGTGCCCCTCCCAAATCTACAATTCTATGATTCCTTATCCATGCATGCCTGGAAAGAATATAAGATCAGGGTTCTGTAGATAGGGAGCAATAAAGCGGGCAGTCTGTTTACACAACAAATGTTAAAGAAATAGTAAAATGTCACAGTCAGAATACTTAATAGTGCAAAGATTTTTGGGACAAAAATGAATCTATTTCTCTGTTATCCCTGACAAATAAACATCTCCCCCTGCATGGATTTGTTCCCCCCCACACACCTTAAAAACAAACTATGGTCTTTCGGTTCCTGCTGCTTAAAGCTTTCCCTATGCTTAAACCATGTTGCAAACCGCTGCGGCACATTTTTTTTTTTTACGACGCAGCGGTATATAAATGCTTTTGCAACTAAAGAAATGCGCTCTGCACCTGCTCAGAGGCACGGTGGGAGAGCTAAGTCCCAGGTGACCTCTAGGCGGCGCTACGCCGGGCGCTTCTCTGGCTCCGCAAACAATTTAACACCCCCCCCCGCCCCCGACTTTGCTAAAAATACAGTTCGGTCTCTTTAATGGAGAGCTGGGCGATTTGCTCTCTCTCTTTCTTTTCAAATGGCTTTGATTGACAGCCTCCTTCCCCCCCCCCGCACCGAGGGGCGGGGCCGGGCTTAGGCAGGCAGCGGCCGGCGGGCGGCGGGACTCAGTGGCCACCTGTGGGACCAACCGAGGCGGCTCCTCCCGGCGCGATGGGGCGCGATCGGACGCTTCGGCTGCAGTTCGGGAACCGGATCGAGGTGGTTTGCGTGGTGGGCACCCGCCTCTGCACCGACGTCTATGGGTGAGGCCGCCTATACTTCCATCTCCCCCCCCCAAAAAAAGTTTTGCATCTTCAGAAAGGGAACCCCCCCGCCGCACCAGAAGGACCCAGCACGACTTTCCAGGGGATTCTCCTGCGCGCGCCCTAAGTCTTAGGTCCTTTGGATCTCTCCTTCCCAAATAGCCCCACCCCCAAAAATTGCATCCTCCGAAGGGGACCCCCGCTGCTGCATAAAAGCACCCCCCGAAAAGCACATTTCTTTTCGATTCCCATCCTCTATTTAGCCCAGCATCTGCTGCCACCCCCCAGCAAGAAATCCTTTTCAAAGCAACCCCTTCCTATATTGACACCCCCAACCCCCTGTTGGTTTTGCTGCCGGACCCTCACTATTACCCACCCCACCCCCATGCTGACACCTGCCTATCCTCACCCATATTCCTTTAGTTCTGGCAATCCCCCCCCCACTTTCTAATCACCCTCCCAGCAAAATGTCTCTCCACCATCTTCTTAGGTGCAAGCAGCCTCCTTTAGCATCACCTGTTATTGCCAGATATCGGTGCTCCGATTTTCATTTCCCTATATTTGGGAGCTGCACCCCACCCCTGCTGCCGATATTTCCTGAGTCTGGAGAAACCCCCTGCTCAGTGGCAGAGCAGCTGCCTTGCATGCAGAAGGTCCCAGGTAGGGCTGGGAGAGGCTCCCTACACGAAATTCTTGGAGAGCTCAGTACAGATTTTTGTTTCAAAGGTGGTGGTTTGCCACTGGAACCCCCTTCCGATGTGCTGCATTTAAAACCTGGACCCCCACCTTCCCCTAAGGCATGGGTAGGCAAACTAAGGCCCGGGGCCGGATCCAGTCCAATCGCCTTCTAAATCCAGCCCTTGGACGGTCCGGGAATCAGCGTGTTTTTACATTAGTAGAATGTGTGCTTTTATTTAAAATGCATCTCTGGGTTATTTGTGGGGCATAGGAATTCGTTCATTCTCCCCCCAAAAAAAATAGTCCGGCCCCGACAAGGTTTGAGGGACAGTGGACCGGCCTTCTGCTGAAAAAGTTTGCTGACCTCTGCCCTAAGGCCTCTCGGAAACCTTTCAGAATTATTTGCTGAGGAGTAGTGGTATGAAAAGTCTGTCTTTAGTTGGTGAAGTGGTCTGCAAGGTTCTGGCTATACAGAACTATTTCTCACTTGCAGCTTCGAAGCTGTGCTTAGGAATGCCTGCAGCTCCTTTAAGTGACTTGGCTCATTGATGAAACACTAACATGACTGGGAGCCCCATGGGGTGTCTGTAGGAGAGGAGGCGTAAAGCAGCCAAAAGCAAGTGTTGGGCTAGGACGTGGGCGTCCCGAGTTCAAATCCAGATCAGCCATGCGAAGCTTACCTGGTGACCTCGAAGGCCACTCACTGTCTCTCAGCCTAGCCTACCTCACAAGGTTGCTGTGAGGATTAAGAACAGGGAGGGGAAAACCTTGAGGAAAGGTGGGCTGTACATGCAATGATAAATTTAAGTGAATAATGGAGCATGCCTCGCTCACACCTGATGCCTTGTATATTCAGCTGTTAGCCAACGAAGTGTTACTCAGAACAGGCCCATTGGAGCTGAGTTAGCCATGTCCATTAACTTCAACTGGTCTGCTCTCTGAGCAGGAGTGGAACTTGTTACAGCCTATGGTTTTTGATAGCCACCTTCATGTTTGGTGTGACGCAGCGTCCTGTGTTAACCTGCAGTTCTGCCGATTCCTCCACCTGCGGCTCATTGGGGAGATCCCCCTGCTGTATTTTTCCACGGAAGTGTGATCTTTCCTGGAAAACTGGAGCCTGCTTTGCCTTGGACTCTTAGCTGTGGTTCTCAGCACCAGGACACCTCCTATACTAGGATGGGGCTCTGATTTCCCCCCCCCCATAGAAAAGGGGGTTATTGATGAGTACTGTACCCGATGGTTTTGCTCTGCCCTCCACATTCAGACGCAGCCATGCTTCTGAATCCCAGTTACTGGAAACGGCAGGAGGAGAGATTTGCTCTTGCGTTTGAATCATTCTACTTGTGGGTTTGGGGCACCAGGTTGGCCACAGGATGCTGGACTAGATGGGCCACTGGCCTGATCCAACAGGCTCCTCTTACTTACTTCTTTTCCCCATTATCCACTTTCTTTTACTCCTGCCCTGTGGCAAAACTTCTCCTGTGGTCAGCTCAGCCACCCAAGCAGCTGTTTGAGGTCAACCCGGGAATCCTTTCCCTGAGCATGCGAGTGTTGAGATTAAATCTCAATCCTTCAAATTCCTGCTCAAGTAAGGGGTTTCTTGGTGCCGTGAGTGGGTGCCAGAGATGGAGAGAGTGACCTGTCATCTCTGTCTCTGATGAGGGAGGGCTGTCAAGAGCCATGTCTTCAGCACAGAGGTTTCAATGACAAATATATATACAGGATATATATATTTAAAACCCTTTAGGCTTTCCAGACTCCCGCATGCTTTTCATGTCTTTGAACCGCCTGGAAATGACAAGCCCGTTGGTTCCAGGTGTATGAGGGTCAGTGGTGAGAGAGCAACACTCTGCATATGCTCAGGGGTGCGCTTCCTTTAGGGTGTAAGGTTGTACATTTCAGGAGCAGAACAGAGCTTTGGGGATGGTTCTGCTGCTAAATTCTAACATGCAAGGGAGCACAATCCTGTGCATGTTTTCTTCCTGAGTAAATCCCACTGTGTTCAGTGGGGCATACTCCCAGCACAGCATGCATCCAGTGACACTCTTTAGTTCAGATTTCACAGCTCTTTTACCTGCAATGGCAAACATTGTTTGTGTGCCATTGTGAGAGGTGACACTTTCAAACCAAACATCCTCCTGGGGTTTGAAATGGTCTAGGTTGTGGGTGGGGACTTGTTGCCATCTGTCATGGATGCTTTAGCTGAGATTCCCGCATTGTAGGGGGTTGGATTAGATGCCCTTTGAGTTCTCTTCCAACTCTACAATCCTATGATTCTATGAATGTTGTTAGACTAAAACTCCCACAATCCCTGATGGTTGGCTGGGCTGGCTGCTGGGAGTTGAAATCCAGCAATAATACCTGAAGGGCTGTCACTTGCCTTCAATGCTCTCGGCTACCTCCATCTCTGCTCTACTGTTTTCTAACGTAAGGATGGGGGACCTGTGGCCCTCCACCTCCCATCCTCTGACCATTAACCAAACTGGTTGCTGAGGCTTATCAGAGATAAAGGTAAAGGGACCCCTGACCATTAGGTCCAGTCGTGACCAACTCTGGGGTTGTGGCGCTCATCTCGCTTTATTGGCTGAGGGAGCCAGCGTACAGCTTCTGGGTCATGTGCCCAGCATGACTAAGCCACTTCTGGTGAACCAGAGCAGCACACGGAAACGCTGTTTACCTTCCCGCCAGAGCGGTACCTATTTATCTACTTGCACTTTGACATGCTTTCAAACTGCTAGGTTGGCAGGAGCAGGGACCGAGCAACGGGAGCTCACCCCGTCGCGGGGATTCAAACTGCCGATCTTCTGATCGGCAAGTCCTAGGCTCTGTGGTTTAACCCACAGCACCACCAGCATTGTCTGCAGGGCCACAGGGTCCCCACTTGCCTTCACTGCCTCTGGCTCCCTCCATTGCCAATCTGCCTTTCCAAAGGCAGGGGTGGGCAACTTTAATGTCTCATCATCCCTGGTGACTGTTGGCCAGACTGGCTGCTGGGAACTGGGGTCCAATAGCACCTGAAGGGCGTTGGGTTCCCCATCCGCAAACTAGACCCTCACTTGCCTTTACTGCCCCTAGCTACCACCATCCTTGTCGTCATCCCTGACTATAGACTAGGCTGGCTGGTGCTGGCAGGAGTTGGGAGTCTAACAACACCTTGAAAACCACAAGCTCCCCATCTCTGGTCTTAACTGCCTGTAGCTACCTCTATCACCACTTTGCCTTCTTCTAATGCAAGGATGGGCGACCTGCAGTCCTAGGACTTCAAAGCATTTAACAGTCAGTCGCTCTAGAAAAGCATTTTGCACAAGCTCAGATTACTATCTTACATCTAAGTGGGGAACTTCAGGTGCATTTTGCACCTGGCTGTCGGCCACTTGCAACCAAGCCAGGATGGCACCTGACATCTCCACCATCTGGAGGTGCATGCCTGGGGATCCTTGGATCTTGACTGTTTTCGCACACTAATGCTTTGTCCTGTAGAATTCTATCTGTTCTATTTTATCTGCGCAGTCAGAATGAATTTCAGGAACCAAAATGCTTTTTCTGTGCAGCTGGAGCAGGAGCAGTGAACAGCGTTATAGTTAACTGTTGTCGCTTGTCTTCACTTCCCCCACTCCAATGCCCTGCTCACAGTTGTGAAGAGTATTTCTATGTTATGAATGGTCCGTGTCACCATTAAGAAAAAGAGGTCTGAACTGGCTAATATATATGTGGACTGTCCCTGGATCAAGTGACTTTTCTCAAAGTTCTTAACCTACCTCAAGATTGTCACCTTAACTAGCCAGATGTTTAACTGAGAATCAATCACAGTCAGTTCATCGTTTAAAAAATAAGAGCCGCCCCAAACTTGCAACTAGACATTCCATTTTGGCGACTGCAACCTTGGTTTAAGGAGCCATTTGGCACCTAGATTATATATCTGAGTTTCTAAGAATGGGAAGAGACATTGGGGCTCAAGGTTGCCTTGAAACCTATGCTCTGTAACCTCTCATCCCGAATCCTAGATGTAGAAGCTGGTAGTCTGGTTGCTTGGTGGCTATGAATAGTGGGCAGCTTGCACATGTTCAGAGGTCTGTTTTGTTAGCTGTTTGTTTCGGGGTCCCGTCCCTTGCTTTGAAAACTGGCTCTGGGGGCTGAGCTGTATTGAGATGCCCCTTTACCCATTGCCTGCCTGTATTTTTAAACGGTCATCCATCCAGAGAGAACCCAGTAATCCTTTGTAAGCCTCGCCTGTCACTGCAAATGCTTGTTTGCAGCTGATTGTCCATTGTCCTGCTCACTGAATGAGGCGTTTATGCCAGGCTTTCTGCCAGGGGCATTTGCAGATGGCACGGTCACCCTTTGTGTGATCTGTGCGTGTGTTTTAAGCAGTGGAGTTGCCAAGTCAGTTATGCCATTGGAAGTGGAATTCAGAGGGCTTTAAAGAATGCTTGTCTCTGCAGGATAATTTTTCTCCCTTTCCGATACTAAAAACACCCAGACTTCTGTGCTTAATCTTTATTATGTTTTGCTGGCCTGGAGCATAGTCGTAGCTCAGGGACAGGACATCTGCCTTGCATGCAGAAGGTCCCAGGTTCAATCCTTGACATCTCCAGGCACATCTTGAGAGAGACCCCCTGAGTCTGAAACCCTGGAGGGCCGCTGCCTGTCAGAGAAGACAATGCTGGGCTAGATGGACCAACAGTCTGACTCACTGAAAAGCAGCTTCTTAGTTAGCCCTGCGTTCAGAACCATGGGGACTGGAATCTTGCTCAATTTTATGGCAAGGGTTGCAGCTCAGTGTGCCCAGCTTCACTTCCCTCTGGCAGCATCTCCAGCATTTTTAAAATTGCATTTTATATGTGTTTGTGCATTGAGTGCAAATCATAAAGAATCTGCTTTGATTGCATAGGTCAGATCGAAGGTCGTGCAAAGAGCACCTTTAATACAGTCTTGGTGCCTGTTTGGGAATGTAGTTGAATGAATGCAAATCCTTTTAAAAAATTACTCCGATTTCTTTCGTTTATGGGTGATATATTGGGGAAGATTCTGGGTGGCATCTGAAATCTCATTTTTTTGGCTTTTCAGAGAGCAGGGCTAGGATGTCAACTGCCAAGAGCTTTTGGGGCATGTCGACAAGACATCAGTCCTGGGTGTAACCAAGGAGGAAGCTGCGTGCTGCAAGCAGCGGGTTCCAACTGCCCTGGGGTTTCTCATTATCAGCTTCAATCTGCTGTGTCAACTGCTGCAGCTGCCCCTCTCCTCACGACAAGGAGTTGCAGTGGGCTGGTGCAGGCACTCGGGTCCCTTGCTAATGCAGAATCCAGCTGCCGCTGTCAGGGGTCTAGTTGACGCAGCATTTAAAAATAGATGTGGGAAGCTTAGGGGTGTTATGCAATGGCTCCCAAAAGGGTGAAGTGGGTGGGTCGGCCAACCACCAAAGATCCAAAAGAGGAAGGGGTTCAGGTTACTTTCCCTGACCTTGAAGCCCATGGCTTCACTACAAAAGCAAACCTGAGGCTGGGGTGTGTAGAAATCAGGGTGCTTAACAATGATAATCGCATTCTTCGGAGATCGTATTTTCTTAAACCGGTGTCATCTGGCGGTTCATGTTCAACACAGCTTGTCCTGGTTTGTAGCAGAGCCAGGGTCCTTGCTTTGAGGGTCGCAGCTCAGGTTTGGCAGGGCCCAAGAAGAGTTGAAATCTTGAGTCTTGCAAGGAGAAGCTGTCGGTTGGACAAGGAATGTGTCCCTCAAAGCAATCCAAAGGAGAAGTGGGGGGGAGAGAAAGAGAAACACAAGAAGTAACTGGCATATTTTATTGGAATCATATAATTGTAGAGTTGGAAGGGACCCCAGGTATGATAAGAAATTCAATATTACCGTATTGGCCTGAATATAAGCCTGACTTTCCCCCCAAATTCCAACTGTGAAAAGTTAAAGCGTGGCTTATATTCGTGACCTTACAGTATGCAGCCAGGAGCGTGGGGCGCCGGCAATGCAGCTTTGCTCCCACCCCCCCAGTATTCAGCCAGGAGCAGCATGGAATGGAGCTGCTTATATTTGGGTATTTTTTCTTTTTCTCCCCCCCCCCCCTCCAATTTTAAAGGTTCGGCTTATATTCGGGTGCGGCTTATATTCGGGCCAATACGGTATTTCTCTGTTGTTGGTGTATGTTTTGAAATAAAAAAATTCTTATCTATATAATAAATGTTCATAACTGCATAAATAAACCACATGTCTGAAACCCCACAGAAAAAGTCCTGAGACCATTTTGTCCCTCCCACATTGACCTCAAAAATTTCTCTGCAAGGTCGAAGGAAAAGGGAAGAGCCTCCCCATTGTCTTTTCCTTCACAAATCCTGTCTTAAGGGTATGTCTGTGTATGAATAGGGTGAGCCTGTGACTTGGCTCAGGAACTAAGTATTTATCATTACAAAAGACTGGCCAGGCTCCCCAGGGTTTCCAATCAAGTGACCATTAACAGGTAATATGCCAGACAGGAGATAAACATTGCACTCAGATTTGCATTCAGATTTCTGTTGTAGACTGCCTCTTCTGTGATGTAGGTATGATGTTTCTGGGGGTGGTCTTGGACTCCAGGGCGGGCAATTTAAAATGTCTATATAAGGGCGGGCACACCTTTGCTCTGGGTCCTCCTCCTTCTCCTGTGTGTGAAGGGGGCACCCTGTTGCAACAGTTCAATAAAAGATCAGGCTTACGAGCTGCTTTGCTTCTCAATATTCTCTGATTGGCCTCTGTTATTTTATCCGACCAATGGAGAACCTGCAAAGGACTCTATAAGGGCTCTTGTGTCCCCCATAAGGGAATAAGGGCAGATTTTTGTTTATTACAGTTTCTATTGCGGTTGGGAGGGCTGGAGTCCGTATTCTGCCTTTCTTGAAGCTTCAGGAGTCGCCTGAAGCTTCAGATTTTGCACCTGGCTATCGGCAACTTGCAACCAAGTGAAGATGCCAGGGCTCCAGGATAGTGCCTGAGTATCTGCACAATCTGGAGGTGCCTTTCTGGGGATCCTTGGGTCTTGCCTGTTTTCACACACTAGCAACACAATCATGTAGAACCAAAAAGTCATACTGAAAAACGTGACTTTAGCGCTGTCTGGCCCCCAAAAATGGCAACTAGGCATTCTGTTTTGGCAACTGTAACTCTGATTTAAGGAGCCATTCGGCACCCAGCTTATATATCTGAGTTTCTCACACTGTCGCCAGGTATATATAGGAAAGGGCGAGGAAGGAGGCGGAGCTCTGCACATCATGCGAAGTCTGCTGCGGACCGTACAGCTGTGGTGGCAGTAAATCTCTCCCGCTAACAGAGACATCTTTGGCTCTCCTGGCTTGGAGTCTTTTCCAGCACATGTGTGCAAGATTAAATTCGCCTCTCTTTCAAGGGTTGAGTTCTCCCAGAGTAGGATTGCTCCTTCCATGCCAGCTGACAGACCTGGCGAGTGGAGGATGAAAGGAGGTGCAGTGGGGAAAGCTGCCGGTCAGTGTAGACGACACTAGATGAGATGGACCGATAGTCTCTTTCTATACTCCTGTTTAAATCAGCACTTCTGTCAGAACAATGAGGACTAGAAGCTTGCTTTATTTTTAAAGAAAAGACCATGGCTCAGTAGGAGAGCACCTGGTTTGAATGCGGAAGGTCCCAGGTTTGATGCCTCAGAGGGTCTAAAGACTTCCTGTCTCTAACAACAACAACAACAACAACAACAACAACAACTAATAATTTATTATTTATACCCTGCCCATCTTGTTAGGTAAATCTACCTAACATGCTTATGGGGAGGCCCCCATAAGCATGTTAGGTGGGGTTAGATCTTTCATGGACTTCATCTCTTGTTTGTAAATATGCTACTTTTGAGCAAATAAAGTGATATTAGGAAAGAAGAAACGTGTGGGACTTCTTTTACTGCCCTTTCAACACGGACGCTGTGCAGTTCTGCTAATTGCTTTACGACCTGCAGAGGCGTGCAGGGGAAGTGTGCCGGACGCCGAACAATAAAGCAATAAATCTACCTAACACATCTGGCTGGGTTTCCCTAGCCACTCTGAGTGGTTCCCAACAGAATATTTAAAACACAATAAAACATCAAACATTAAAAACTTCCCTAAGCAGGGCTGCCTTCAGATGTCTTCTAAAAGTCAAATAGTTGTTTATTTCCTTGACATCTGATGGGAGGTCGTTCCTCAGACCTTGGGGGGGGCAGACTATATATTTGGGGGGGGAATGAATGAATTCCTATGTCCCACAAATAACCCAGAGATGCATTTTAAATAAAAACATGCATTCTGCTCATGTAAAAACATGCTAAATCTGCAGGCCGGATTTAGAAGGCAATTGGGCCGGATCCCGGCCCCCGGTTCCTTAGTTTGCTTACCCATTGTTTAGGGCTTTAAAGGTCAGCACCAACACTTTAAATTGTGCTCACAAATGTACTGGGAGCCAATGTAGGTCTTTCAGGACCAGTGTTATATGGTCTTGGCGACCGCTCCCAGTCACCAGTCCAGCTAGAGAGCTGTTTCTGCCAGTCAGTGAAGTCAGTCATGTGCTAGGTAGACTGATGGGCTGGCTCAGTAATAAGGCAGCTTCCTCTGTTCTTATTTAAATTGACTCACCCTTCAAAACCATGATGACCGGAGTCTTCCTGTTGTGCACCAACTGCAAGCAGCAAGAGACTCCGGGGGTTCCAGGTGCTTCCCGGGGAAAAAAGATGGAGGAGGAAGAAGAGGAAAATCAAAGCTTGGGCAATGTTGTGGCTGTGACCAGAGAATGAAGTCAATGCAAATGCAGATTGTAGGCTCTCTGGGACAAAGACTGGGGGAGTTTCAGGGTTCTGTGCCGGACCTGCAAATACCCAGTTTCACATAACCACCCTCTTTCTGCCTGCTCCCTTACAGAGCAGCTCCTGCTGATGCAGTCACATTCGCCGTGAAGCACTCGGATGATGTTGAGGTCGAAATAATCAGCGACGGCCAATCAGAGCATGCCCCTGCCAACGGCGGGAAGCAGTGGCCTCTGGACCCCAAGACCACCTTGAGTATACAGATGACGCGTCCCAGCACTGAGGCCAATGACAACAAAGTAAGAGACATTCCCACACTCGTTGCTTCCCTGGTAGGCTCAGTTTTGCATTCCAAGCAGGGGCAGCGTTTAGCAGTGGTTCCTGCGTTGCAGCGGGTTAGACTAGATGACCCTCAGGGTCCCTTCAAACCATACAGTTCTATGATTCTTTAGCTGTGATTACTGCACTGCAAAGGCTTTGACTAGATGGCCCTTTGGATTCCCTTCCCACTGTACAATTCTGTTACAGTGGTACCTCAGGTTACATACGCTTCAGGTTACATACGCTTCAGGTTACATACGCTTCAGGTTACAGACTCCACTAACACAGAAATAGTACCCTGGGTTAAGAACGTCGCTTCAGGATGAGAACAGAAATAGTGCTCCGGCGGCGCAGCAGCAGCAGCAGCAGGAGGCCCCATTAGCTAAAGTGGTGTTTCAGGTTAAGAACAGTTTCAGGTTAAGAACGGAATGCATTAAGTTCTTAACCCGAGTTACCACTGTATTCTACAAGTATCAGGACTTGCAGGATTTCCATTTACAAATGCACAGCTTGATCAGGACAGGTACCAAGCAGCCAGGCACATGGCGAGGCAGGGATGGGGGCCTTTGCTGAGCAAATGCAAACGCTGCAGTTTAAATTCACCTTTTAGGGAGCATCAGCTGCCGCTGAGTAAACATGCACCATTCTTCTTGGCAGTTGTGCGGGGCAAAAGTGTAGGGTCATGTGAATCTATTGTTTCAGTTCTGCTTCCAGCTGATTGCAAAACTGAAATCACCCTTGGTGTCTCTAAAGGGGCCGTGGTGTGGCAAGGGCTGTGGTTTTCTGCCAGTCCCCTAATGATGCAAGCTTCATCCTCAAAAATACCAAGGCTGGCAGTTATTTTCCTGGCATAGAGACTGGAGAGCTCTAAGCTCGGAAGGACTGGCGGTGAACATGCAGCTGACCCTTATCTGGCACAACGTATCCTTGGATCCCTTTTCCATTTCATAGGATTGTAGCATTGGAAGGAACCCTGAGGATCATCTAGTCCAACCCCTGCAATGCAGTAATCACAAATGGCCACGCAACCTTTGCTTTAAAACTGCCAAGGAAGGGGAATCAACCACCTTCCAAGGGAGGCCATTGCGCTGTCGAACAGCTCTTGGTGTCAGAAAGTTGTTCATTTATTGTAACTTGAATTTATTGGTTCTGATCCTACCCTCCAGAACAGGAGAAAACAAGCATGTTCCCTCTTCCATGGGACAGCCCTTAAGATAGCTGAAGATGGCTATCGTATCTCCTCTCAGTCTCCTCGAGTCTAAACATACCCAACTCCTTCAACCATTCCTCATAAGGCTTGGTTTCCAGACCATCATCATCTTGGTCACCCTCCTCTGCAAATCTCCCAGCTTGTCAATATAGTTCCAGATTGACTCTTTGGCTTTTCAAAACTTTAACTCTGCATTGTACGTTCTTTCCTTCCTCAGGTAACTGTGGGCTATTATGGTGAGAATGGAGGCCACCCCATTGACCAAGCTGGTGTTTTCCTGACGGGAATTGGTAAGTATGAAGATGTGCTCTCCCCCTCTCTTTCTCTGTCTTTCCCCCTAGGATCATAGAGTAGGGAAGGACCAGATGGCCTTCCAAACTCTGCTTAGAAACCTCCAGCGAAGGAGTGTCCACAACCTCCCAAGGCAGTCCATTTCACTTTCTAAAGGTCTTGCTGTCAGAAAGTTCTTCCTGATGTTGAGATATTTGAGAGACAGCTATCCTGTCACCTCTGTCTCCTCTTTTCCGCGCTAAACATATCCAGATCCTTCAACCATTCCTCATCTGGCTTGGTTTCCAGACGCTTGATCATCTTGGTTGCCCTCCTCTGCACGCATTCCAGCTTGTCAATATCCTTCTTAAATTGCTGTGCCCAGAATTGGATACAGTATTCCAGGTGTGGTCTGACCAAGGCAGAACAGAGTGGTACGATTACATCGGGACACTAGACTTCTGTTGATGCAACCTAGAATAGCATAAGCTTTTTTTGCTGCTGCATCACACTGTCATGTTAAGCTTGTGGTCCACTAAGACCGCTAGATCCTTTTCACATGTCCTACTGGCAAGCCAGGTGTGTTCCCCATCTTATATTTGTGCATCTGGTTCTTCCTGCCTAAGTGCAGAACCTTACATTTGTCCCTGTTGAAATTCATTTTGTTAATTTGGGCCCAGTTCTCCAATCTGTTAAGGTCATTTTGAATCCTGATTCTGTCTTCTGCGGCATTAGCTACCCCTCCCAGTTTGGTGCCCTCTGCAAAGAGGAATCTTTTGTCACCCCACCAAGGAATTGTCGTCCGACGCAGCTAAGAAGCTTCCAGTGTTGGAGGCTGCCATTCTTCTGAATCTCAGTTGCTGGAGGGCAGAGGGCCCTTGTGCTTGGGTCCTGTTTGCAGACTTCCCATGGGGGTATCTGGCCGTCGAGTGTGAGAACAGGATGCTGCGTTAGATTGGCCATCGGCCTGATCCTGCAGGCTGTTTTTAGGATCTTTCTTACGCTATGCTTTTATCAAGCGGTTTTAAACTCTTTCTAAACAAAACAACTCTGAGCTGGCACCCTGGAATTCCTGGCTGCATCTGGAAGAACCTACCAGTACTGGTTGTGGAGGCGGTGGAGCAATTTTTATCTACAGCCGTACCTTGGTTCTTGAACGGAATCCGTTCTGGAAGTCCATTTGACTTCCGAAAAAGTTTGAAAACCAAGGCGCTGATTCCGATTGGCTTCGGGAGCACGTTCAGCTTCCGAAAAAAGTTTGCAAACCCGAACGCTCACTTCTGGGTGTGTGGCGTTCGGGAGCCAAAACGTTCGAGTCGCAAGGAGTTCGAAAACCAAGGTACGGCTCTGGCCTTTTTTGTGAAAGCAGGGAGCTCCTTCCACCCCAGCTGTGCTGGCTCTTGTGGCCGTCGCTCCAGAGAAACTGTAGCCGTGAGCGTTGTCCCTCTGGTCTCCAAGGCAGCAGTGAAAACAGCTCTCCAGCAATGTCGGGGTTGTCTCACATGATGGGTCCGGATGCCGTCGGGAAACCGGATAGTTGGCCCTCCTTGAAAGGTGGATGGGTGGGTGGGGTGTATGTTACTGGACTCTTGAATCAGGCTAGTGAGGACTGTCTTACACACACACACACACACACACACACACACACACACAAGCTTTGTTACTTATTCTTAGAATCATAGAATTGTAGAGTTGGAAGGGATCCCTGAGGGTCATCTAGTCCAACCCCCTACAATGCAGGAAGCCCAACTGAAGCATCCATGACAGATGGCCTTCCAACCTCTGCTTAAAAACCTCCAACGGAAGAGTCCACCACATTTCCAACGGAGTCCATTCCACAGCTAAGGTTTAGTCGGAATCTCCTCATTTGAATCCATCCATTTGGGTCCTGCCCTCTGGAGCAACAGAAAACAAGCTTGCTCCCTCTTCTGCGTGCTCCTTGAGGACTAGTGCCTTGCATTATTTTTAGCTGGAGGCAGTAGCTCTGTGGTGCAGCTCCTGCTTTGCATGCAGAAGGTTCTGGGTTCAATCCCCAGCAGCATCTCCAGGTAGAGCTGGGGAAAGACTCCCTGTCTGAAGCCCTGCTGCCAGCCAGTGTAGACACTGCAGGGGTAGGTGGACCAGAGCTCTGGCACACCAGAAGGCAGCTTCCTAGGTTGTTAAATAAGCCCATCATTCAGATCCATGAAGGCGGGGATCTTAGGGGAAAGAGCACAGAAGTAGCATGGAACTGTTATAGATGGATCGGGAAACTGGGAAACTACCCAATATCTGGCTTTTCTCTCTAAGTAAATGTAAAGGTACCCCTGACCTTTAGGTCCAGTCGCAGACTCTGGGGTTGCAGCGCTCAGGAAATGTCCCGGATATCCCACAAATTGGGAAGGGTTTGCTGACTCGACTTTTATATTTTTCTAGAGATTTCTCTGGATGTCGATGCTGACCGCGATGGGGTGGTGGAGAAGAACCACCCCAAAAAGGTGAACATTTCTTCCTGCTTTTGTTTGCATGGAGATTTGCAAAGATGTGGTGAAGAGATTTTAAAAAAATTAAAATGTCTTCACCAGCCTGATCAGTGCTTTTTTCCCTAAAGAAATGTTTAGGGTTACTCTCATTTTCCTACTCATATTGAATTACTGCCCCTCAATGAGGCCAAACTTAGATTCACCAAATATTTTGGGGTTTACACACCCCCTGCATCCCCCAGAAAAAAAAGCACTGAGCCTGATGCTCTCCACCTGTTTTGAATCACAACCCCCATCATCCAGTGCCACCGGAAACACTCTCTTTGTGGCTCATGGGTGTTGTAGTCCATCGCAGCTCGAGAGGCACCAAGGTGGGTGACGGCTGGACTAAGGTCACTTGCTGGTCCTGGCACAGAGCTGGCCCTTGGCTTCCTAGGATGGGAGCAGATCATTTGAAGCTCTTCTTTGTGACACTAAGCTCTCCTCTCTGAAATCTGAACGCTGATATCTGCCTGAAATCCTGGAGAGCTGCTGCCAGTCAGAGTAGACCGTACTGAGACGCATGGACCAGTGGTCTGACCTGGTGAAAGGCAGCTTCCTTGTTATATCATAACCTTCAGGACTGGGGCATCTGCCTCCTTAGTGCCCGCCTACAAATGCCTGATCCCGGTTGTGTGCTTCTGTCCCCAAGGCCTTGCGGAAACAGGACAGCTCTCCTCTCCATCCAGCTGTCCGGGGAGGTGGGGGTGCAGGACGGAGTCAAATGGGGTTAGCCCTCAGCCCTGCGAGGCATTTAAATTGCCATGGAAAGCTCCCATGGAAAGGCTGGGACACTCTGTACGAAAGGGGAGCCTCCCGCTCTGCTCCTGCCCTGCCCTGCCCTGCCACCCGTCCTTTGGCACAGAGGCCCTCCATTCCTCCAGGCTCCCTGCTGAGGCGAGGCAGTGATCCCTCTGGGCTGCAACGCTCCTTGGAAAGAGCCTCTTGCTACCCTGGGGTCAATCGGGGCAGAATGCTGTGCCCAACAGAACTGCAACCCAGAGCCTTCCTTGGAATCTGACTCCCAAGGAAAAGGGGCACTGAGTGTCCCAGCTACTGTTTAGGAGAAGAACCTCAGAAAAACCCCATGCTGATCAGGCCAATGGCTAATAATAATAACTTTAGTATAATAATTTTATTATTTGTACCCTGCTCATCTGACTGGGTAGCCTCAGCCACTCTGGCCAGCTTACAAAATGCAGTGCTACCTCGATGTCTCCATTGCCAAACGTTTCGGTTTTCGAATGCCAAAAACCCAGAAGTAAACACTTCCGTTTTCGAACGCGCCTCAGAAGTCCAACGGCTTCCGCTGCGTGTTTTTCATTACCATTACCATTATTATTATTTGTATCCCGCCCTCCTGCCGGAGCTGGGCTCAGAGTGGCTAACATCATATAAAACACAATATACATAAAAATAAACAAACGAACAATTCAAATGCATGCCAAAATTAATTCAAATAAATTAAAATTAGACTGGACAAATGGCCATCCTCAAGTTAAAATTGAAAGCGGTTAATACTCACCAGGACCAATTATTTCCACTGATATTATAAGGACCTATGAGCGGGTTGGGAAACCTCCTTCGTACTTGTTCATACAAAGAGAAAATGAGTCAGACTGAACCCTGGCCAAAGGCCTGGCGGAACAGTTCTGTCTTGCAAGCCCTGCGAAAATATGTCAAATCTTGCAGGGCCCTAGTCTCTTGTGAGAGAGCGTTCCACCAGCCCGGGGCCACAGCCGAAAAGGCCCTGGCTCTGGTCGAGGCCAGTCTAATCTCCCTGGGGCTCAGGATATTCAGGTTTTTGTTATTTGTACACCGTAAGGTCCTCCGTGGGGCATACCAGGAGAAGCGATCCCGTAGGTACGAGGGTCCTAGACCGTATAGGTTTTTCAGTTTTCTCAACTGAATTGGCAGACAACCCTTTGTGCCTCGGTTTTCAAACGTTTTGGAAGTCGAATGGTCTTCTGGAACGGATTACATTCGAGAACCTGAGGTACTACTGTATACACTAACATAATAAAATATTAAACATTTTAAAAACTTCCATATGCAGGACCGCCTTCAGATGTCTTCTAAAGGTTGTATAGTTCCTTATTTCCTTGGCTCGGGGGTGTCATGACTCCATACCCTCCAACATCTCCCTGATGGAAAAAGGGATGTCCTAAGTAAAAGTGGTACAGTCCGAGATCAAATCAGAAACCAGGACGGCGTCTGTAAATCCAGGACTGTCCCTGGAAAATAGGGAAACTTGGAGGGTCTGCAAAATGATTATCAATCTCACCAAGACAACTGATTAAATTTTTAAAATTTATTTATTTATTTCACAATGAACATTGCTTGGTTGTAGAAGGGGGAAAAAACCTCAATGGTAAAACGATACAATTATCCATAAGAATAATGATTTAAAAAAAATCATTGAAGGCCAATGCATGCAGAAAGTCATTGACGAACCCACAGTAATTGGGTCACAAATCTGCAAGAGCAGAATGTGCTGCTTTGTATAGTTACTCATCTCCTTGACATCTGATGGGAGGGCGTTCCACAGGGAGGACACCACCACCAAGAAGGCCCTCTGCCTGGTTCCCCATAACCTTACTTCTTGCAGGGAGGGAACCTCCAGAAGGCCCTCAGAGCTGGACCTCAGTGTCCGGGCTGGATGATGGGGGTGGAGACGCTCCTTCAGGTATACTGGTCTGAGGCCGTTTAGGGCTTTCAAGGTCAACGCCAACACTTTGAATGGGGAGCTTACTGCGAGCCAATGTAGGTCTTTCAGGACCAATGTTTAGACAGTCCTGGCAGCCACTCCCAGTCACCAGTATGGCAGCTACGTTCTAGATTGGTTGTAGTTAACTGTTGGAGAACTTCCAGCGGGCAGTGGGGAAACAGAATTTATCTTATTGGCACAGCACTGGTTCAAATGATAAAAGCAAAAAGGGGAAACCCTTTGCCCCATTCTGCTGGCTAAACTCAAGAGGCAGTGGTGGTGTAGTGGTTAGAGTGTTGGACTAGGATCCAGGAGAGACAAGGGTTCAAATCTGCCCCCCCACTGGACTCGGCCATGAAACATGCTGGAGTGACCTTGGGCCCAGTCACTGCCTCTCAGCCTAGCCTACCTCGCAGCGTTGTCGTGGGAATTAAATGAGGAGAGGGAGAGCCACCTTGAGCTCCTTGGAGGTGAAAATGCCATCGAAATGCAATGAAAGTGTTGCACTTCCAGGCGGTGTGGACGTGGGGTCCAGATGGGCAGGGTGCTGTTCTGCTGGTGAACTGCGATAAGGAAAGTCCGTACACCGGAAAGGAGGACTGCCAAGATGACAAAGTCTTCTCGAAGGATGGTAGGTGGGCGTCTGTTGAATCCCCAAATCCTTTATCTTTTCTTTTTTGTAACAGTATTTTATTCTTTTTCCAATCTAGAAAGTTACGTTTGTTACTTAGCAATTACGGTACATTCTAATTCAACAAAACTAGTGACTTACTGCTCACCTGACATGGATGTTTGTAACTCAAATTACATACAATTGTGTCTTAAGGTTCCGCCTTACCTAATTTCACCCTCTCTGACATGTTTCTTAATATATTCTGCTATTTTCTAGCACTTCAAACCCCGCTGTGATCCTTGCATTTGGGAAATAACGTTTTATATAGACTAGAAAAGGGTTCCCGGTCTTTAAAGGAGTCTAGATTTGTATCAGCGCCATCAGTTTTTCCATCTCTGCATATTCCAAGATTTTCATCACGAACCCCAAATTCTGATGTGCATTTCTCTTTTCTTTTCCTCCCCCCCACCCCGGGTCTCCTTTCCTCTCTCTGTCCCGGGCATCGAACCCCCGCAGACCTGGAAGACATGTCCCGCATGATTTTGAGAACAAAAGGCCCTGACCGGCTGCCTCCAGGCTATGAGATGGTCCTCTACATTCCGCTGTCCGACTGCGACAAAGTTGGGGTATTTTACCTTCAGAGTAAGTGGGCTGTCTGTTTCCGCTCTCTGTGTTGTAATGTTTTTACTGCAAGAATCATCAGGACATAAGGAGAGCCTGGCAGCTGGATCAGGCCCAGTGCCCGCTTTGGTCCAGCCTCCTGTTTTTGCATTGGCCACCCCAAAGAGAAGCCTACAAGCAGGATCCAAGCACAAGAGCCCTCTCCCCACCTGCAATTTCCAGCAACTGAGATTCAGAAGCATTGCTGCCTCTCACCATGAAGGCAGAGCAGAGCCATTGTGGCTGGTAGCCATCAATAGCCTTCTCCCCCCCCCTCCTCCTCCTCCTCCTCCTCCTCCTCCTCCTCCATGAATTGGTCCAATCCTCTTTTAAAGTAATCCAAGCTAGTGGCCAGGGACACGGGTGGCACTGTGGGTTAAACCACAGAGCCTAGGACTTGCCGATCAGAAGGTCGGCGGTTTGAATCCCCGCGACGGGGTGAGCTCCCGTTGCTCGGTCCCTGCTCCTGCCAACCTAACAGTTCGAAAGCACGTCAAAGTGCAAGTAGATCAATAGGTCACCTCCAGGCTTGATTAACTCGCTCTACGCAGGGCTGCCCTTGAAGCTGACCCAGAAACTCCAGCGGGTGCAGAATGCCGCGGCGAGGCTCCTTACGGGGTCCTTGCCGCGGGATCACATTCATCCAGTGCTTTACCAGCTGCACTGGCTCCCGGTGGAGTGCAAGGTCAGGTTTAAGGTGCTGGTTTTGACCTTTAAAACCCTATGCGGCCTAGGACCCACGTACCTACGGGACCGCCTCTCCTGGTATGCGCCGCAGAGGACCTTAAGGCCACAAATGACAACACTTTGGAGGTCCCAAGTCGCAAGGTGGTTAGATTGGTCTCAACTAGGGCAAAGGCCTTTTCAGTACTGGCCCCGACTTGGTGGAATGCTCTGTCACAAGAGACTAGGGCCCTGCAGGACTTGACATCTTTCCGCAGGGTCTGCAGTCAGGACTCAGTCTGACCCTTATGTTTCCCTCCCCTTATGGTTTTGATCTATGGGCTACTATTAAAATGAGGCTGCATTTTAACCTGTATTTTAAATTGGTTCTCCCCCCATTATGTTTTTATTGTAATTTAGCCACCCTGAGCCCAGCTCTTGCGGGGTATAAATAAAATTTATTATTATTATTTGTGAATAGGTGGCAAAATTTTAACCTCATCTCCCCCACCACCACCTGAGAAAGCGCATGCACATGTCACGTTAATTCTTGCACCTGCATCTCATTTGTAGCAAAGAGCAGCTTGGGAATAATTAGGCCTGATGGGTCGTCAACACATCTAATTAGAAAGGACCCCGGTGTCTTCAACATTCCAGTAGCTCCGTTGGCGCCCAGAGATGGGCCCACCGACAACTCACTGAAACCAGGCATTGAAATTGGAGCCGGCCGAGGGGAAGGGGCGGCATTCCCTGGCAAGGAGCTCCAGAGGGGCTTGTCAATCAGCTGCTAACTCTGCCTCTGTCAGGAGCTGCTCTCTGAGAGATCCTAGGGAAGCCAGCCAAGCCGAGTGGCCCGGGGTTACCTCTCAGCGTTCTTCCTAGGGAAGGAGGCTGGCTGTTTGCTTCTCTGAGCCGTGGAATAATTAAATGGGTGATCTGGGTGAAGGCTCCCTAAAATCTCTGGCGAAGGAGGACAGCCCCCCCCCATCTGTTGTGAAGTGGGGCGAAGAGGGAAGGGGTGAAACTTCTGAGCTCCCTCTTACTAATTTAAGGCTCACCAGCTGGTGTTTTCATTGATATTTTCTTAAACTCAAGCTTGGCCAAAGTGGAGCAGGGATCGCATTTAAGCAAATATTGGCTCATTCGATCTCATTTTTCTGTTAAGCTACAAATGACTAGTTGAAAGTGTCCTGGGCTTTGTTACTTCCGTGAACTCTTTTTCCAGAGTGCCTTAAGGGAAGAGATGTAGTAGCTCTGTGACATGCAGAAGGTGCCAGGTCCAACCCCTGGCAGCATCTCTAGAAAGGCACTCCTTGTCTGAAAACCTGGAGAGCAGCTGCAAGTCAGTGTAGACACTGCTGAGCTACATGGTTTGACTTAGCAGAAGGCATTTTCCTTCGTTTTAAAATCAGCCCTTCATTCAGCACAATGAGGACTAGAATCTTGAGAGGGGGAAAACATAGCTTAGTTGGAGGTCACTTGCTTTGTGTGCAGAATGTTCAATCTCTGACATCCCCTAATTAACGGAGGATTTTTCGATTGCAGACAAGGTGAAAGGACTCTTTTGGCCTGGGATTTTGGGCAGCAGCTGCTGGTCAGAGTTGGCAGCACTATTCTAGATGGACAAATAAATGCGAATTGGTGTAAGATTGTGTGTGTGTGTGTGTGTGTGTGTGTGTGTGTAATGTTATAACAACATAACACACACACACACACACACACACACACACACATATATGTATATAGACGTGGGTGGCGCTGTGGTCTCAACCACTGAGCCTAGGGCTTGCCGATCGGAAGGTCAGCGGTTCGAATCCCTGCGACGGGGTGAGCTCCCGTTGCTTGGTCCCTGCTCCTGCCAACCTAGCAGTCCGAAAGCATGTCAAAATGCAAGTAGAGAAATGGGTACCGCTGTGGCAGAAAGGTAAACGGCATTTCCATGCTTCTCTGGTTCGCCAGAAGCGGCTTAGTCATGAACCGGAAGCTGTCTGTGGACAAACGCCGGCTCCCTCAGCCTATAGAACGAGATGAGTGCGCAACCCCAGAGTCATCCGCAACTGGACCTAACGGTCAGGGGTACCTTTACACACACACACACACACACACACACACACACACACACACGATGATATCTTCCCATGTAAATTGACAAAGGAGTCAGCTTGTATCCATCTAGACATTACCCAGAATAGACCCATTGAAATGAACAGACTGAAATTAGTCCATTAATTTCAATGGGCTTAGTCTGAGCAGGTCTCAGTTGATGGCAATGCTCAGTGTTAAACAACTGAAGGTTACGTTTTCAAGGTCTTCCAGTGATGGGCGTTTAGCTCTTAAACGTAGCTGCAGGTGGGTATGATGCCCACCCACTCCAATAAAACCCAACCTTTGGCGACCACCTCATTTTACAGCAGCCACAAGACATTTGCTGCAGCCCGTGACATCATCGCTCTGTTTGGCCTCCCCTAATCCCCAGGAGACATCTCTGCCTCCGACACGCCTTGTTGTGTCTTTTATTGCTGGTTATAAAACCAGATTCGGTTACGGGGTTGTTGGATGGGGCTAAAGAAGGGGGGGCAGTGGAGAATGCTGTCCGTGTTGGAGAGGCCTGGCTGGTGGGATTTGCAGTAATATCCAAGGCAATACGATGACCAAGAACAACAATGCAATATCAATATAAACTCTTTATATAGTCTATACGGAACATTGAACAATATGAGAAACCAAATAAACAGAAATCATACAAATCTCTGAAAGTCACTAAATTTGCACTCTTGATGGATTCTCTTAAAAACATAGAACCAAATAAACAGAAGTCTTATAAGTCTCTGAAAGTCTTTGTAGACTGTGCAAGTCTCTGAAAGAAGCAATGGGTCAGATTCTTATCTGATGAAAACAAGCCATAAATCTTTGTTTTATGACGTCCAATGCTGCCGAAATGGTCCGCAATCAGATGTAGTGAACAGTGAGTTATTGTAAGTTACCATGTATATGCAGGTCATCGTTTCAGTAATTCATTTGTAGTTTATGAAACATTTCTGTATCCTTCTGCTGTGCTGAAGAAGAATTCTACAAAACAGTGGGTATATCCAGAATCACTGTTCACTACGTCTGTTTGCAGACCGCTTCGGCAGTGTTGGACATCATAAAACAAAGCTCTGTGTTTTCAAGAGAATCCATCAAGAGAACACATTTAGTGACATTCAGAGATTTATAAGATTTCTGTTTATTTGGTTTCTCATATTGTTCAATGTTCCGTATAGACTATATAAAGAGTTTATATTGATATTGCATTGTTGTACTTGGCCATCGTGTTGCCTTGGATATTACTGATAATTGTTTGCAACATGGGGGTTTAATTGTTTGGTTACTTATTGGTGGGATTTGCAGCCAGGCCTGGCGTGAGGTGGATGTGCCTGTCAAAGGGGGATGAGTGGAAGATCAATCCCCAGAGGTGGCATCTATCCACCTATGGGAAGGTCGTAGCTCAGCAGTAGGACACCTGCTTGGCATGCAGAAGGACCCAGGTTGGATCTCCAGCACCTCCAGGTGAGACTGGGAAGGATTCCCTGCCTGGTACCCTGGAGAGTCATTGCTGCCAGTCCGTGCGGACGATAATTGAGCTATACGGCCCAACAATCTTAACTTGGTATAAGGCAATTTGTCTGTATTCCTAAATCCTACTCAGAGCAGGTCCACTGAATGAATGGACCTACCTCACACAGTTGTTGTGGGGATTAAATCAGGGGCAAAGAGAAAACCGTGTACACCACCTTGGGGCCCTCTGGAGAAAACAGTGGGATTGAAATGCAAAAATAAAATAAATACAGTGGTACCTCGGGTTAAGTACTTAATCTGTTCCGGAGGTCCGTTCTTAACTTGAAACTGTTCTTATCCTGAAGCACCACTTTAGCTAATGGGGCCTCCTGCTGCTGCGCCGCCGGAGCATGATTTCTGTTCTCATCCTGAAGCAAAGTTCTTAACCCGAGGTACTATTTCTGGGTTAGCAGAGTCTGTAACCTGAAGCGTATGTAACCCGAGGTACCACATAAAATAAAATAAAATAAAGCTAGCCGAATCTATTAACTGCAGCGGGTTTGCTTGAAATCAGGCTAGCTTTGGGTACAGCCTGGAGTAATTCCAAAAAGACAAATTTACGGTAATATTCTCCCCGCCCCTCGCTTTTCCAGCAAGAAAATGTTCAGCTCAGAGCATCTCACATAAATAAGCACTGAAATAATAGTTCCCTTTCAGAGAGCCCTCCTTTCTCCCTGGCCTCACAGACTCGGCTTGTTTTTGAGTCCTGAGGATCAATTGTTTGGCGTCTCTCAAGGGCATCAGAGTCTGGTGACTGGGTGAAAGCTAAGACCTCTCTGGCCAGGTTGCCAAATAACTGTTCCCTGGGATTGAGTTGCAGGACCTTGAATTGTGGACATTCTGGTTTCCGAGCCAGGCGTTCAATTAGTGTATTAATTAGCTGGGTTGGGGGAGGGCAATGGAGTTGCCTTCACCTCCTCAGTGGATAGCAGGGTTGGGTGGGCTTGCTCCTTGGATGTCAGTTTTCTCGGACCCTGCCCAATCCCAATTTCCCTCCAAATCACAGAAAAGGAACTCGTATTTGAACCTGGCCTTCACTAACTCAATGAAGATGTCGACCTGGTGTGTGTCAGCCATGAAAAAGGCAAATTCCATGCTCCAGGGATCATTGGGAAAGGAATTGCAAATAAAGCTGCTGATATCGTAATGACTTTTTACAAATCTTTGGTGCGGCCGCATTTGGAATACCGTGTACAGTTCTGGTTGCCTCGCGTCAAAACGGATATGGCAGAGTTGGAAAAGGATGTGATTTTAATCTGTAATGCAAAAGATTTTCCCAGCCTGTTTTGGTTCCATGTGGATGTTTGCAGGCCAGGCTTAACATCTGTACATGTATTTGTCCTGGAAGGCAATGCTTGGTAATTGATATATAAAATCTCACAATAAATCTTGTAATATATATATTTATTTAAGTTTCAGAAAAAAGCGGCCAAAATGATCAAAGAGGGGATGGAGAAACTCCCCTGCGAGGATAGATTTGGGACTTTTAAATTAGATAAAAGTAGGCGGTGGCACAATAGAAGTTTATAAAATTGTGCACAGCACAGAGAAAGTGGAGTTTTCCTCCTCCTCTCATAACACTAGAACTCAGGGATGTCCAAGTAAACTGAATGTGGGAAGGTTCAGGACAGAGAAAAGGAAGCCCCTTTTCACACAGCACTGCGTTAACCTATGGAACTCCCTGCCTCAGGAGGCAGTGATGGCCGCTAACTTGGATGGCTATAAAAGAGGATCAGACAAATTGATGGAGGAAGAAAGGGCTTTCGAAGGCTACTGCATAGATGGCTATGCTCTGCCTCCACAGCTGGAGGAAGCAGTGGTTCTAAATCCCAGTTGCCAGAGACCACTGGAGGGGAAAGGCCTCTTGTGTTCGAATCCTGCTTGCAGGCTTCCTGTGAACATGATGATGGTCTAGATGCACTCCTGGCCTGATCCAGCAGAGTTCTTCTTCCTTACTTGTGTTGATCTCCGCTTTCTTTCCCGCCACAGACCCCTTCTTAAAAAAAAAAATAAGATTTATTTGGTATTTCAGATTAATATTTTACATCCCATTTCCAAGATACAACATAAAAACAAAATACCACAGAATCCCTGGACTTCCCTCCTTCCCTTTGTGGGTCCTATTGTTAATCATTTCCTCCTGCATCTTTTAGAATAATCCAAATATTTTTTTACCTCTCCGTTATATCCAAAATTCAACTTTAAACTGCAAGTGTTATTCCAACACTGCAAATGATTTTAACTGCTTACAATGGTTTTTAAGATAAATTATAAAATTTCCCCATTCCTTATTATAATTTTGGTCTTCCTGATTTCTGATTCTTCCAGTCAATTTAGCCATTTTGGCATAATCCATCATCTTAATCTGCCATTCTTCTCTGGTCAGGACATTATCTTCTTTCCATCCCTGAGCCAATAGCATCCGTGCAGCCATGATTGCATACATAAATAGATTTCTGCTCCATTGGGATTTTGGCACCTAGACTCCCTAAAATAAAAGGCTTCTGGGTTTTTAAAGAAAAAGTTATTTTAAGCATTTTTTCCAATTCATTATATATCATTTCCCAAAATTCTTTTACTACCTGACATTTCCACCACATATGATAAAAGGTGCCTTCATTTTTCCTTACATTTCCAACATATATTTGACCCGCAGATCCCTTCTTTGGCCAGCGCTACATCCACGTCCTGGGGCCACGGAAGCTCTTCCACGTTGTGAAATACACAGGGGGCTCTGCAGAGATGGAATTCTTTGTCGAGGGTCTCCGCTTCCCAGACGCCGGCTTCAACGGTCTCATCACCATCAACGTCAGCCTGCTGGAGCCAGTTGCTGAGGTTCGGCCAGAGAAAGGGGGGTGGGTGCAGTGGAGGCAGTGGAGATGCTTTCATCCAGCAAAGAGGATGCTTCAAATAATAATACTTTTTAAAAATTTATATGCCGCCCATCTGACTGGGTTGCCCCAGCCACTCTGGGCACCTTCCGACAAAATACTAAAACACAAAAAGGCCTCAAACATTAAAAACTTCCTTGTACAGGGCTGTCTTCAGGTGTCTTCTAAAAGTCAGGGAGATGTTTATTTCCTTGACATCTGACGGTAGGGCGTTCCTTTTTTATATAATAAATTTTATTAGATTTTCACAAATTTAATGTATAAAATTCAGTGTTAGGTAAGGTTCCCATTCGGGCTGGTATGTCACCGTCATTACAGTTTTAAAGATCACCTCGAGTGCCGCTTTTAAGCAAAAAGGCTTTGAAACGTCAGCTGCAGAACGTTGATCAACAGCACAACACCGCGAGGGAAGTGAAAGGTCTGTGCGGGTAAGGAAGCTGGTGTGGCAGGGCAGGATGTTAGTCTGATATTTATTGTATTCACAGCCCACCTTTCTTCCTCCCAAGGAGCTCAGGCACATGGTACTCCCTCTTCTAAGTTACTCCCCACAACAACCCTGTGAGGTAGGTTAGACAGAGGGCCACTCAGCGAGCTTCATGGCCGAGTAAGGGGGATTTGAACCCTGGTTTCTCCCAGCACTCTAACCACTATGCCACGCTGTCCAAACAGCAGTATGCAGCCCAGTTAGCAAGCGGCTAATGGAAGTTGTTGCTTTCAGGCATCCAAAAGCTGTCCCCTCCTCCTGGCCACTGGCATGGTGTAACTGCAGAAGGAGCTGCTGATGTTAGGGCTCGACACTTCACTTCACACTGTTAATGTGCCAGTTTTCCCTTGGCAGGTGACGGGTTCGCTTTCAAGTTTCCCTTTTCTCTTTGTCTGCTACTTCAGCCACAAAGAGGCTGCTTGGTGTGTGAATCTCTCTCGCTGCCTCTCCCGCCCCCTTCCCACCTGCCTCTTCACCCCCACCCCAACAAAGCAATACGAATTGGGGGCCGCTAGAAGAAAAGGCCAGCTTTAAATTAAGCTGGACGGCCTTCTCATGTTCTCTCACTCGCCTGCTGGAATGCTGCGCATGACTCTCGTGGGGCCTGCAACTTCTATTAGCCACCTGCTAATCTGGCTAGGGATCCCTAATGGATCTGTGTTCTGCCTTCTGCTTCCTTGCCCCAGCAGACCTTTCTCTTCCCTCACAGAAGCTGTGCTGTTGGTCAACGTCCCGTAGCTGTCTCTGTTTCTCTGGGCAGCCAGTTTTTAAAAACAGGGCCACCGTGTTTAATGGATTGGTGGCTTTTTATCACTGGTGCATTCTGCAACATTTCATTGGTGCAATAACAGGGTATTTAGCTGACCCAGAAACTCCAGCGGGTGCAGAATGCCGCGGTGAGGCTCCTTACGGGGTTCTTGCCACGGGATCACATTCATCCTGTGCTTTACCAGCTGCACTGGGTGCCGGTAGAGTACAGGGTCAGGTTTAAGGTGCTGGTTTTGACCTTTAAAGCCCTATGCAGCCTAGGGCCACGTACCTACGGGACCGCCTCTCCTGGTATGCCCCGCGGAGGACCTTAAGGTCCACAAATGACAACACCTTGGAGGTCCCAAGTTGCGAGGTGGTTAGATTGGTCTCAACTAGGGCCAGGGCCTTTTCAGTACTGGCCCCGACTTGGTGGAACACTCTGTCACAAGAGACTAGGGCCCTGTGGGACTTGACATCTTTCCACAGGGCCTGCAAGACAGAGCTGTTCTGCCTGGCCTTGGGTTTGAACTCAGTCTGACCCTTATGTTGCCCTCCCCTTACGGTTTTGATCCATGGGCTACTTTTAAAATGAGGCTGCATTTTAAATTATATTTTAATCTGTATTTTAAATTGGTTTATTATTATTATTATTGTAATTTTACTGGTGTTAGCTGCCCTGAGCCCGGCTCTGGCTGGGGAGGGTGAGGTATAAATAAAAAATTATTATTATTATTATTATTAATTATTAACCCATGCACTGTTCTGTTTCACCAGTTGTTCCTTGATGCTACTAGCCAGGGTGGTTCTCTGCCACCATGGCTGGAGGCAGCAATCCTTCTGAATACCAGTCCCTGAATAAGAGCAGAAAGTTCTTCCTAATGTTTAGTCGGAAACTCCTATCTTGTAATTTTGATCTGTTGGTTTGGGTCCTGCCTTCTGGAGTAGCAGAATACAAGCTGGCTCGCATCTTTCTTCCAGGGTATTCCACAGACCCCAATTTTCACAGACACCGTAGTCTTCCGGATCGCCCCATGGATCATGACCCCAAACACTTTGGCTCCAGTCAGCGTTTTTGTCTGCAGGTAAGGTGTCAGAAAAGGAGGAGGCGTTGGAACTTAACAGGAGATGTTTTGAATGCAGGGTTTGGTTTGAATTTGTAAAACCAGCTTTTGCATCCTGAAACTCGGCTGGGGTTCAGGTTCTGTCAGTGGTGGGTTTCTTTTTTTCCAAAAACTAAGCATTCGACAGCAACAAGGGAGATGCAACAAACAGCAGCTGATAGTATAAAAGGAGAAACATTTTATTATGACGATCACTGATGTTTAATGCAAGTGCCATTTAATGGCACTTACAAAAGGATGAGGTCAGGAAGGCATTCGAGCCAGTTCGCATTGTAAAGCAAATCTACCTAATTCTCCGAATTTTGCAGTGAAGTTCCCTAACCAAGTTGTGTGTACAAAAAAAACACCATACACAGGTGCGAAGTGTAAATGAATATCATACAAGAACGTGCTGCAGTTAGGGGAAATTGCTTTGCTACAATGTGTATTTACAAGAAGTTCAAAATGCAGACTGATGTGTGAGCGTTAGGAGAAATTCTCCCTAAAATGCCGATGAATTTTGATGATTTTTTATTAAAAAGAAAATCAATAGCTGATGTGGGAAGGTGGAGAACTAAAGGTAAGGTTTGAAAAAAGTTAGAAACCGAAATCAACAGGTTTTCTCACCCGTAAGCATCATGCCAGGTGGTCTGGAAGGCAGTAGTGGGAGAAAAGGGAGAAAAGGCAGAATTGTTTGTGATATACTGGGGGGGGGGGTAGCCTCTTGGCAGGGGCTTTGTTGACTTCAGGGGAGAGGAACATCTGCAGCACTCCAGATGTTGCTGGACTCCAGCTCCCATCACCATCCCTTAAGTCATGCTGGCTGCTGGGAGTCCAATGACACTTAAGGGGCCACAGCTTCCCTGTCCTTGAACCCTCCCCTCACTTGCCTTTGTTGCCCATACTTCGCACCTCAAACACTTGCCTTTATTACCTGCAGTTACCCCTTTCACTGGGACGTGGGTGGTGCTGTGGGTTAAACCACAGAGCGTAGGGCTTGCTGATCAGAAGGTCGGTGGTTCGAATCCCCGCAACGGGGTGAGCTCCCGTTGCTCGGTCCCTGCTCCTGCCAACCTAGCAGTTCGAAAGCACGTCAAAGTGCAAGTAGATAAATAGGTACCGCTCTGGCGGGAAGGTAAACGGCATTTCCGTGTGCTGCTCTGGTTCGCCAGAAGCGGCTTAGTTATGCCGGCTGCATGACCCGGAAGCTGTACGCCGGCTCCCTCGGCCAGTAAAGCAAGATGAGCGTCGCAACCCCAGAGTCGGCCATGACTGGACCTAATGCTCAGGGGTCCCTTTACCTTTACCTTTACCCCTTTCACAGCTCTGCCTCCTTTTAATGGGGAACCAGGGGTACCCAAAGATGTTACCAGCTCCCATCATCTCTGACCATTGACCATGATGTCAGCATCTGGAGGGGCATAGCTGTTCCCCAGCCCTGCTCTGTGGAGTCCACTCCACCCCACCCTACTTTCATGCTGGCCACGAAAGCATCCCCAGTTAACCCATCTTTGTCCTCCCCTGTCAGTGTGAAGGATAATTACCTCTTCCTGAAGGAGATCAAGAACTTGGTCAGCAAAGCTAACTGCAAGATGTCGGTCTGCTCACGGTACATGAACCGAGGGGACCGGTGGATGCAGGTGAGTGGGTTGCCAGTCTTAAACTCTGGGGAGCCGTTGCTGCCAGCCAGTGTGGACAATACCAAGGTACTTGGGCCAATGACATGACTCAGTCTAAAGCTCCCAATCCACGATTCTGCCCACATTTCCTGAACTGCAATTTCCCAGGTTTTCAATAAAGGTAAGCTGTAAGAAGAGATCTGCTGGATCAGGCCAATGGCCTATCTAGTCCAGAATCCTGTACTTACAATGGCCAACCAGATGCCCATGATGGGAAACCCAGGATTCGAACACAAGAGCAATTTTCCCCTCCTGCAGTTTCCAGCAAATTGGAATTGCTGTTTCCTCTTGCAGAGGTAGAGCATAGTCCTAACGGCTAGTAGCCACTGACAGCTTTCACCTCCTCCGCGAATTTGTCCAGTCCTCTTGTATAGCCATCCAAGTTGGTGACCCCGTCCTGTGGGAGAGAGTTCCACAGTTTAACTCCTTGCTGCACGAAGAAAGACTTGCTTTTCTCTGCCCTGAATCTCCCAACATTCAGCTTCATCGGATGTCCTTGGTTTTACCTGTGGGCTCCCAGCTTCCTGGCAGGATGCATGTTTAGCAGGCAGATTTTTATTTTTATTTTTAAGGGGGGGGGGAGGAAATTATTTTTATCCCCAGTGGGTCATTAAGGAACTGAGCTTGCTAGATTAAAGCAAAGCCCTTTGTGAGGAGGCAGCTCTGCAATCTAATGTTACAAATGTTGGGCGAGTCCCCTCTTTGGCAAGAGCCCATGGGGTTCCAGGCACTCACCCAGGGTCTGTGTTCCTTCGGAGAATTGAGACACGGCAGAGATTGTCATAGCTTTAAGAAATATGGTTTATTCACCTATTTACACCTTCAGTCTGCATGGAGGGAGTCCAGATCTTGCTGATTTCTCTTTTCCTCTGCAGGATGAGATTGAGTTTGGCTACATCCATGCCCCCCACAAGGGCTTCCCGGTGGTCCTGGACTCCCCGAGGAACGGAGGCCTCGAAGACTTCGCTGTGAAAGAGATTTTGGTAAGAGCATCCTCTTCTTACTGCCGTTACCACAACATGTGATTTATCGTGAATTCCCTTGTGCAAAGGAAGTTTTGCTAAGGTAAGGTCTGCTCTCATCTGCTTTGCCATCCCAAACATGCATCCTGCCAGGAAGGCAGACTATGCTGGCAGAGAGCAGAGCCACACTGTCCATCGGACGCACATCCAGCCCACTTTTAAAGCGCAAAATTTCCATAAGAACCTAAGGAAAGCCTGCAGGATCAGGCCAATAGCCCATCTAGTCTAGCATCCTGACCTCACAGTGGCCAACCAGTGGCCTGCAGGAAACCCACAAGCAGCACAGGAGCTCTCTCCCCTACTACGGTTTCCAGGAACTCATATTCAGAAGCTTCACACTGCAGAGGCAGAGCACGACCATCATGGATAGTGGCCACGGATAGCTTTAACTTACTCCGTGAATTTGCCCAACCCTCTTTTAAAGCCATCCAAGTTGGTGGCCCTCCCTGCCTCCTGTGGAAGTGAGTTCCACAGTTTAACTATACTGTTGTTGGGCTCCCAGCTCCCGTCCTCATCCCTGACCCCTGGGCCCTGCTGGCTGGGGCTGAAGGGAGTCAGAATTCTGCAGCATCCGGAGGCCAGCCCATTAGCTATCCCCTCCTCTGGCTGCAAAGGAGGCTTGTGTGTATGGCAGGGGGGCCAAATGTGGGTATGGGAACTCCAGAAGGGTGATGTTGACCCAGTGTGATGAGGGCTGAGCCTAGCTCATTTCTCCAGAGCCCCCACCAGACCTTGTGTGCTTTTCGCTGGGGAGAGAGGGCAGCAACGGAAAGGGCAGCAATGGTTAAGGGCATCTGGGAGCAGCAGGAGGCTGACGTGGAACCCGCTGGGTCAGTCACCTGAAAAGAAATGGGTTTTTAATGCTGCTGTTTCGCTCTGTGAGATCACGCTGTCTTCATCTGCTCTGTTCCCCTTGGAAGGGGCAGAGCGAAGACACTGGATGATGCTGCACAGCTGGACTGCGTCATCTCCCCTGTTGCTTCCCTGCCCCCTAAAAACACCAAGATTCCCCTTTTCTTTTTAAAGTTTTTATTATTTTATTTTGACAAAGTAATAATCATAAATAAATGAGAATAAAAATGAGCACCCCACCACTGAGACCATTCCATTGTAACTTATCCAGCCTCCCAAAATTTCAACACCTTTTGCGATCCTCAATGATTTTGGAATAAGGGGCTGACTTAAACAGCACCATAGGAGCTGTCTTTATACCCTTGGTCCAGCTAGCTCAGTATTGCCTACACCAGTAGTGGTAGTGGTTCTCCAAAGTTTCAGGTCTTTTCTAGCCCTACCTTAGGATGCTGCTGAGGACAGAACCTGGGACCTACAAAGCAGATGCTCTGTATCACTCAGTTTTACAGCCCTTTCCCTTTTGGATCAACGGCAGCTCAGAAGGACTCTCCAGGCCTTCTTGCTTTGGGATCGCACATGCCTTCAGTCAGAGAACATAAGGGCATAGTGGGCATCCTCTTCTCACAAGGGCCCGCCAGATGCCCCAAAGCAAAACCAGCAAGTAGGATTCAAACACGAGAGCTCGCTCCTCTCTTGCCCTTTCCAGCAACTGGCGTTCAGAAGCATTTAATGCTGTATTGTTTTTAACACTCTATTGGGAGCTGCCCAGAGTGGCTGGGGAAACTCAGCCAAATGGGCGGGGTATAAATAATAAATAAATTATCATCATTATTATTATTATTTACTGCCTCCAAACGCAAAGCATGGTCATCGGGCTAGTAGGCATTGACAGCCCTCTCCCCTCCATGAATTTGCCTAATGCCCTAATCCTTTTTTTAAAAAAAGCCATCCAGATTGATGGCCATTTCTGCCCCCTGCAGGAGTGAGTTCCACAGTTTAACTCTGTGCTGCACAAAGAAGGACTTCCTTTTATACATCCTGAATCTTCCATCCAACGTTCAGTTTCACTGGATGTCCACCAGTTATTGTGTTACGCTTTCTCCTTGCCAGGCATAATTTTATCACGTTGCCACCTTTTCTCTAAAGTCACAAACGCTGAAGCCTTTCCTCCTAGGGGAGTCTCCCTTTTCTGAACCGTTTCCACCTCTCCAGGATCCCTTTAGAGGTGAGCGTCAAGAACGGGCGAGGCATCTAAAAACTGCCCCCTCTTGCCGGACAGCCCACTGACGGCTTGCATCAAGCAATGTCAGCCAAGGACAGGCAGGAGCCCTTGCCAGCAGCGAATCAGAAAAGTGGGCAGGGTGAGGGCCGAACCTTTGGCAACCCGTTAACCTCATTGGACCTCAAGTCTAGATTCGCACCACCAGATCTGGTCTGTGTGTGTCCTTCTAGCCTCTCGTGAGATGTCTGTACCCCTGAAATTTAGGGGGTGCCTGGGCACCAGTCTGTCTTGCCGCTGGGCGCCACCCCGCGTCGCTGGTAACAGGAGACGGGAGCGCGGAGCGCTGTTGGCACCCCCCTCATGGTCCGCACCCGCCTCAGAGAAGGTTAATCGCTTTTAAACATGGTGAGATCTATCATTTATCATGCCTCGAATGAGTACAGCCAGTCCTGGATTTGTCATGCAGGAAAGGAATACCACGTTGATCTCTGGCTCTTACTTTGCAAATATATATAAATATGTATGCAAGCAATCGCCCCTCTAAAAGGGGGGGTGGAATAATAGCATTTAGAAAAGCAATTTTGGACTCTGGAGCGAGCTGAACGTATTATATTCCAATTGTTTGCTTTGAAGCCTCCTCTATTCTGCCTCCTATCTTTTCCAATCTCATTTTCCAGATGGGACACTTCAGCCAAATATTCTCGCCCCCTTCTCCGGCAAGGCACACGTGGCCATCCATAAGCCCTTTGTGGGGCTTAATGGAAAAACTGAGAGGCGGGAGAAATTATTTCTCTGCGCAGAAGGACTTGGCTTGAATGAACCAAGGGGAGAAGCAGTCCTAGCCGCAATGGTCCCATCTGAGCCATTATAGGAATGGAAACTGGGATCTTTCCCGAAGGACCTTTCCTAAAAGCGGCAAAGTAGTTAGAATCTCAGAGCATCTCAGTGAAAAGTCGCGGAATTGTGGAGTTTCTAGAAATTGGTGTTCAGAATTGATGCTACCTCCAACTGCAGGGCAGAGCTGTCTAGTAGCCGTCACTAGCCCTCTCCTCCTCCCTGAATTTGCCCAATCCTCTTTTAAAGGCATTGGCGTTGGCGATTATCACATCCTCCTGTGGAAACAAGTTCCCCCAGTTTAGCTCTGTGCTACGTGAAGAAGTCCTTTCATAATTTTATCAGCCCTGAATCTTCCAACATTCAGCTTCAGTGGAGTTCTCGCTTTATGAGAAAGGAAGAAAGCATTTCAACTCCTCTATCGCATCACCTCTTATTTGCCTTTCCTCTGAACTAATAAGTCACAAACACTGCAACCTTTCCGTCCCCTTGATCATATTGCTTGCACTTATCTGGGCCTTCTCCAGCTCTGCCATCTCCTTTTTGAGGCAAGGCCTCGGGAGCCGTGGGTTTTGGAATCACCCCACCCCCACCCCTCGGCAGCAAAGTTTCAAGTCTCCAATCCCCCATGAGCGTGAAGAGGAATGAGAAGAAGGCTCCATTCCATCACCTCCCGGAGTGAATTGCCTCTCCGCCATTTAGGGGAAGCAAGTGGAAACCCAGGCACTAACCCAATACATCCTCATTCCTGCATAAATCATCCTTATGGCAGCCTCCCTCTCCCCACTGTGCCCACCAGAAATTGTGCCCTCGGGCATGCGCAGAAGGACGCTGCAGTCTTCTCTTTCCACCAAGCGAGTCTCCCAAGCACAAGATAAACAAGGGCTGTGATGGTTCAGGGAGCTGCTGCAAGAGACGGGGTGCCAGGAGCCTGCCCCACTTGGGCAGGTGGTGTCGACTCCTTGGGGTGCCCCCTTTTCCCTACCTTATTGTTTTGTTGTTTTTGTTTTAATTCTTTAGTAAAGGTAAAGGGACCCCAGACCGTTAGGTCCAATCGTGACCGACTCTGGGGTTGCGGCGCTCATCTCGCTTTATTGGCCGAGGGAGCCGGCGTACAGCTTCCGGGTCATGTGGCCAGCATGACTAAGCCACTTCTGGCAAACCAGAGCAGCACACGGAAACGTCGTTTACCTTCGCGCCACAGCGGTACCTATTTATCTACTTGTACTTCGACGTGCTTTCCAATTGCTAGGTTGGCAGGAGCAGGGACCGAGCAATGGGAGCTCACCCCGTCGCAGGGATTCGAATCGCTGACCTTCTGATCAGCAAGTCCTAGGCTCTGTGGTTTAACCCACAGCGCCACCCGCGTCCCTATTCAGTTTATTCTATGAACAAACCTGTGATCTTGTAATGAAGGGTGATATATGCGTTTAAAACATCAACATCAACATCATCATACACCCGTGTGGTGTTGCTGCAAGATTTCTCTGAAAAGAGGTACCTTATTCAGTGACTTTTTGAAGATGCACACACAAAATTAAAATGTCCACAGGAAGACAGGAAGCTGGGTTATACTGAGCCAGTGCCTTGGGTCCACCTAGCTCAGAGCTCTCCACACAGACTGGCAGCAGCTCTCCAGTGTTTCAGGGAGGGAGTCTTTCCCAGCCCTACTTAGAAGACGTCAGGATTGAACCTAGGGCCTTCTGCAGGCCAAGCAGGTGCTCTGCAACTGAGCTGTGGCCCCTCCCTGCTTGGAAATGCTGCCAGCATTGATTGAAATGGGGGCCTCGTCCGCCACGCAAAGCAGGGGCTATACCGCTGAGTCACAGCCCTGTCCGAAAACAACTGTGCAATGATTGTAAATCTCACCAAGACAACTGATTAAAAGTTTCTGACATATTTATTTCACAAAATTTATGCACTGCTTGATTGTAAAAGGGGGGGGGGCGGAACCCTCAACACAATTATCCATCAGAATAACAAACAACAATCATTCAATGCATGCAGAAAGTCACAAATTTGCAAGAGCAGAATGTGCTGGGGTGTTTTGTTTAGTTTTTGAGGTTCTTTTGGGATTTAACACAACATCTCTCGACCCAACTCCACCCAGGCAGATGCCCTTATTAATGCCATTTAGTAGCCCTCCCCTCCCCTCCAAAATCTTCCAGTCCTTGGGCTCCAGCGATGCAGCTGGCATGCTGCCCCCTTCCCAGGGAGGCTTTTGCAGCCCTCCCCATACCACGAATTCGTAAGATGGCATCGCAATTGGCTACGGCCACGAGGCTGCCCCAGTTATCCTCGGACAAGCAAAACAGGCCTTCGCAGTCAGGATTATTGAATGACGAAGGATTAAGGCGATGAAACAGATACCCTGAGTCATTCTGAAATCTATTTGGAGGTAGGATTCGTACAGGGAGCTCTGGAAACGTTATCCAGGCAAAAGACTCTGCGCTTTCTCTGGTGGCTTCCTGGCCACTCCTACCCACCTGCCATTCCGAGCCCACAAGGCCTTTAAGGAAATGAGACGTTTTGTCCAAGGACAGAACAGGAAGGAATCCCAGTTCTTTCCTGGCCTTGGGATGAAGCCGTCAAGCTGTCATCGGCCGCAACTTTGCTTTCTCCTTGGCCGGGTTGGCGCAATCGCCGAAGCATCTTCTGGCAGGAAGAAAAAGGGCCCTTCTGCGATGCGCTTCGTTGCACCGCCCAGTAACCTAATCGCGGAGATGGGATTACACCTTGCAAAGTAGGTTCAAACAACCTAATATCCTGCCAGGCCGTTTTTCAGTCTTGTTGAAACCTAGACCCTTTTTGTGATTCCTTTCCATCTTTCCTGCTCTGAATCCCTGTTCTCCTTTCTTAAAAACATAAGAAGAGCACTGCTGGATCAGGCCCAAGGCCCAGCTGGTTCCTAATAATAATAATAATAATAATAATTTTTTATTATTTATACCCCACCCATCTGGCTAGGTTTCCCCAGCCACTTTGGGAGGCTTCCAGCACATAAAAAACATAATAAAACTTCAAACGTTAAAAACTTCCCCATACAGGGCTGCCTTCAGATGTCTTCTAAAAGTTGTGTAGTTCCTTATCTCCTTGACATCTGATGGGAGGGTGTTCCACAGGATGGGCGCCACAACCAAGAAGGCCCTCTGCCTAGTTCCCTGTAGCTTCACTTCTCTCAGGGAGGGAGCCACCAGAAGACCCTCAGAGCTGGACCTCAGTGTCAGGGCTGAATGATGGGGGTGGAGATGCTCCTTTTGGTATACAGAGCCAATGCTGTTTAGGGCTTTCAAGGTCAACACCAACACTTTGAATTGTGCTCCAAAACATACAGGGAGCAGATGTAGGTCTTTCAGGATCGGTGTTATACGGTGGCTGCTCCCAGTTACCAGTGTAGCTGCCGCATTCTTGATCACTTGTCATTTCTGGGTCACCTTCAAAGGTAGCCCCACGTAGATCACATTGCAGTAGTCCAAGGAGGAGATAACCAGAGCATGTACCATTCTGGCAAGAAAGTGCATGCGCAGGCAGGGTCAACCGGTGTACCAGATGGAGCTGGTTGGACCAGATAGAGCATCCTGTTCTCACAGTGGGCAACCAGATACCCATGGGAAGCCCACAAAGAGGATTTGAGTGCAAATGCAACTCTCCCCTCCTGTGGTTTCCAGCAGCTGTTATTCAGAAGCATTGCTGCCTCTGGCTGCAAAGGCAGAGCATAGTCATTGTGGCTAGTAGCCAGGGATAACCCTCTCCTCCACAAATTTGCCCAGTCCTCTTTTTAAAATATCAAAGTCGGTGACTGTTATGGCTTCTTGTGGGAGCGAGTTCCACAGTTTAACACTTTTACTTTTCTACAAGCAGAGCATTTGTGTGTATTCACCAGCAGTGCATGGGGTGTCTCAGGTCTAGATCAGTTACTCCTCTCCTTTTCCACTTAGAGGCAAGGAAGAGGTGAGAACAATAGATAGAATCATCTGCAGAAGTCAGTGATGGCCACCAACTTGAATGGAGTAGAGGGGTGAGCTCAGTTGGTTAGAGCATGGTGCTGATAACGCCAACGTTGCAGGTTTGGTCCCGGCATGGGACAGCTGCATAATTCTACATTGTGCAGGGGGTTGAATGAGATGATCCTCAGGGTCCCTTCCAATGTTACAATTCTATGATGGCTACTAGCCACCATGGCCGTCCTCTGCTTCCACAGTCAAATGCAGCAATGCTTCTGAATCCCAGTTACGGGAAGCCACAGGAGTGGAGAGGGCTGTTGTGCTCAGTTCCTGCTTACAGCTTTTCCAAAGGCAACTGTGAGAAGAGGATGCTGGGCTTGTTGGGCTGTATGATGCAAGGACTTGTGGGAGTTGTAGTCCAAAACAGCTGGAAAGCATCTAGCTGCTGGAGGCTGTATTGAAGGCTCTTGTCCTGAGGTCAGTTTGGGACCTTTTAAAAACAAAAATCCACGAACTTCCCTATATGTTTCTCTCCCTCCCCCAGCCAACCCCTCCCCTTCAAACATCTCCTTTTCCTTTTTGGGCAGAGATTTTTGAACTGCCAAATTGCAGATTCCCTCTCTGTCACTCGTAAATCTTCCTGGTGCTGACTTGAATCCATGACATCTTATCCCTGCAAGACAGCTGGTCCCCCAGCAGTTGGTGGCTACCGGTTTTCAGCACCGCAAACCTCCGCATACACGCAGACATACACACCCCAAAAACGGAGGAATGATATGTTCGAGTCCTCTCTCGGGGGAAGGCAGGTGGGCTGGAGATGCTTCCCTGGGTGCTGAGACATCGTTTGAATTGGTGGCCTCTGTGAAAAGTTCATGGAAGGGCCGTAGCACAGCGTGGTACTAGGGACACCTGCTTGGCATGCAGAAGGTCCCCGGTTCAATCCCCGCTGGCAGCCTCTTCAGGTGGGTCTGGAAATCTCCCCTGCCTGGAACCCTTGAGAGCCATTGCTGCAGGTCAGTGTAGGCAACATTGAGCTAGAAGAACCAATAGGTTTGATTCAACGTGTTGTAAACAAAATCTGCCCTTCTTCCCTTATGGGGTATCCAAGAGCCCATATAGAGTCCTTAAGTGGGTTCCCTATTGGTAGGAGAAAATAACAGAGGCCAACCAGAGAATATTGAGAAGCAAAGCAGCTAGTAAGCCTGATCTTTATTGATCTGTTGCAACAGGGTCTCCCCTCACCCACAGGAAAGGAGGAGGACCCAGAACAAAGGTGTGCCTGCCCTTATATAGACATTTGAAATTCCCTGCCCTGGAGCTCAAGACCACCCCTCCATACATCATACATACATCACAGAAGGGGTATAACCCAAGACCAACCCCCACAAACATCATTGCCTTTCCTGGTAGTCTGCCCATTCCTTTGAGATGGTGATTTCCCAATTCCTGAGACAATGGGAAGGCTCCCTGACCCCCTCCCTCCTTGCAGAGAAAACATTTGGACAGTTTGGGAGTTAAAATGGTTTCAGGTCGGTCTTCCTGTGCTGATCTATGTACGTGCTTGGTTGGTACATTTATGAACATTTATTATATATGTAAGACCTTAAATTTTATTATTACAAATGTAAGGCTGCTTCCAACACTTCAGTTTTATGCCCAGTATGTAGCTCTCTTCGTGGCCCCCAAATTTGGACTTAATTCCAAATTAAGCTGTGTGGCTTAATAAACAGAGGCTATGTGCAATTTTCTGGCTGCCGTCTGTGTGCGTTTAAGTAGATATGAGCTTAGATTGCAGATGTGAGCTTGGATTAGGCGAGGCAGGTTGGGCTCTTAGGCCAGACCTTACCATATTTAGGGACGTTCGTCCTGGAAAGATGCATTTACTTCACCCTTTCCCTTCCCAGTTAAAGATCCCTTTTATACTTTGCTTTGGACTGCAGTGCAAAGTCAATAGCAAGAGTGCCTCTGAGCATATGTTGTTCCTATTTCTTCTAACTTTTAACCCTGCTCTTCCTAAGCAGTCTGTTTAAGATTTTAACCTTGTTGTGTTTTTAGACTGGTTTGAGTGGATGCCTTTTTCCATTTATGTTTATGGCTCTGAGTATATATATATATGAATGATAATAGCAATAAGTTAATTCATTAAAAGCAATCTCCTTTCCCGACACACACAGATGCAAATAATCCTCAGAGAATTGCCACGAGCTCAGCAGATAAAGTGAAAAAGTCAATGAGGGGGGCAGGCAGCCCACCCAGCTGAACTCTAGCAGATGCCCTCCAATGGAGCTTATGGGGGATTTAAACAGCTCAGGGAACTGGGATGTGCCTCACTGTGGAGACATTTCATGCTTATTAGCAGAGTATTGTGACATCTTGTCTGTCAGGACAGCTGCTTCACACCTCCAAGCCCTCTGCAAGATAACATTAGGGCAACACGTGCCTTTTCTGCCCTTTAGAGCTTCCTTTGTGTTACCCAGCAAGGTTTGTTTCAAGACCCTTCACTGTTATTGACCTAAGGTGCCGTCTGCACTGTGCATTTAAAGCACTATCATCCCACTTTACACAGTCATGGCTTCCCCCAAAAATCATGGGAGCTGTAGTCTGTTAAGAGTAGTGAGGGATGTTTGGAGAGTCCAGTTCCCCTCTGAGAGTTCCCAAAATTTCCCTACAATTCCTAGAGTTCCCTGGGAAGAGGGATTAATTATCAAACCATGAAGGAGCTCAGAGACAATTTATTGATGGTTATGGCTATTATTTCAGGCAGCCCTCTATTGGGAGGTTTTTAATGCTTGATGTTTTTATTATGTTTTTAGATATGATGTAAACTGCCCAGAGTGGCTGGGGAAATCCAGCCAGATGGGCAAGGTATAAATATTAATAATGATGATGATGATGATGTTATTTCAATTTATTTTTGTGGTACCTTGGTTCTCAAACTTAATCCGCTCTGCAAGTCCGTTCCAAAACCAAAGCATTCCAAAACCAAGGCGCGCTTTCCCATAGAAAGTAATGCAAAATGGATTAATCCATTACAGACTTTTAAAAACAACCCTTAAAACAGCCATTTAACATGAATTTTACTATCTAATGAGATCATTGATCCATAAAATGAAAGCAATAAACAATGTACTACAGTGGAACCTCGGGTTGCGGATGTAATCTGTGATGGAGGCATGTCCGCAACCCGCAGTGCTGCGCCTGCCCACGTGTGTGATTTGGCGTTTCTGCGCGTGTGCGAAGCACGATTGGCAAAACCCAGAAGTAACCCTTTCCGGTACTTCCGGGTTTCCCATGGTACGCAACCTGAAAACGCATAACCCGAAGCATTTGTAACCCGAGGTACCACTGTACAGTAACACAATCAATCAGTCAATCAATCAATCAATCAGTAGCTGAAGTGGGTTCCGCAGAACCACAAAAAGGAGCCGCAAAAACAGAAAAGCAAAATAAATAGGAAAAACAGACAGACCTCATGGTAGCACTCAAATCAGAAGTGTGGCACTCAAATCGGAAGCGTAACACTCAAATTGGAAATGTGGCACTCAAAACGGAGCATGTTCAACTTCCGAAACAAGTTCGCAAACCGGAACACTTCCAAATTGTTTGAGTACCAAGATACCACTGCAATGCCCTTTATCAAAATATGTCAGGGCAGTGTACAACATTAGAGAGCAAATTACAAAGCATCCGTGATAAAAACATAGTAAAAAGCATGCTGACAGACAGCCTAATGGTAAAATAATCATAATAATAGCAATCCTTTCCCCCACACTTTTACAGGCCATAGATTACTTACTAATCAGAGGCCTGGGTAAAGAGGAATGTTTTTGCCTGGTGTCTAAAGATGATGGCATAGGCGAGCCTCTCTGGAGAGAGCAATCCACAATCAGGGATCCACCAATGCTCCAATGGAATCTCGGAGTTGAACCCTTTCAGCTGTACACACAGGCATTCACCATTTCCGTGTCAATTTAACAATGATACTTAACATTGTAGTGGGAGCCCTGTGATTGAAGCAGATATCTTTCCCCTCCCTGCAGGGCCCGGATTTCGGCTACGTCTCCAGGGAGCCCCTCTTTGAAGAAGTCACCAGCTTGGACTCTTTTGGGAATCTGGAAGTCAGCCCGCCAGTGACTGCCAATGGAAAAGAGTACCCTTTGGGGAGAATCCTCATTGGAAGCAGCTTCCCTCTGTAAGAGAGTGCACGCAGAGGTCGATATTGTAAAAGACCAGACGACCTGAATTTCTGGTTTAAAAAAGAAAACTCAAAACCCACCACTGACCATTATCAATCATAGGGCTTGGGCACCTTTTTTTGCCTTGTGCAAAGCCTCCCCCTGTTGCCTGCCATCGTTGTATGAGGACAGAGGCTAAAGGGGCATGGGAAGAATTAAGACAAATATGCATTTTCCTGCAAAGGACAAAACATTCAGCCCTTTCTGTGGCCAGAAGCTGGCTGAACGGGCATCTGAGCCTCATGTCAACGGTGGCAAGAGGGATTGTTTTCTCCAATGAGGGCCTCAGGGCTTGCAGTGAAAGCAGTGCAGAGGCGATGATGAACTCTGGCAAAGGAGAAGATCTGCCACCTGCCTCACTCAGACAAATGATAGGGCCGGCCCTGTAAAATACATGTCTGTTTTCACTGGCCCCATTTTTCTCTCTCATTCTTTTCCTCCTCTTCTTCTGGGGGAATGTGTTTATATAATTAAATATCCAAAGATATTTCAAAGCACTTATCATCCAATAGTTTTTTTATACAGTCAAACCTCGGATGTTGAATGTAATCCATTCCGGAAGCCCATTTGGCTTCCGAAATGTTCAACAACCGAGGCGCAGCTTCCGATTGGTTTCAGGAGCTTCCTGCACTCAGTGGAAACCGCGTCAGATGTTCGGCTTGAAAAACAGTAAAACACCGGAACATTTACTTCCGGATTTTCGGCGTTTGGGAAATGTTCCAAAACTGAGGCGTTTGGGATCCGAGGTTTGACTGTACATACATAACCTCTTCTTGACTTCCCACCCCTCCTTTCCTGATGTTTATTTTTATTAGCTGCTTTAAAACACAGATTTTTATTATCTAAGCCCCAATATCTCTAATTCTTTCAATAATCTGCTGCTTATATTTCAAATCCTGCCTGCGACTTCATGTATGGGCGATAGTTTAGTAGATAACCTATGAATGGTTTCCATTCTCCCATAAACAATTCATCATTATGTCCTCTTCGTTTAGCAGTCATTTTCTCCATTTCAGCATAGTCCATCAGTTTCATAAGCCATTCATCCTTAATTGGTCATCCTTCTTCTTTTTCTTGGGGGGATGTTGACCTTTTCAGGTCCGCAGGGCGGAGGATGACCAAGGTGGTGCGGGATTTCCTCTATGCCCAGAAAGTCCAGTCACCCATCGAGCTCTACTCTGACTGGCTGACGGTGGGCCACGTGGACGAGTTTGTGACTTTTGTCCCCATTCCTGGCAAAAAGGTGAGCATCAGTTGTGAAGGTCTGTGACCCTTACGCATTGTCGCTAGTTAATTATGTGTTTTGGGCTGAGAAACAGCGATGAAAGCATAGCTGGCGTGGCCATAACCTTCCCCTCCTATGGATTCATCCAGTCCTCTTTTAAAGGATTGGACAGAGACTATGGAAGAGTCATGGGGACACATGGGGAGTCACACTCTCCTGAGTGTGCATGTGTGAATTCAGCAATGCTTAGTTTGTTTTGGGTTCTTAGTTCGTTAATGTTGTTAATATTGTTTTGTGGGTTATGAGCGCTGTAACGCTTTGTGAATTTTATAATACAGTGGTACCTCGGGTTAAGTACTTAATTTGTTCCGGTGGTCCGTACTTAACCTGAAACTGTTCTTAACCTGAAGCACCACTTTATCTAATGGGGCCTCCCGCTGCCACTGCTGCACGATTTCTGTTCTCATCCTGAAGCAAAGTTCTTAACCTGAGGTAATATTTCTGGGTTAGCAGAGTCTGTAACCTGAAGCGTGTGTAACCTGAAGCGTATGTAACCTGAGGTAACACTGTACGACTTTTCTTGTGGTTGTGCTTTTTAGCCTATTTTCAAAGTGGTTTTGTTAATGGTGATTAGTTGATTATTTTATGTGATTTATGTTGCGGTTGTGATGATGATGATGATAATAATAATTTATTTGTACCCCGCCCATCTGGCTGGGTTTCCCCAGCCACTCTGGGCAGTTTCCAACAAAGATTAAAAATACATTTAAATGTCACACATTAAAAACTTCCCTGAACAGGGCTGCCTTCAGATGTCTTCTAAATGTCAGGTAGTTGTTTTTCTCTTTGACATCTGATGGAAGGGCGTTCCACAGGGCGGGCGCCACTACCAAGAAGGCTCTCTGCCTGGTTCCCTGTAGCTTTGCTTCTCGCAGGGAGGGAACCGCCAGAAGGCCCTTGGTGCTGGACCTCAGCGTCCGGGCAGAACAATGGGGGTGGAGACGTTCCTTCAGGTATACTGGGCCGAGGCTGTGTTCTGCTGTGTTATTATTTATGGCATGTAAGCTGCTTTGTGACTCATGTGAGTTAAAAGTGGCATAGGAATATAATAAATAAACAAATAATGCAAGCAAGCAAAGGTAAAGGGTCCCTGGCCGGTTAAGCCCAGTCAAAGGCAACTATGGGGTTGTGGTGCTCATCTTGCTTTCAGGCTGAGGGAGCCGCCGTTTGTCCATAGAAAGCTTTCCAGGTCACGTGGCCAGCATGACTAAACTGGACAGGACACCGTGACGGAAACCAGAGCGCATGGAAACGCCATTTACCTTCCTGCTGCAGTGGTACCTATTCATCCACTTGCGCTGGTGTGCTTTTGAACTGCTGAGTTGGCCGACCTTCTGATCGGCAAGCCCAAGAGGCTCAGTGGTTTAGATCACAGCGCCACCCGCATCCCCGATAAGCAAGTGAGCAAGCCATCCAGATGGATGGGCAGCATGGCCTCCTGCAGGAAGGAGTTCCATAGTTTAACCATGAGCTGCGTGGAAAAGTCCTTTCTTTTACCTGCCCTGATACGGCCCTTCGTTTCCCTTTCCTCCTCTCAGCAATTCCGGATGCTCATGGCCAGCCCTTCCGCCTGCTACAAGCTGTTCAGGGAGAAGCAGAAAGAAGGTCACGGAGAAGCCGTCATGTTCAAAGGTAGGCTGTTCAGACAGACAAGAGCCTAAAAAGAAACCCTGCTAGATCAGGCCGGTGGCCCAGCTAAGTCCAGCATCCTGTTCTCACAGGGGCCAACTAGATGCATGTGGGAAACCCGCAAACAGAAGCCAAGCACAAGAACCCTTTCCCCTCCGTTTGATGTTTAGAGTATAGCCATCGTGGCTCGTAGCCATTGATAGCCCTCTCCTCCTCCATGAATTTGTCCCATTTTCTTTTAAAGCCATCCAGGTTGGTGGGTCGTCCTGTGGGAGGGAGTTCCACAGTTCAACACTGCACAAACGACTTTCTTTTACCAGTTCTGAATTTTCCAACATTCAACTTCGCTGGGCGTCCGCGAGTTGCAGTGTTACGAGAGAGGGAGAAAAGCTTTTCTCTAGCCACATTCTTCATGCCAGGCATAGTTTTATATACCTGTCGTGTTGCCTCTTACTTGCCTTTTCTCTAAACTAAAAAGTCCCCAAAACGGCAATCTTGCTTCGTGTAGCTGTCTTGGAACAGAGTCCTGCCTCTGAGGAGGGAATGGACTCTCTGGCATGTTTGCATTCATTCATTTTTTAAAAGAGCTTGTGCAAAATTGGCTCATCAGTTTTATCGCTCCTTTCGCAAAGCACCTTGTAACTCAACCCAAAACTCTTCCCTCTCTCTCTCTCTCTCTCTCTCTCTCTCTCTTTCTCTCTCTCTCTGTGTGTGAGAGAGAGAAAGAGAGAGAATCACACAAGTGGCTTTGCCCATCCTTATTCTGCACCAATGTGTGGGGAAGCAGGACGAAGATGTCTCACAGACGGCTCCTGCAATCGCCTTATGTCCCAAAGAATGGGGGGGGAGGCCCATAGTTGGAACGCATCATGGACACTGGCTTCAAATTATCCAGCCTCCTTGTAGGGGATAATCAGATCCACTTCTTGCCTTGGACCCCCCCAAGCTGAGCGTTGGCTATCTTCGAAATGCCGCTCCCTACCCAACAGATGCTACTGCAGTCTCAGCTGTGTATGATAATATTGGCAACATTACAGAAGCAGCAATGGTCACACCATGCATTTAAGGTCCATTTAAAGTAGTTTCTCCCTCCCTCCCCCAAAAACCCCCAATAATCATGTGAAGTATAGTTTGTTTTTTTTTAAATAATATTTATTCCAGATTTAAAATCACAGAAAAAAGAAAAACCATACAGAGTACAAAGAAAATTTTGACCATAACCGAACAAAAAATAAACAAGTAAAAAGAACAATAAGATAGAATAAAAAAAAAACTTAACAAAAAATATAAAAATGTATTAAGTTAAAAATAAAACAAAAGCAGGTTAAACCTTTACATATCCTTTTCCCTTTACTTATTTCCATTAACCTCCTCTCACCTCCCAATTTTGTATTCTAGTTCGAATCATATTTCCAGCAAATCCCTCTAATCTTATTTTCATTTACGTATTTTAAAATTGAAGTAATATAATTAAACCTCCTCTATTTCATCAAATTCATCAACTCATCTTTGCTTATTCCATTATATCGTATCTACCGAAACGACCTAATATTCTTTTTCCAACCTCCTTCTAACATTCTTTTATATTGCAATGCTTTTGAAGATATATTTTGAATTTTTTCCAATCTTCTTCCATCGACCCTTCTCCCTGGTCTCGAATAATCATGGGAAGTATAGTTTACACTTTGGAACTCCCTGCCTATTGAGATCAATCAGGCGCCTTCAGTGTCCTCTTTTCAGCACTCGCCAAGAACATTTTTCTTTGGGCCAGCCTACCCATACAGTATATTCAGATGCAAGTTTTTTTTAAGTTTGTTGTTTTAACTTTTATTTATTTATTTAATTAATCGTTTTTTCAATAATAACCACCACCACAAAAAAACCACATACAACAAAAACCGCAATAGCACTAATAACACAATATAACATTTCAGATTTGAGTACTGATATACCTATGACTGCACCCTTTTAACAATATTTCCCCACCTCTCATCCCCCTACTTCCCACCACCGTCCGCCTTATCGCTTAAATATTCCTTCCAGATTTCTTCATATTTATCCATTCTTAATTTGCGTCGACATGCAATTCGTTCATATGTGGCTAGTCTGTCCATATTGTCAATCCATGTGCTCAATGGAATCTTTTTGCGGCTCTTCCCATTCATCAGAACAAGTTTTTTTGCTTCTAATATGGCAGTTTGTTGTTTTAACTTGATTTTTGTTAATGTCCCTTTTGGTCATTTTATTGCTTAAACTTTTTTAATAAACCACTTCGAGCTTGGGGAAAAAATAGCAATCAAGCAGTGCATAAACTTTGTGGAATAAATAGCGTACCTCTCACAGAGCTAAATACCCAGCACCCTTAAACTACAGTTCCCAGGATTCACTGGCGGGGAGATGTGCTGTATTTCAGGGGTTCCACTCAGAGAGGTGGTCATCTAGACTGGGGGTCTTGAAAACCAGGCACCCGGTTTCCTAAATTGGAGCCCCTGGAGCATGTCTTTAGGTGCAAAACCTTCTCTTCGACCTGGTTCATTTCCTAGCTCTGGACCATAGCTGTCAAGCGTCCCTTATTTGGCGGGACAGTCCCTTATCCCAGTGCCATGTCCCGCTGCTGTCCCTTATTGATGAGGCTTCGTTTGGCTGCTGGCTGGGCTTTCTGCATTTGGCTCGGTGGGGCTCAGAAGTTGAACATACCTGTGCCTGGAAAATCCCATATTCTGGCTGCTGATCCCTTATTTTCGAGGCTGCTGGTCCCTTATTTTCAAACTCATCTGCTTGCTCCTGAGAAATGCATCTTATAGTTGCCAATGTGTCTTCTTCTAGTGCCATCGCTGTCCAAGACATTTCATATTTGTGTGTGTGTGTGTGTGTGTGTGTGTGTGTGCAGTGCCAGATTTATGTATAAGCTTGTTTAAGCTATAGCTTAGTGCTCTACTCTCTTGGGGGCCCCAAAAAAATTAAGGAAAAAAAACACTGGATGTACATTTCCAAAATATAAGATTAAGACAAATAAAATAAAACCTACCTACAGCAACAGTGTTTTGTGTTGTGTAGGCTCCTATGATGTAAGTAATGGGCCCATCCTGCTAGCCTGCTCCCTAAAATATCACTGGATTGCTCATTTCTATATAGAGGGTGGGACGCGGGTGGCGCTGTGGGTTAAACCACAGTGCCTAGGACTTGCTGATCAGAAGGTCGGCGGTTCGAATCCCCGCGGCGGGGTGAGCTCCCATTGCTCGGTCCCTGCTCCTGCCAACCTAGCAGTTTGAAAGCACGTCAAAGTGCAAGTAGATAAATAGGTACCGCTCCGGCGGGAAGGTAAACGGCATTTCCGTGCACTGTTCTGGTTTGCCAGAAGCGGCTTAGTCATGCTGGCCACATGACCCAGAAGCTGTCTGCGGACAAACGCCGGCTCCTCGGCCTATAGAGCAAGATGAGCGCCGCAACCCCAGAGTCAGTCATGACTGGACCTAATGGTCAGGGGTCCCTTTACCTTTACCTTTATATATAGGGTGCCTACATTCTGCATGGACCGGTTGCATGGCAACACGTGCAAATGGCTTTAGATACCTAATATAGCATATATTCAACACAAAAAACAGTGACAATTTGTTGTTGAGAAAGGATAGCTAGACACAGAAAGGGCCTCATTACCTTCAGTAGCCTTAGGGCCTCATCAAACCTAAATCCAGCCGTGTGTGTGAGTGTTCGCGCGCAGTAACATTTGAGGAATTCCTTTCAGAAAATAAGAAGCTGCCAAGCCCTGCACGTGGCTTCTAGGAGTAACCTTCTTTCCCCCGCCTTTTGTTCCCCCACTCCAGGGTACACCGGAACAGACACAAAGCGTGTCACCGTCAACAAGGTGCTCTCCAACGAGGTCATGGTACAAGAGAATCAGTATGTGCAGGTACGTCAAGGATTACTGAGCCGCAATTTCTGCACTGCAGCAGGTTGGAGATCCCTTGGAAATCCCTTCCAACTTTACAGTTCTGTCCTTGTCAAGTGGCTGTCCTTTTTCGTTTTAATCAAAATTATCCCCCACCCCCCAAAAGAAGCATACTTAAATCAAGGCACAAATGAAGCTTCTGAGCCTCCTTAGTCATTATATTATTATTATTATTATTATTATTATTATTATTATTATTATTATTACTACTACTACTACTGTTTTTAGCTAATTGCTTTTTTAATGTTTTCAAGAGTTGCCTTTACTGCTAATTTATGGTTTTACTCTTTGTAAATCGTACTGAGATATTTTTTTTTACAATAAAGCCGTGTGTAAATTTTGTGAAACAAATCACATTATCTGAGGTCACTAAATCTGCACCTGTCACTTCCTGAACCTCCCCCAGCGGTGCATTGACTGGAACCGGGACATCCTCAAGAAGGAGTTGGGTCTGGCAGAAAAGGACATCATTGACCTCCCAGCCCTCTTCAAGATGGACAAGCAAGGCAAAGCGATGGCTTACTTCCCCAACATGGTGAGAATTGTCACACGGGGTATTTAGCAAAAGTCCTGCAGGGCCCTAGTCTCTTGTGACAGAGCGTTCCACCAAGTCGGGGCCAGTACTGAAAAGGCCCTGGCCCTAGTTGAGACCAATCTAACCACCTTGCAACTTGGGACCTGGCTGGATCCCAGGGCTAAACATAGTCTCCAGCAAAAGAGAACCCCCAGCAGAGTTTACAAAGTGTAGCATTAAACCTTTTAATATCCTGTTTGGTCCGCTACCAGAGCTGCTCCATTTCTACTGCTCTTAGCATTAAACATACCAGACACCTTAGTAAGTTTAAAAGCTGTACTTACAACACTCCAATGGTCAGATTCAAGCATTATTCTGTGCAGCAGCAGCAAGAAGAACGCAGGCAGAAAGTCTTGGGTTTACAAAATGCAGAAATAGTCTCAGCTTATAGCCAGCAAGCTCAGGCACATCCTATCTCGGGGAATTCATATCGTGAAAGACAAAGGAGGAAACTTAACTTCCTTCCAGGTGAGGAGTGTGAGCTAATTGATTAACTAGCATATCCAAACTAGAGCCTGGATAGCTCAGTTGGTTAGAGCCTGGTGCTGATAATGCCAAGGGGCCCCGAGGATCATCTAGTCCAGCCCCCTGAAAATCAGGAATATGCAGCTGTCCCATACAGGGATCGAACCTGCAACCTTAGTGTTCCACACTCTAATCAACTGAGCTATCCATATTTATTTACAATCAAGCGGTAGATACATTTTATGAACTAAATAAATGAAACAAATAAGATGGGTGCTGGATAAAGCAGTTGGCTGGAGGAGACAGCCCAAGGAAGGACCGCAGCCTGGTCTCTTTTTTGCTCTCTCCGTCTCCTTTTGTTTTGTTTTGATATATAGTTTTATTAAATCTCCAAAGATATTTCAAAACACTGATCACCCTATAGAGTGTTTTCTTATACATGCATGACTTCTTCTTGACTTCCCACCCCTCCTTTCCTGATGTTTATTTTTATTACTCCTTTTTATTCGCTGTTTTAAAACACACACGTTTTTATTATCTAAGCCCTGGTATTCTTTCAATAATCTGCTGCTTGTATATCAAATCCTGCCTGCGATTTCATGTATGGCCGATAAGTTTGATAGATAACCCATCAATAGTTTCTTTCCATTCCCCCTTAAACAATTCATCGTTAGGTCCTCGTTAGCTCAGCAGTCAATTTCTCCCTCTCCTTTTGCATCCAGGTGAACATGATTGTCCTGTCCAGGGACCTGGGCATCCCCAAGCCGTTTGGGCCTATCATCGAGGCCGAATGCTGCCTGGAGCAGCATGTCTGCTCCCTCCTGGAGCCACTGGGCCTGACCTGCACCTTCATCGACGACGTTTCGTCCTACCACAAGCAGCTGGGGGAGGTCCATTGCGGCACTAACGTTCAGCGCAAGCCTTCTGCCTTCAAATGGTGGAACGTGACTCCATAGTAATAAGGGAGATTTCCTGAAAACTGACCCAGGGGGTGGGTGGGGAGAGGATTCGGACAAGCAGTTTTGCAGCCCACGTGCCTTTTTGACCCGAGTCCACCAATCCCGAGTTTCGAATCGGGTTGGTGCCATCCCAGGCGAACGATGGACTCAAGAGACCTCTGTTGGTTGGAGGAGCTGCACAAATCAATAGATGCTTCGTTGGGTGAGTGGGGGAAAACTGTTTGCCTGAATCCTCCGGCAGAAGCAGCTTTTTTTCCCCTGTTGTTTTCCGTTGCTCGGGGACTGATGGGGCTCCTTTGGGGCGGGTGTTAACTAGATTTGTGGGGGCTTTCTTTTTCACTGACGACTTTGCGGGTGCTGTGTGCTTGTTTTTTTCCTCCCTTCTTTTTGCCTCCCAAAGTCCTTCAGCCGAATGCCAGCTTCCTTTCTCTGTGCATGCAAAAGAAGAAAAAGAAAACAGAAGACCCGAAGCCCATTCCATATTCTGTGTGTTTTTTGTGTGTGTATACGCTAAAGCTTTTTGGAAGTCGTGGCAGCTGGAGACGGGGGCTCGTATCTAGAGAAGTCCTCCTTGGCTTGTAGGCCCCTTAGATAAGTCATGTGTATTAACTTCCATGGGTCTACTCTTGGGTAGGATCGGATACAAGCCTATATAACTGGTTTGGGGCATTATACCAAAAATAGTATCATAACAAATGGAAAGACGCTTCTGAGTTGGTAACAATAATATTAATAAAATGGGGAAAACGCTCTTGTTGGTCTTTTTAAAAATGGTTGTATTTGTGCATTCCTTTGGGTTGCCAGGATTCTTTGGGTTCTATATCCCTTACATTCAATGTGTTCAAAGCAACCTTCTTCAGCCACCAGGTCAGTGGTGTCCTCCTGATGTTCTCTACACACATTAAAAGCCCCTCGAAAGCACGGAGGTGGAGGGAGACTTAGTCATGGAGACTTAGTAGTAGGGTGCAGATTTCCATAAGAACCTAAGCAGCGCCTGTTGGATCGAGCCAAGAGCATCCTGTTTTCACAGTGGCCCCAAAGGGAGACCCAAAAGCAGCACCCAAGTCCAACAGCTCTCTCCTAAGAACACAAGAAGATCCATGGGGAGAGGCAACCCTCTGGGCCCAGGACCTTAAAATCAGCAAGGCTGTTGCCAGAGAGGCCTGTGCTTTTGACCCTATGAATCTGAGGCTTTTAGCTGCACCAGCCACAGACACTGGTACAATTGCACAGCTCCCCAATCGATGTGGAAGAGTGAAAAGGTTTGCAAGCATTGGAAGAAATTGGTCTTCCTCCCAGAAACTTGAGGACTAGAAACTTAAACCTTTCTGTAGGAGGAGAAAGAACAGGTTCCCCGAAAGAATGAGGTAACAGGCCTCCTCCTCCGAGGAAAGGTATTCTTTGCATGCGCCACATTAATATCCAAATATGACATATACAGAGAGAAAGAAGAGGCCAAAATCAAGAGCCCCCCTGCCCCTGACGGGGGTATCAAATGAAATGAAATGAGGGAGATCGGATTAAGAGGGCCACAGGGGTGATCTGAGAAGGCCCCCAGCTGCTGTTAAAAAAGTAAATTAAAAACCCCCACAAAACTTCCCAGGCATTCGGACAGCGCCACCGCTGACAGTAATGTCAGCCGGAGCTGAGCAATGGAATTAAAATTAGTCCCATGTCTTTCCAGTGGGGTTAAGCATCTCATATGGTGCAGGACCCTCCTCTCAAATACCGGCTAGGAGAGAGAATTGCAATGACATGGCCGCCTCTGCTTGGGTACATGCCAACTCTGGGAAGCTGAGATGGCGGCCTGAGATGGAGCGCATAACTCCCTGGAGTCGCGATCGCCTCTCCCCCTTTGTTGTGGGCGAGGGTAGGGTTACCCACCAGCAGCTGGAGCTGCAGCAGCTGAGCCCAGCGAAAGGAGAGGTGGCCCTGTGTCAGGACCTCTGGCTGGCCGGCACATCGTTGCCCCCATCCCACATAGATGCTAATCCCGGAATTATTGACATGTCGCATGCCTCCCAAACGAAGGGATCTAATGATGCCATCTAATACATGAAAAATGTTGGCTGAGGAGGACCCCCGTTCCCGGCCCCAGCTAAAGCAAGGAGGGCCAGAGCTGTATCCCTGCGACAGTGGATCCACAAGGGTGATGAGGGAAGGGGGCCGCAGATTCCAACTAGCCCCGGAATCCCCCTTTCCCCCGTTACTTAAAACAGTGCCCCCTTTCCCCCAGTCCTGCCTGACACCACAATCACACAGCTCTCCTGTCGGTGTGGAGCACGGGAGCTTGCCAGCTTTGGAAATCAGTCTTTTACTCACAGTGGTGAGGACTAGAAACTTGCAACTCGCCAGCCGGGTGCTCACATTACAGGCAGGTCCCTGGTTTTCTTGCCGGCGCAGCCAGTTATAGCTAGGAACGTTCCCTGCCTGAAACCTGGGACAGCTGATACCAGTCAGAGTAAGCCAAGGTTCCCCAAACTTGGGTCTCCAGCTGTTTTTGGACTACAGTTCCCATCATCCCTGACCACTGGTCCTGCTAGCTAGGGATGATAGGAGTTGTAGTCCATAAACAGCTGGAGAGCCAAGTTTAGGAAACCCTGGTCTAAGGGCCTGACTTGGCATAAGGCACTTTCCTCCGTTCCTATTTAAGTCATCCCTCAATTTGCAGCGATGACGACTAGAAGCATGCTTTGTTTTTAAGGGAAAGGATGTTCAGTCCCTGACATCTCCAGGCAGGGCTGGGGATAGAACCTGCCTGGAAACCCTGAGAGCGGAAATCAATTACCATTGCTTCTGGCAATTAGAGAAAACAAACAGAAAACAAACCAATCACTCCCACCCTCTGCCTTCCCCAGCTCAACAGCAAGCACCTGACATGACCCACTCAGCTCCTTTGCAAGATAAGGTAGCCTTGCTGAATTTTGCACAGAGCTTTTTTCCCTTTTCCTGTTTTGCATCCATTGAAGATGATGATGTCTACATTCACTGCAACAACTTGAGCAGGGAAAGTCAGGCTACTGACCTCCAACCGTCATTGGTTGGCTGATGGTCATGGATGAAGGGAGCTGGCATCTGTGCATGAAAAGAAGGCAAAGTAGCGATGGCGGGAATTAGGGGCAGTAAAGGCAAGTGACGGCAAAGGTGAGTGATGGCGGAAGAAGGAATCCTTCAGCTGGGGGGCTGCGGCTGCTACATCCCTGTGTGTAAAGGAGGCAGAGTTGTGATGGAGACCCAGGGGCAGTAAAGGCAAGCGATGGTCGGCCTGCAACAGAGGAACCTCTGGCCCTCCAAACGTCGGCAGATGCCAACTCCCAAGATCCCTGCCAGCCGGAATGCCCAGTGGTCAGGGACGATGAGGGTTGCTTCAGCTCGGTAACCTTCAGAAGGCACCAAACTGGTGAGCCCTGACCTAGAGAAAGACACCAAAGCCATCATTCTGCCGCCTGCAGCATGAAACATCACCGCTATTTGGACATGCCTAGCCAAGCAATCAACGTGGGGAGATATTTTACATTCCTTGCATAAAAGAAAATGCAGCTCCCCCAACTCACTGTGGTTAAACTGTTCACTTGTGGCACAAATTCAGGCAATGCTACCCTCTTCTGGACGGTTTGGCTAACACAGTTTGTCACCTCAAATTTCAGGGGCGTCCTATGTGAAGCCAAAACCCAGCCATCCCTGTCTCCCCGCCTCTCGCCTTCCATTGGATGTCGTACTTGCGACACCCCACAAGCTCTACATCTCGGTCGTGCCCCCCTGGATGCACCTTTAGCAAACTGAGAGGCAAGCATTTCCACCGCACACAGAAAACTTGCACCAGCCGCCTCCTGCTTGCAGCTGCTCAGCATTGCCAGAATCTTTCCTCCCACAGCTGTGTTTGCTTGTTAATTACCACAGAGCCTAGGATTTGCCGATCAGAAGGTCGGCGGTTCGAATCCCCGCGACGGGGTGAGCTCCCGTTGCTCTGTCCCAGCTCCTGCCAACCTAGCAGTTTGAAAGCATGTCAAAGTGCAAGTAGATAAACAGGGACCGCTCCGGCGGGAAGGTAAACGGCATTTCCATGCACTGGTCTGGTTCACCAGAAGCGGCTTAGTCATGCTGGCCACATGACCCGGAAGCTGTACGCCGGCTCCCTTGGCTAATAAAGATGAGCGCCGCAACCCCAGAGTCGGCCACGACTGGACCTAATGGTCAGGGGTCCCTTTACCTTTACCTTACTCCACCACTGAGCAGCAACAATCCAGCAAAAGGGCCTCATGGCTCCCAGATGCTGGGAGCCGGAGTCTAGCAATTTATTGAGAACCACAAGCTCTCCATACTTGAACTGGACCGTCACTAGCCTTCGCTGCCCCTAGCTGCCATCATGCTAGTCATCATCCCTGAATATAGGCCAGGCTGGCTGGTGCTGTTGGGAGTTGGAGTCTAGCAATTTCTTGAGAACTACAAGCTCTTCATCCCTGAACTGGACCATCACTTGCCTTCACTGTCCTTAGCTGCCTCCAATGCAACTATGGCTTCTTTAAACACAGGGACAAGGAATCTTCAACCGTGCAAATGTTAGCATGGGACAACTCCCATAATCTCTGATCGTTTGGAGTCTCTGGAAGACCATCGTCCCTGAACTGGACCATCACTTGCCTGCCCTGCCCTGAGCTCAACGCTTTCCTTTAATGCAGGGGTGGGGAACCAGTGGTTCGACTCGCTCCAAGGCAGCTTCAAGGATCTCAGGGCGGCAGTCATGTTCCATCCCAAGACTCTCCCATAATCTCACAACAACCCTCCGAGGTAGGTCGCGCTGAGAGATTATGATTGGCCCATGGCTGGGGAAGAGAACAGACCACAGATTTGAACCCAGGTCTCCCTAGTCCTAGCCTGACACTGCAAACAACAACACCACCAATCTGCACACCCCACAAAACATCCAGCAAGGTGTGGGGTCCAAACGTTCCATTTATTTCACCGTTTCCTTCTTTCCTCCCCCTCCCCGGTGCTCCCCAGACGCCATTTTCCTCCCAGCCTCCCCAAACAGGAAATCAGACCAACTAATACAAGTCCATACAGACATAAACCCGTTCCCACTTAAACCAGCCAGCGGTGGGGGCCGCGAGGTTTCGTTCTGCTACATGCACCTGCCTGTGGGCCTGGAATCTGCGCCACGCAGACTTTGCCGGGAAAGAAAAGTTCAGAGCTCTGTTCCCTCACAAAAGCGCCTCGTTCCTCAACTGGCCCACCTCACTGCACCATCTCCGGCCGCCCACCAAGCTGCGTCGAGGGGCAGCACCCAGAAACGCCGCAAGCAAGAATCCCGACTCCCCTCCCCTGGTGGACCTCACACCAGTTTTCTGTCCCTAATTGAAAAGCCCCGCTCTTCCGGAAGCTCAAGCAAGGAACCCTGCGTGTTCACCCCTGTGTTCTGCCAGTCAAGAACAGAACCACAGAATGGTAGAGTTGGGAGGGACCCCCAGGAGTCAGGCATCACGGCTCACAACAGTCAGTGCCGTGCCGCTGACGGTTCCCCCACCCAGTCGGCAGCCCTTAAATGCGGACAGTGTTGATCCGCAGCGGCTGCACGTTCTTCCCGTTGGCGTGGCTCTGCCCCGGGCTGAAGTAGGAGCAGAGCTTGCCCGGGAAGCGCTCCCGGAAGGTGTACAGCCAGGACATGTCGTCCGCGTTGTAGAAGATCAGGAGGCCGCGGTCGTAGTCCAAGAAGACGCCCACCTTCTCCAGCTTGCTCTTGACGTTCAGCCGGGTCCAGGGCTCCGTGCAAGCGCTGTACTGGTTGCCGTCATGCATGACGATGCAGTAGAAGCCGCGGCTGGGCTGGATCTGGATGCTGCCCTTGCGCGTGACGGCCTCGTGCGCCAGGCCGATCATCCACTGCGTCTTCTCCGAGACCACCACCTCCCAGTAGTGCACCCCGCCGCCAAAGGCCTCCGAGCCCAGCACCGAGACCTCCACGTCAAAGCGCTTGGGGGAGTCTTGCAGCGGCTGCGGGTGCAGGTTGCCGTAGGCCACGATGGTGCAGTCGTCGGAGAGGATGAGGCGCTGGTGGGCTGTGGAGGGGTCCAGCGTGAGGGTGGCAGGCACTGCGGGGAGAAATATGTTACTATTTATTCATTTTGTAATATTTCTACACCGTTTGGTTGGACGGACTCCCTGGGCAGTGTTCAGAAAGTGGTGGTGGGGATGAGTGTTCAGACCCCTGGGCTCTTACTTGTGGGGTGCCTCAGGGTTCTGTCCTCTCCCCCATGCTTTTCAACATCTACATGCAGCCGCTGGGAGAGATCATCAGGGGGTTTGGGCTGGGTGTTCATCAGTATGCAGATGATACCCAGCTCTACCTCTCCTTTAAATCAGAACCAGTGAAGGTCCTGTGTGAGTGCCTGGAGGCGGTTGGAGGATGGATGGTGACTAACAGATTGAGGTTGAATCCTGACAAGACAGAAGTACTGTTCTTGGGGGACAGGAGACAGGCGGGTGTGGAGGACTCCCTGGTCCTGAATAGGGTAACTGTGCCCCTGAAGGACGAGGTGCGCAGCCTGGGAGTCATTTTGGAATCTCAGCTGTCCATGGAGGCACAGGTTAATTCTGTGTCCAGGGCAGCTGTCTACCAGCTCCACCTGGTACGCAGGCTGAGACCCTCCCTGCCCGCAGACTGTCTCGCCAGAGTGGTGCATGCTCTGGTTATCTCTCGCTTGGACTACTGCAATGCACTCTATGTGGAGCTACCTTTGAAGGTGACCCGGAAACTACAACTAATCCAGAATGCGGCAGCTAGACTGGTGACTGGGAGCGCCCACCGAGACCACGTAACACCGGTCTTGAAAGGCCTACATTGGCTCCCAGTATGTTTCCGAGCACAATTCAAAGTGTTGGTGCTGATCTTTAAAGCCCTAAATGGCCTCGGTCCTGTATACCTGAAGGAGCATCTCCACCCCCATTGTTCTGCCCGGACACTGAGGTCCAGCTCCGAGGGCCTTCTGGCGGTTCCCTCACTGCGAGAAGCCAAGTTACAGGGAACCAGGCCAAATGCCTTCTCGGTAGTGGCACCCACCAATATTTTAAACTTTCACCACTGTAACTAAGCCAAGTTTTACTGCCTCGGCAACTTTTTCTGACTGCTGTATGGAAAAGCACATGAATATGACCTTTGGAGAGTTTGTAAGTATACCATTTTTAATTTCCCAAACATGTGGTCTTTTTAGATGTGAGGGGAGTTCTGAAACTCACAAGGGCATATTTCAACGGTCTAACAACCTCTAATTCCATGCTTTACTTTGCTGCGTGCTTTGTGATTTTAAATCTCTTCTGGGGTTCTCTCACCAAACGTGGATTGCGGCATTCTACTTTTATACCTATTTTTTTCCCTTGCACCAACAGTAAGAACCTTCCTTTCCCAACAACACCTTTGAAGTGGAGATCTTTTATCCCAGTCTACATCTGCCTCAGACTTGCAACTGTCATATAATGCTGATTTTGTTGCGGCCGTTCACTGTTAAAATCGGGATAGTTTTACAGGAAGCAATTCAGAAATGAAGCAAACACATTAGCTCACCTGGGTGGATGTCCTGAAAAAGAGATTTCCAGATCGTGTACTGCAAGGGCCCCATATACTTGGAGGTGGGGAAGTCCTCGTATGTGAGGTTCGTTTCGTGGATCTTGCCCTTGAGCCTTGTGAGGAGGAAGAGAACCAGGGTGAGCAAGGAGCACGTGGGCTGCACACACTTTCAATGGGTCTACTTGATGTTTGCTAGACACAGTGGCTGTACTCTGCCTCCATGGCCCGAGGCAGTGATGCTTTTGAATAACCATTGCTGGAAAACACACCTTTAGTTTTTCCTCTTTCCCTTCTCTCTCTCTCTTTTACAGTACTTCTCTTTTCTTTCTGACTTTTGTCCTTTTTTAGACTGTTTATCTTAATATAGCATAAAAAGTAGCTGTTTTATTTTAGTATATTATAAAAAAAGATGCTTTGCAATGGGTTTGTATTTTTGTATAGCTGTGAATAAGCATCAAGCTGAAAGAACGAAGGAACACAGTTGCTGTTTTAATGAGGTCCGGCTTGCAGGTCTCCCACTGGAGTATCTGGCTGGCCCCGTGAGTCAGTAATATCCAAGGCAGCACGATGACCAAATAGAATGATACGATATCAATATACACCCTTTATATACAGTGGTACCTCAAGTTAAGTACTTAATTCGTTCCGGAGGTCTGTTCTTAACCTGAAACTGTTCTTAACCTGAAGCACCACTTTAGCTAATGGGGCCTCCTGCTGCTGCTGCACTGCCGGAGCACGATTTCTGTTCTTATCCTGAAGCAAAGTTCTTAACCTGAAGCACTATTTCTGGGTTAGCGGAGTGTGTAACCTGAAGCGTATGTAACCTGAAACATATGTAACCCGAGGTACCACTATAATATGAAATATATGAAATCACATAATCAGAAAACTTAGGAATCTCTGAAAGTCACAAAATATGCACTCTTGATGGATTCTCTTGAAAACATAGAGCCAAATAAACATAAGTCTTATAAGTCTCTGAAAGTCTTTGAAGACTATGCAAGTCTCTGAAAGAATATACCCACTGTTCCATGGAATTCTTCTTCAGCACAGCAGAAGGATACAGAAATGCTTCATAAACCCATCTATATGGTGAATGGAAAAGTATAACCACAATTGCTATGGAGGAGCGTTCATAAAGTTATGAAGAAAAATTCCACGAAACAGCGGGTATATCCGGAATCACTGTTCACAGCGTCTGTTTGCGAACTACTTTGGCAGCGTTGGATGCCATAAACAAAGCTTTACAGCATGTTTTCACCAGATAAGAATCTGATACATTGCTTCTTCCAGAGACCTGCATAGTCTTCAAAGACTTTCAGAGACTTATAAGGCTTATGTTTATTTGGTTTCACGTTTTCAAGAGAATCCATTAAGAGTGCATATTTCGTGACTTTCAGAGATCCATAAGTTTTTTCTTTAAGTGATTTCATATATAGTGGTACCTCGGGTTAAGTACCTAATTCATTCTGGAGGTCCGTACTTAACCTGAAACTGTTCTTAACCTGAAGCACCACTTTAGCTAATGGGGCCTCCTGCTGCCGCCGCGCCGCCGGAGCACAATTTCTGTTCTCATCCTGAAGCAAAGTTCTTAACCTGAAGCACTATTTCTGGGTTAGTGGAGTCTGTAACCTGAAGCGTATGTAACCTGAAACGTATGTAACCCGAGGTACTACTGTATTTCATATTATATAAAGAGTGTATATTGATATCGTATCATTGCATTTGGTCATGGTGTTGCCTTGGATATTACTGACTACTGTTTGCAACACAGGGGTTAAATTGTTTGCTCCCTGTGAGAATGGGAAGCTGGGCTGGTCCAGCAGCCTCCCTGTGTTCCTATGAATGATGCTTAGTTTGACGCAGCTGGGGAAGGCTGCTCTAACCCTGGGCTCCCAAACTCCCCCTGCTGTCAGCCGCCCGCGTAACTCACCCTACCTCTCGGACAAGGACGCAATGCCGGCCAGGAAGGAGTGCTTGTCCGCCTCGGCCAGCCGCTCCTGGAGGATCTGACTACCCTCCTGGACTTTGCGGAGCTGCTGGCTGTAGCGCTGGATCTTCTGCTCGATGTCCGTCAGAGTCCGGGCCGTGTCTGCCTCCAGCTCCTCCAACATGGCCTTCTGGCGCTCGCGGAGCAGGCGGTGCAGCCGTTCAAACGCCTCCCCGATTGTGGCCCGCAGGCTCTTGGCGGAGGACTGCGGGGAGAGAATGAGATGCAGGCAAGTCACGGGTGGAGCTTGGCTTCCCTTGACGAAGACCCGCGATCGCCTCGATACCGCCCTGCAAGGTTGTTGTGCGAAGACGGAGATCTTGCGGATCTTGCGACTTGTTTAAAGCTGTCTGCGTGGGGGACGGGGTGGGGAAAGAGACCTCCCATTTTGATGAGAGGTGTGACTTTAAAGTTGCAAAATAACCAAGCATGGGACTGAGTGATGGAGAAATCTCTGGAACAATAATGGGATATCAGCTTTGCCCAAGGCGTGACAGATCACAGCAACAACCGGGGAAATATATACCGTATTTTTTTATCTATAGGACGCACTTTTTCCTCTCCAAAAATGAAGGGGAAATGTGTATGCGTCCTATGGAGCGAATGCAGGCTCCTTGGCTTCAGCGATAGCAACGCAAACCCTCCGAAGCGCAGAGGGAGAGCTCCCTCCGCGCTCCGGAGGCTTCGCTAGCTCGCTGAAGCCTGGAGAGCGAGATGGGTCGGTGCGCACCAACCCCTCACTCTCCAGGCTTCAGGGATAGCCGCCTGAAGATTTTGGAGCGCAGCAGGAACTCTCTCCGAAGGCTTCGGGTTCCTTTTGCCGAAGCCGGGAGAGCAAGTCTCTCCTGGCTTCAGCAGAGAGGGAGAGCTGTGCAGCGCCCCTTCAGCAAAGCGGGAGGAAAAATGGAAGGGGCTCCGTTTCTCCTGCCGCTTCGCTGAAGGGGTGCTGAGCAGAGAGGGGGATTTTTTTTTTCCTTGTTCTCCCCCTCTAAAACAAGGTGCGTCCTATGGTCGGGTGCGTTGTATCGAGCGAAAAATACGGTATATCCCATTTTACAAGGACAGGAAGAAACACCATGGACGGAATAAATGTCACACACAGGAAGAACAAGGATATAGTTTTGAGATCCTCACTTGTAGTTTCATAAATCATTTAATGTGTCAACACAAATAGAAATTATAAATATTGCAGCTGTTGTATTATTATGACTGGAATGTAACTGAAATCAGGAAGATTTTGGAATGCAGAAATAAAGAAAATCATCAATTCTAGCACGTGGTGGGGGCCCACTTTATCTAAATTATATAATTTGGTATTTAAATGATTGATATTAGTAATTGTATTATAAATTGGTATTGTTATAATTAGGCTTTTAATGAAGGGATGGAGAACCCTGGGCCCTCCAGATGTGGACGGCCTCCTTCAACTCCCTTCATCCCTGACCACTGCCCATGCTGGCTGTTGGGAGTTCGAATCCAGGAACATCTGGAGAGACACAGGTTCCCCATCCCTGCCTTAAAAGAAGGGCTGCAGGTCAGCGGTAGATGCCCAGCTCCATTTGCAGAATGCGCCAGCTTCAAACCTCAGCAGCACCTTCAGGTAATACAGTGGTAAAAGGTAAAGGTAAAGGGACCCTGACCATTAGGTCCAGTCGTGACCGACTCTGGGGTTGCGGAGCTCATCTTGCTTTATTGGCCGAGGGAGTCGGTGTACAGCTTCCGGGTCATGTGGCCAGCATGACTAAGCCGCTTCTGGCGAACCAGAGCAGCACACAGAAACGCCATTTACCTTCCCACCGGAGCAGTACCTATTTATCTACTTGCACTTTGACGTGCTTTCAAACTGCTAAGTTGGCAGGAGCAGGGACCGAGCAACGGGAGCTCACCCTGTTGCAGGGATTCGAACCGCCGACCTTCTGATCAGCAAGCCCTACGCTCTGTGGTTTAACCCACAGCACCTCCTGTGTCCCTTAATACAGTGGTACCTCGGGTTAAGGACTTAATTGCTCCGGAGGTCCGTTCTTAACCTGAAACTGTTCTTAACCTGAAGCACCACTTTAGTTAATGGGGCCTCCCGCTGCCGCCGCACCGCTGCAGCATGATTTCTGTTCTCATCCTGAAGCAAAGTTCTTAACCCGAGGTACTATTTCTGGGTTAGCAGAGTCTGTAACCTGAAGAGCCTGTAACCTGAAGCGTATGTAACCCGAGGTACCACTGTACAGGGACATCCTCTCCATCGCAAACCCCTGGACAGAAAGTCACGGTCAATCAGGGATGAGGATCAGGTGCTCGTCCAGATATTCCGGAACTACCACTAAACACTGGCCACAGTGGCAGAGGCTCTTGGGAGCTGGAGTCCAGCAACAGAGCCACCTGTCAGGGATTCCTTGGTTGTGATTCCTGCATTTGACCCTTAGGGGTTCCTTCCAGCTCCACAATTCTATGATTCTGTAACATCAGGAGAGCTGCAGGTTCCCAAGCCCTTGCTGCAGACACAGGCAGGTGACGCATCCGGACCATTGGCCCAACTAGCTCAGTGCTGCCTACTCTGACTGGCAGAGGCTCTCCAGTTTTCCAGGCAGTGGTCTCTCAAAGATGTCTTTGGGGACTGAACCAGGAGCCTTGCACAGATGCTCGGCCAATGAGCTACAGCCTTTTCTGCAAGGCAATGTCGAGCCTGGTGGACTCCAATGGTCTGTCTCACTGTAAGAAACCTCCCTTGTATGCTTCTGCATGCTTAGCACCCGAGCGACTGTCAGCAAAGGGGCCTTGGATGTCGAAACATGAGAAGCGCCACCACCACAAACCTTTTTATCCGAAAGCGCTGCAGTATTTGCACTCTGGGGGGAGCGATCGGATCTGAGCAATGTTCCCAGCTCCCTTCAGTCCCCACAAAACAAGAGGGCTATTCATTTAGTGAGAAGGCAGACACCTGAGGCTTCAAAATCTCTTCCGCAGCTGATATCAACAACTAGCAGGCTTTAAACTAGCATGGGAAGTTTTTAAAGGGCTCCTTTTAGCAGAAGGCAGGAGCAAAACAGGTGAAAAATCTCTAGTATTGGTTTGCAGTCTTAGAACACAAGTCAAAATTTTCAGGGGTGAAGAGACAAACTGGCATTTATAGAAACCCCGTTTACTTAAAATCAAGAGGGGGGAAATCTGTGGCCCTCCAGATACCACAGAGCTTAAGTCACACCATTTGTTCAGGGCCTTGAGGACTAGGAGCCTGTATTTTTATTTTTATTTTTTGAGGAAAGGACCACAGCTCAAGGGCAGAGCATCATCTTAGCATGCAGACCTAAGCATGAAGGTCCCAGGTGTCGTTTCTTGGCAACATGTCCTGACAGGGCTGGGACTGTCTCCCCAGACTAAAACCCTGGTTGGTCAGTGTTGGCGATACCGACCTAGATGGACCAAAGGCTTGATTCGGTATAAGGGAACTTCTTATTTAAACCAGCTCTTTGTCCGGAACAATGAGGACTAGAATATTACTCTGTTTTTAGGGGAGGGCTATAGCTCAGCAGGAGACACCTTGGTCCCAGGTTCAAACTCCAAAGGCACCAGCTAGGATGAGGAATGTCACCTGCCTGTAACTCAGCGTAGGCAATGGTGGGTTTTGCTCAGGAGCCTTCTGCCATCACCCAGGTACAACTTTGGGGCCTGCCAAACCACCACCCCAGCCTTTACCTTTGTCTCGGCTAGCTGACGTTTCAGGAGAGCCAGGGCTTCTGTGTGGCCGCGCTCGCTGTCCTGCAGAGTCTGCAGCTGCTCCTTAAGTTCCCTCTGAAAAATAGACGGGCGGCAAGGAGGTGATGCAGTGCCCGCAGCTTCGACATCGTCCAGGGTGGGTCTCGCACCCCTACCCTGCTCCCGCTGCAGAGCTCAGGGGCCCTCCCAGAATGAGGCAGTTATTCACACAGCGCAGAGTTAAACTACGGAACTCCCCGCCACAGGAGGCGGTCGTGACAACCAACCTAGATGGCATTAAAAAAGGACTGGGCAAATTCATGGAGGAGGGGAGGCTTCTAGCCACAATGGCTCTGCTGTTTGGCCACTGCGAGAACAGGATGCTGGACTATATGGGCACAACCAGGGCTTTTTTTTTCTCAGTCCAAGATCTCAATAACTCAGTTCCAGCACCTCTCAGGTGGGCGCCAGTCTAAGAGAACAAGGGTTCCCTCTTCTAGAAAAATAGCACTGGGCACAACAGAAGCGCCATGGGACCCTTCTCCTGCAGCTCATACAGGGACACAACAGGCCTTCTTCTCCACCTCCAAGGGCACAACAGGCACCCTTCTCCAGTTCCTTCCGGGGCTGGAACTGGACCCCTTCCCCTCCTCCAGGGGCACAACGGGCACCTTCCTACAAGGCCACAACTGGACACGCCTCTTCCAGCTTCCCAGGGGCATAACAGGCGCCCTTCCCCGCCAGCTCCTACAGAGACACAGCAGGCACCCTCCTCTCTCCAGGGATGCAGCAGACAGCCTCCTCCCCATCCCGGCCTCCTCCTCCCCTCTGCGCACCTGGAGCTCCTCGAAGGCGTCGTCGAGGCTGGTGACCTGGTGCTGCTCGTGCACGGCCGGCTCGTCGCAGAAGAAGCAGACGACGGCGCGGTCGGTGAGGCAGAAGAGCTTGACCTTGCCGTGCTCCTTGGCGCACGCGAAGGCGGAGGCGCCGCGCTGCTGCGCGCTCAGCAGGATGGCGTCGAGAGGGAAGGCGGCGTAGCGCTCCACGATGTTGGCCAGCTTGAGGCTGGGCGCCAGCGCCGGCTCGGCGAACGTGCGCCGGCACTCGGGGCAGTCGCGGGCCGGCGCCGCCTGCGCCTCCTGGCGGCTCCAATGCTCCGTGATGCAGCGGCGGCAGAAGTAGTGCTCGCAGCCGAAACTCACCGGGTCCTGGTAGATGCTCAGGCAGATGGAGCACAGCAGCTCGTCCTTCAGGCTGCACGACGCGCCCGACGCGCCCGCCATGGCGCGCCACCACCTGGCCCCAGCCGCGGCCACCGCTTTGCCCCGGTTCGCCTCGGCCCGATCCGGCCCGGCCCAGCAGCCAGGCGCCTTCTCCGGGCTCCCTTTGTGTCTCCTCCGGAGGACGGCGCGCCCGGTGGAGAGATGGAGAGGGGGCAGCGGCGGAGAGGAGCGCAAACCTGGGCGCCTGGACGGCGCGCCCGGTGGAGAGATGGCGAGGGGGCCGCGGCGGAGAGGAGCGCAAAGGGACCGGGAGGAAGGAGAGAGGCGTCCGCCGGCCGGCCTCGTCTTGCCTCCGCCTCCTGCTTCTCTACCTCCGGCTCCTCCCTGCGCCCCCGACGGGCTGCAAAAGGAGGAGCAGGACGAAGAAGAAGAGGCGAGATGGATCGGAAGAGCAGAGCCGGCGCTCCGCCTTCCCGTGTTGGACAAAGCGAGCCGGGATCGCAGGCTGGGTGGAGGCTGCGCGGCCCGCTAGGCGGCGCCGGATTCCGGTCTCCGTCGTTTTCACACCATCCCCGAGGGATGTCACACAATCGCCTCTCCGCGTTTGTGACAACTCGGTTTTAGGGGGCCAAGGCTTTGGAACTCCCTGCAGAGGGACATCGGGCGGACGCCTTCGACGTAACCTTTCCGGAATCTAGCCAAATCCTATCCAGGTGGTAGGAAAGTTGGTGCAAGTTAAAAAAGAAAAAGAAAGGACATACGCAAAAAAGGAAGGATGCAAACACAACTGAATTGACATTAAAACTAAACACGCATCCAAAATGCGAATCTGGGCTGTTTAGTGCAAAATCCCTGGAAAGAATTAGTATTGGCAGTGCTGTTTTCTGGAGGTACGCAGGGGTACGCACCCCCCTAAACATGTGAATCTTTGTACTTTTGTCCATTTACTGTGTTTATTTTTCCTGATTTGAACTATAAAATGGAGATTTTCTTGAGTCAAAATGAGAATACTGTACCCATAAACTTTTTTTTTTTTTTTTTAGAAAAAAGTATTGGGTATTGGTATTGGGAAACCCATCCAAATGGGTGGGGTATAAATAATAAAATTGTTGTTATTATTGGTTGATGCCAGTTTCCATCTGTTTCAAGTCTGTTGCTATTTTTAACTTTCTGATACAGTAGTTTTAAATCGCTGTTGTCGTTTTTCTTGTTGGTAATTTTATCTCGTTTGTAAACTGCTCTGAGGTTTGTTTTGTTTTGTGGCCAAGCAAATTTTATGAAATGTAAATAAAATGATGGGAGTTCTGGAGGTGTCTCCTCAGATCCCCTCCAGCCCCGGGCAGGACTCTGTTTCACGCTATGGCTTTTTCAGTGTTGTCGGGCCCTCGTGGTGGTTCTCCATAAAACTTCTTGGCACAGGGAGCAAATCAACAAGGGTCTCAGGGGGTTGGACTAGATGGCCTTTGGAGGTCTCATCGAAATCTACCATTCCATGATTGGATGAGGATGAATGGCAAAGAGGTACAAATGAAAACCAGAAACAGCACTAAAGAGGGGCTGGAATGTGTTGCATAGGGAGTTGAATAGGCAGAGGAGAGGTGCTAAGAGATCTCCAGCCTCAGAAGGCCCTTGAGATTGGAACGACACTGATATTGCAACTTGCACATTGCCCAAACTATTACACTACTTTTATTTTTATTAAACTAAGCTCAAGTATAGTTAAAGCTATGGTTTCCCCAGTAGTGATGTATGGAAGTGAGAGCTGGACCATAAAGAAGGCTGATCGCCGAAGAATTGATGCTTTTCAATTATGGTGTTGGAGGAGACACTTGAGAGTCCCATGGACTGCAAGAAGATCAAACCTATCCATTCTGAAGGAAATCAGCCCTGAGTGCTCACTGGAAGGACAGATCCTGAAGCTGAGGCTCCAATACTTTGGCCACCTCATGAGAAGAGAAGACTCCCTGGAAAATACCCTGATATTGGGAAAGATGGAGGGCACAAGGAGAAGGGGACGACAGAGGACGAGATGGTTGGACAGTGTTCTCGAAGCTACCAGCATGAGTTTGACCAAACTGCGGGAGGCAGTGGAAGACAGGAGGGCCTGGCATGCTCTGGTCCATGGGGTCATGAAGTGTCGGACACGACTAAACAACAACAAAAGCTCAAAAAGACAATGAGAAACTCAGCAGCCTTTACCAGTTGTATTACCTATTAATGCAAAAGGAACACAAGTAGATCACAGCTCATAGATTTGTATGGTTGGAAGGGACCAGGAGGATCATCTAGTCCGACCCTCTGCAATGCACGACCCAGAGATTAAACCCTCCTTTCAGGCAGTGCATTGTTAAACTAGCGGCTACGCCAATCGCTGCAGAGGAGTGCATGAATACAGTTCTCAAAAGAGGGACGGTTCCTGCCAAAGGTCTAGTCGCAGGGAGTTCCGCAGGGCAGGACCTATCACATTAAAGGCTTGGCCACTAGTGAAGGCCAACCGAATCTCGGCAACGGCTTCCCTTTTTCTTTTGGGAGAAGAGGGCACAACTAGGCTAAAATCAAGGATTTCTCCATGGAGATATCTCACCTCTAAACGTGAGATATTTAAGAATGCTTTTATCCAAAGCGAGCCCGGAAACGCCCGTTCCAAACTCATGGAATGTGTAACTCTTACTATTCCTATCTCTGATATCACCGCAGCACCTGTTCTCGCGCATGCGTACAGTCCTCATGTATGAGCGCCGCATCATAGAGACGAGTGGGTGGGTAGAGCGGCTACCTCCCCAATCCCGTGCGAAGGTGCGCTTCTTCTCCCACCCCCGCTACGCTCCTCCCCCGGCGCATGCGCCGTCCCTACCTCGGCCGCCATCTTCCTTCGCGGGAGGAGGAAGAAAATGGAGCCCGGCGGGGCCCGCCGCGAAAAGCTGCCGCCGCCTCCCATCCCGCTGCCGCAGCAGGGGACGCCTCCCAAGGGCAAGGACGGTCCCAGCAGCCGCCTGGAGAAGGCCAAGCAGCGCGCGGCCCAGCAGGAGCTCAAGCAACGGCAACGGGCCGAGGTGGGCGGGGCCATGCTAATTGGGGCCTGCCGGTCTTCTCGTACTTGCGCTGCTCTCGCGAGACATGACTGACGGGAGGGGAGGGGGCGCCTTCTTGAAGGCAAGATAGGGGTGTGGCTATGCTAATAAGGTGCGTACGGTGTTCTCGGGTCAGCGCTGCTCTCGCGAGACGTGGCAGGGAGCCGACTGGCGGAAATTCCGCCGGGTCGGCTTCATTGAAGGGCGGTAGTTGACCTGGGGAACTCCCTGCCTCTATTATTGTTTCAGACAGGTAGCCGTGTTGATCTGACGCACTCGAAATAAATAAATTTTTTAAAAAATGTTCAGTTGGTTAGAGACCAACTATTGTTGTTGTTAATGATTATTATTATCGGTTTGTATGGGGCTTTAGGGGAGGGGCAGGGTGGATTTGAATTAAATCAAATCGATTTAAATCACTAGTCAGTAAGACTTGATATGTTGTTGTTGTTTAGTCGTGTCCGACTCTTCGTGACCCCATGGACCAGAGCACGCCAGGCACTCCTGTCTTCCACTGCCTTCCGCAGTTTGGTCAAACTCATGCTGGTAGCTTCGAGAACACTGTCCAGCCATCTCGTCCTCTGTCGTCCCCTTCTCCTTGTGCCCTCCATCTTTCCCAACATCAGGGTCTTTTCCAGGGAGTCTTCTCTTCTCATGAGGTGGCCAAAGTATTGGAGCCTCAGCTTCAGGATCTGTCCTTCCAGTGAGCACTCAGGGCTGATTTCCTTAAGAATGGATAGGTTTGATCTTCTTGCAGTCCATGGGACTCTCAAGAGTCTCCTACAGCACCATAATTCAAAAGCATCAATTCTTTGGCGATCAGCCTTCTTTATGGTCCAGCTCTCACTTCCATACATCACTACTGGGAAAACCATAGCTTTTACTATATGGACCTTTGTTGGCAAGGTGATGTCTCTACTTTTAAGATGCTGTCTAGGTTTGTCATTGCTTTTCTCCCAAGAAGCAGGCGTCTTTTAATTTCGTGACTGCTGTCACCATCTGCAGTGATCATGGAGCCCAAGAAAGTAAAATCTCTTACTGCCTCCATTTCTTCCCCTTCTATTTGCCAGGAGGTGATGGGACCAGTGGCCATGATCTTCGGGGTTTTTTTATGTTGAGCTTCAGACCATATTTTGCGCTCTCCTCTTTCACCCTCAATAAAAGGTTCTTTAATTCCTCCTCACTTTCTGCCATCAAGGTTGTGTCATCTGCATATCTGAGGTTGTTGATATTTCTTCCGGCAATCTTAATTCCGGCTTGGGATTCATCCAGCCCAGCCTTTCGCATGATGAATTCTGCATATAAGTTAAATAAGCAGGAGACAATATACAGCCTTGTCATACTCCTTTCCCAATTTTGAACCAATCAGTTGTTCCATATCCAGTTCTAACTGTAGCTTCTTGTCCCACATAGAGATTTCTCAGGAGACAGATGAGGTGATCATTTCTTTAAGAACTTGCCATAGTTTGCTGTGGTCGACGCAGTCAAAGGCTTTTGCATAGTCAATGAAGCAGAAGTAGATGTCTTTCTGGAACTCTCTAGCTTTCTCCATAATCCAGCGCATGTTTGCAATTTGGTCTCTGGTTCCTCTGCCTCTTCTAAATCCAGCTTGCACTTCTGGGAGTTCTCGGTCCACATACTGCTTGAGCCTTCCTTGTAGAATTTTAAGCATAACCTTGCTAGCGTGTGAAATGAGTGCAATTGTGCGGTAGTTGGAGCATTCTTTGGCACTGCCCTTCTTTGGGATTGGGATGTAGACTGATCTTCTCCAATCCTCTGGCCACTGCTGAGTTTTCCAAACTTGCTGGCATATTGAGTGTAGCACCTTAACAGCATCATCTTTTAAAATTTTAAATAGTTCAGCTGGCATACCATCACTTCCACTGGCCTTGTTATTTGCAGTGCTTTCTAAGGCCCATTTGACTTCACTCTCCAGGATGTCTGGCTCAAGGTCAGCAACCACACTACCTGGGGTGTACGAGACATCCATATCTTTCTGGTATAATTCCTCTGTGTATTCTTGCCACCTCTTCTTGATGTCTTCTGCTTCTGTTAGGTCCTTACCACTTTTGTCCTTTATTATGGTAATCTTTGTATGAAATGTTCCTTTCATATTTCTGATTTTCTTGAACAGATCTCTGGTTCTTCCCATTCTGTTGTTTTCCTCTATTTCTTTGCATTGCTCGTTTAAGAAGGCCTTCTTGTCTCTCCTTGCTATTCTTTGGAAATCTGCATTCAATTTCCTGTATCTTTCACTATCTCCCTCGCATTTTGCTTGCCTTCTCTCCCCCGCTATTTGTAAGGCCTCGTTGGACAGCCACTTTGCTTTCTTGCATTTCTTTCTCATTGGGATGGTTTTAGTTGCTGTCTCCTGTATAATGTTGCGAGCCTCCACCCATAGTTCTTCAGGCACTCTGTCCAGCAAATCTAAATCCTTAAACCTGTTCCTCACTTCCACTGTGTATTCATACAGGATTTGGTTTAGATTGTATCTTACCGGCCCAGTGGTTTTTCCTACTTTCTTCAGTTTAAGCTTGAATTTTGCTATAAGAAGCTGATGATCTGAGCCACAGTCAGCCCCAGGTCTTGTTTTTGCTGACTGTATAGAGTTTCTCCATCTTTGGCTGCAGAGAATATAATCAATCTGATTTCGATGTTGCCCATCTGGTGATGTCCATGTGTAGAGTCGTCTCTTGTGTTGTTGGAAAAGCGTGTTTGTGATGACCAGCTTGTTCTCTTGACAGAACTCTATTAGCCTTTGCCCTGCTTTGTTTTGATCTCCAAGGCCAAACTTGCCAGTTGTTCCTTTTATCTCTTGACTCCCTACTTTAGCATTCCAATCCCCTATAATGAGAAGAACATCCTTCTTTGGTGTCACTTCTATAAGGTCTTGTAAGTCTTCATAGAATTGCTCAATTTCAGATTCTTCAGCACCAGTAGTTGGTGCATAAACTTGGATTACTGTGATGTTAAAAGGTCTGCCTTGGATTCATATTGAGATTATTCTATCATTTTTGAGATTGCATCCCAGTACAGCTTTCGCCACTCTTTTGTTGACTATGAGGGCCACTCCATTTCTTTTACGGGTTTCTTGCAGACTTGATATATTTTTATTTTTATTTTACAGAAAGACTCATTCTTGCTGGTATAATCTTAATAAGTATTTACAACCAGATGAAGATTTCATTTTTAGAATTTAAAAAAAAATTCAGAGCAGTTTTTGCTGTTATATCAAGAATTACTGATTTGGTTACACTATTAGAAATACATAGATAATGAATGAAATTATTGTGAGGTTTAAAAAGTTAACTTTATATTTGGACAACTTTTCTGTTGTATTTTATTGGAAGGAGAAAAATAACCATTTCCTTAAAAACAATTTAAACAATGTATTTAACTGAAGCAATAACATTATAGCATATGTATCCATGTTTGTTAACTGATGTGGTTAAACTTTTTTTTAAAAAAAAAAAACTTAAAACAAATCCTTATTTCCTGACGAATACCCTTTGGACTATAATGTAACCTAAACAGAGAACAATTTTAGAAAGATTTTTTCCTCCAAAAGCATTTTATTTTAAAAATCCAATTTAAATCAAAAAAATCTGATATTTTTTTTTAAAATCATTGATTTTTATCCACCCTGTGGACATGTCGTGCTCCTTCTGGGGTACTTTGAGCATCTTTGGTCACCACCTGGCACTCAGCCCTCACCTGTGGCTTCTAGAAGCTGTCAACATGCAATGGCAGCCTCACCCTGAAAAACAGCTTTGGCCGGCTGCTCCTCCCCCCCCCACCCCCAAAGAAGGTTTGTGGACCCCTGAATTAAGCAGGAGCCTCTTGTGGCCGGGAGTTCAATAAGTAGCGAGGGCAGCTGCAGTAGGAAGCTTGGCTGTGTTTTAAAATCGTTTGTATCTATTAATCCACTGTCTAAAGTCTTAAGTATTAAAACTGTAGAGCTGTCTTGTTGGGCCTGCAGATCTACGCCCTCAACAGGGTGATGACTGAGCTGGAGCAGCAGCAGTTTGACGCGTTCTGCAAGCAGATGCAGACTTCCAGCGACTGAGGACGGGAGCCGCACTCCAGGCGGGCAGCTCGGAAGACCAGCACTTTCCCACCCATGGCTGCAGTCAGTGGCCAGGAAGAACTGAAGACCCAGGAGCAGGGAGGAACAGCCAAGCTCTGCTTCCGATGACACATAGCTCACACTGCCTTACTGGAGCGTTCCCCTGCCAAACCTTCCTTGAGTAGAGTTCTCCCTTCAAAACCTGTGGTTGTTGTTTTTAAAAAATCCTATTTATTACTTTGGTTTGAGAAATAAAGTTGTGTTTTTTCAAAAAACAAACGCTTCGCTCTCTCTGTGATAGCATATTGCAGCCTTAACCAAGCTGATGTCTTCTGGCTGCTTTTGACTGCAAATCCCAGCACAATTCATAAGATGTCGGGGCTGATGGGAGGTGGACTTCACAGCAAGCCGTAGGTTACATAGCAAACATAGTGTGTTAAGGCTTTCAGAAGAGTCATCTGGTCTCAATAGAAGCACCAGTCTTCCATTGCCAATAACCACAGCCTTACAGTATGACATAAGGAGAGTCCTGCTGGATCAGGCCAGTTGCTCTTCTGCCCAGCACCCCATTCTTGAAGTCACCACCAAGATGCTTGCAGGAAGTCCACAAGCAGGACTCTTCATTAGGAAGAATCCAGAGCAGGTGGAACTTCCAATATGCAGGTGGAGCATTATGTCATTCTTATCCCTGCTTGCTCCATTATTACATAGTTAAAAATCTTCCAGCCATCCTGCTCCTTTAGTTCTTCATGCACCCCATCCAGTCCTGCTGACCAATCCCTTCGTTCCTTTTTGAACATCCTTTGTACCACTCAAATTATCCGTGATCTGAATGCTGCCGTTACGAATTGTCGCACGCTGTGGCGATCACACAGGGTCCCCGGACGTTTCACCGTCTACTGATCCCTGTGCCACCACTTTATTTCTCGCTGCCACCACCCAGACCCTACCTGGTACAATAATGAGTCCAGTCAGGGTTAAATTGAAACATAAACTTCTGTTTATTTATGGCAGTTTAACAAGCGTGTGGTTTCATAAACGGTATTGGTCCATTACAATCATGGGGTGCCTATCCAGACCTATAACTTCCGCTACCTGCTCTCACTCACTAAACCACCTCTCCGATATTTACTTGTCTTCCTAGCTCCTAACTGTTCCTGACTCCGCTTATTTCGCTACACTAACTCAACCTACCCACAGACTATCACAATTCACTCCCACTCCAACCAGCCACCTAACTCCCAACAAACTCCTCCCTTCGCCCCTCCTAGAGCTGGTTTTATAATCCCTCTGACTCCACCCCCTGGGTTCTGATTGGGTAACTTGTTTAACTATTTCACCTCCAGCACTCTCATGTCAACATCACACACGCATTCTGGCTTTCCCTTTTTATCCGTCTATTCAGACCAGCACCAGAGACAGATTGTTAAATCCATACGAGATCTCTTGGTACCAAGGGCCTTCTTGGTAGTGGCACCCACCTTGTAAAACGCTCTCCCATCAGATGTCAAGAAAATAAACAACTATCTGGCTTTTAGAAGACATCTGAAAGCAGCCCTGTTTAGGTAAAGTTTTTAACGTTGATCTTTTATCGTCTTTTTAATATTCTGTTGGGAGCCACCCGGAATAGTAATAATTATCATCATCATTGGTTCCAGAAACGAGCCGGTTTCATTTTTTCCACTTGATGTAGCTGGTGCCTCTTCTCTGGGAGACTACTCCATATGGGGGTCTCTCCCCACCCCAAACCTTCCATTCCTCTTGCAGCTCTATCCCCTCCAAAAAGAAACCCCTTTTCACACAATGCCAGACAGCAAAAACAGTGTTTTTCAAAGTTTATTTTTTTAAAAAATGCCAAAACAAAAGAACTCATCTCAAATGTATATTTCCAGTAACACAAATCATCTCCCTTTCCATTATTATCCCCTGGGGGATGGGGGCAGGAAATAAGTTTTCCAAATATTTCAGTAATATGATCAATAAAACAAAAACATTTGACAGTGCTCTCTGGCAGAAGTATTTGATACACCCAATTTAGAACGGCAAATCTAGGATCCATACAGGTAATTTGATGGGTTCAATTTATTTTTGACCACCAAGCCTTTCAGAAGGTAATCACCACCCCTTCCCCCATGGGCCAGCTTTCACCCCACAAGCAGTGATCTTGCAGTGTTTCATCAGCCCTCTCAACTTCTAAGGTTGCAAATCCAGCTAATTCGTACGTTGAAAATCCAGATGCTCTCTTTAAAGAAGACTTTGTGGCGAGGCTGCAGGGACCTATTCTTGGATTAGTCGAAAAAGTTAGCTGGTGACGAGATTTGGAGGCCAAGTTCTTTAAAAACCACCAGCAAGTAAAATTGTGGACTAAAAAAATAGAAATCTAAAAAAGCTGAACTCATTGTAAATCTTTTTCTCTTTCTATATACATATGTAAAGAATCTGTATATTTGTATGTACACCAAAAGTGGGGCTTGGGAGTGTTAGCCATATCACCCACTGTGCTCCCTAGATGCCCAGCCTTTGCAGGGCAGAAATCCCCCCTACGGCAGAGACCTCGCAGTTGTTCTGTTCCTAGTCAGGACAGTGGAAATGTTTCTAGGATGGTTTTAAGCGATGCGTGGATGTTAACGCTGGGTAGGCCGGTCTTTAGGGTCCTGGAGGGGGTGGCCCCACTGGGCATGTGCCCCACAGCGAGGTGCAAAAGCCGCTGTCCATCCACGCATGACACCATGCAAGCAAGGTTAGACTCTGTGGCTCCACAGAGCAGTTGGGAAGAAGATATACGACGAGGACCAAAGCAGGTAGTAGAGCGAGGCGAAGTAGGTGGCAGAGAACATCACCATCAAGATCCCTGCAATGCCAGAGAGAGAGAAATTTCAGAATTGTAAAGTTGGAAGGGACTTCCAGGGCTCATCCAGACCAACCCCAAGCAACGAAAGAATATTCAGCATGCAATTCTGTTTCCACAAAAACGAAAAGTGCATGTTTGGTTTTTAAATTTCATTTATTCTGATATAGTTTCTTTAGACTTATTTGCCACCAACGGTTCCCCACCAGGACTTTCGACAATAAGCATGTAGATTGAAGCCTATCAACATGATTTAAAATAACCAAAGAAACACCAATTTGTCCACGATTGCTGGACAAAGGCTTTCCAGGCTACCAGCATGCAAGTTAATCTAGAAGCAGGGAAAAATCATTTCTACAGTCAAACCTCGGTTCCTGAACGGCTCCGTTTTGAAACATTTCATCTCGAAAACTCAAAAGTAAATGATCCGGTTTTTGAACGTTTTTCGGAAGCCGAACGTCTGACACGGCTTCCGCCTGAGTGCGGGAAGCTCTTGCAACCAATCGGAAGCTATGCCTCGGTTGTCGAACATTTCGGATTTCGTTCGACAACCGAGGTTTGACTATATAAGGATTGCAGGTTCTCCATAATTTTCAGGCTGAACTGAATCATGGAATCGCAGAATTGTGGAGCCATCTAGCCCAAACCCCTGCAATGCAGGAACCAAGGTAACATTTTGCTGTGACCTGATGACAATGTTTCCGCACGAACCCATCTTAGAAAGGTTTATTATCTTTAGACCGATGGATAGCTAGAGAGAGAGATTTCAGCATGAGGGTATCCTCCTTATTTGAGCTGAAGGGGCCCGCAGCTCTGCACTCACCTCCTGCGAAGACGGCCTTCTTCCAGGGCTGAGACTCCAGCACCTTGTCGTGAGGGTAGAAGCCCTGGTCCACCATGAAGAGGATCATCACCATGGCGATGATACGCATCACCAGCAGGTTGCCGCCTGTCAGGAGGTAGGTGGCTGCCAGGACAGATGCTCCATACGGGCAGGGCAGCCCCCGGTACATGAACGGCATCCCTAAGGAGATGAGAGGAAAGGGAGGTGGTGAGTTGACTCGGAGCAAACTGTTCCTGTGGATGCGCAGAAGCAAAAACACAAACTGGACATGAGCCAACAGTGTGACGCGGCAGCTAAAAAAGCCAATGCAATTCTGGGCTGCATCAATAGGAGTATAGCATCTAAATCAAGGGAAGTAATAGTGCCACTGTATTCTACTCTGGTCAGACCTCACCTGGAGTACTGTGTCCAGTTCTGGGCACCACAGTTCAAGAAGGACACTGACAAACTGGAACGTGTCCAGAGGAGGGCAACCAAAATGGTCAAAGGCCTGGAAACGATGCCTTATGAGGAACGGCTAAGGGAGCTGGGCATGTTTAGCCTGGAGAAGAGGAGGTTAAGGGGTGATATGATAGCCATGTTCAAATATATAAAAGGATGTCACATAGAGGAGGGAGAAAGGTTGTTTTCTGCTGCTCCAGAGAAGCGGACACGGAGCAATGGATCCAAACTACAAGAAAGAAGATTCCACCTAAACATTAGGAAGAACTTCCTGACAGCAAGAGCTGTTCGACAGTGGAATTTGCTGCCAAGGAGTGTGGTGGAGTCTCCTTCTTTGGAGGTCTTTAAGCAGAGGCTTGACAACCATATGTCAGGAGTGCTCTGATGGTGTTTCCTGCTTGGCAGGGGGTTGGACTCGATGGCCCTTGTGGTCTCTTCTAACTTTATGATTCTATGATTCTATGACAAACATGAAAAGCTAATGTGCAGAGGACAAAAATCAAGATTGGTTACAATACCACCAATTGAACGACATATTTGAGATTAAAATAACATTGGTTTTGCGACAGAAAAATCAGAATTAGAGAAAGGTCTATTAAAAAATAAAGACAAATTACTTTCCAGAATGTACAGGCTATTATTGTTAGACTGGGAAATAAAAGAAGATGAAGTAAAATTGGTTATGGTGCAGTAGGCAAAGGACTTTGGATGTAACCAGTGCCGGATTTACATGAAAGCTAAACAAATTATAGCTTAGGGCCCCACTCTCTAAAGAAAAAAAAAATGGATGTACATTTCCAAAATATAAGATAAAAAACATATAAAATGGCTTTAGATACAGTGGTACCTTGGAATGCGAACAGGATCTGTTCCGGAGCCCCATTTGCACCCTGAAACGAACGTAACAAGCGATGGCGTGTCTGCGCGTGCGCGGGTCGCGTTTTGCCGCTTCCGTGAATGCGCGTGACGTCATTTTGAGCGTCTGCGCATGTGCAAGCAGCAAAACCCGGAAGTAACGTGCTTCGTTACTTCCGGGTTGCTGCGGAGCGCAACTTGAACGCGCTCAACCCGAAGCACATTCAACCCGAGGTATAACTATACTTATTAGGTCCATAAATTACCATATAGCATATATTCAACATAAAAACAGTGAAAATTTGTTGTTGACGAAGGACTGCTGGACATATAAAGAGCCCCATTCCCTCAGTAGCTTAGGGCCTCATCAGACCTAAATCTGGCCCTGGATAGAACATACAGATGACAATGGGAAAATTTATGGAGAAGGGAACTGAAATTTACGGCTTGTTTTACTGTAAAAGAAAATTTATGAAGATGCTTTACAGATGGTACATCACTCCTAGCAAATTGGCCAAAATGTAGAAAAACCAACTCAAATTTATGCTGGAGGTGTAGATAGTTAAGAGGGAACAATGTACCACATGTGGTGGGGTTGCAAAAAAATTAAGAGCTTTTGGGAACTTATATATAATGAATTGAAAAAACTGTTTCAAACAAAGTTTATCAAAAAGCCTGAAGTCTTCCTCTTAGGTATTATGGCACCAGACATTCCTAGAGAGAAAAGGATTTATTATTTTTTTTGTACGCAACAACAGCAGCGAGGATGCTGTTTCCAAGGGGTGAAAAGGAGATAAAATCCCATCGAAAGAGGAGTGGCAAGTTAAACTGCTTGAATATATGGAACTAGCGAATATGACCCCTGCAGCCAAACTTAACGTGGCCATGTTATTGCCACGGCTGTGGACTCACCGCTAGAGAAGAAACACAGGCGCGTGAACACAGCCAAGACGTACACAATCACCAGAAGCCCGTCGAGGATCCCGTGGGCTTGCAAGAGAAGGGCGGTGGCCAGCCCAAATGAAGTGAAATCAGCAAAATCGTCCAACTTGGCACCTACGGAATGTCAAAGATGGGTGCCAGTTAGCCCTGGGCAGGAGACAAGATGAGCACCCCGTAGAGGCCAAAATACGTAGTGACGTTTCTCCAGTATGGCCCCCTGGAGGGCATCAAACTCGAAGGTTTAATTTATTACGAGTGTTAAGTCATGGGTGAACATCTCAGGCGACACAGCGATTCTTCAAACAGCTCTTGTTTACTCACAGGCCAGAACAGAACTGAACTGAAGGGTTCAGCCAGCCTGCTTATATAGAGCTCAACTACAAAGCAACAGTAACAACTTTCTGTAACTATCCAATCACTGAACGTCACTTTCAATTCCTTATTTGCATATGCGGACCTGAGTGAAAACTATCTACAGTATCCCCCTGCTGGCCCAGGGTGAGAACTTCCGTACATAACAACGAGAGCCGGTGTGACGTGGTGGTTAGGCTGCTGGATTAGGACCTGGGTGGACCAGGGTTCAAAATCCCCCATGCAGCCATAAAGGTCACTGAGGGGCCAGTTCCTGTGCCTCAGACTAACCCACCTCGCAAGGTTGTTGGGAGGATAAAATGGGGAGAGCTGTGTGCGCCATCTTGGGCTCATTGGAGGAGAAGCTGGGATATAAATGTAATGAATAACAATAAATATTGGTGGCCCCGCCACCCCCTTCCCAAAAAAGTGCCTGGGAAGGGGTACCAGAATAATTAAAAAATACAGTTATATCTCTAGAAAATGCATAAAGACACCAGCCCAAAATAAAGAGCACAGTATCGGAAGGGGAAACTGAGCAGGCCTGAAAGCGATGGCTGTCTCTCCACTTGTGATTCCTAGCATACTGCCTTCGACAGAGGGCAGCGTATTTATTTCTTTAAGGAATTTGTGTTTTCCATTCTGTGACTCAAAGCAGCTTACAGTAAATAATAATAATCCTAAAACCCTAAAACATACAATATACAAGATTTAAAACATAGCTCGAAACATCAGAAAAGTACTTATTTCATAAAAGTTACATACCACTTGATTGTACAAACACAGCATAATCTCAAAGCACTTTGCAAGAAGAATAAAACGATGACATGATCAGTATATAAAAAAACCCCAACAGTATGAAAGGTTCAAAAAATAATTGCAATAACTGATAAGCTAAAAGCCAGATTCAAAGACACCCCAGCTTTCTAAATGTCTGGGTAAAAGGTAAAATTTTGTCTGCAGGCAGGCAGGCAGAAAACTTTTCTTCTCGCATAACACTGGAACTTAGGTAAAGGGACCCCTGACCATTAGGTCCAGTCGTGACCGACTCTGGGGTTGCGGTGCTCATCTATTGGCCGAGGGAGCCAGTGTAAAGCTTCCGGGTCATGTGGCCACATGACTAAGCCGCTTGTGGCGAACCAGAGCAGCGCACAGAAACGCCGTTTACCTTCCCACCGGAGTGGTACCTATTTATCTACTTGCACTTTGACGTGCTTTCGAACTACCAGGTGGGCAGGAGCAGGGACCGAGCAACAGGAGCTCACTCCGTCGCGGCGATTCGAACCGCCGACCTTCTGATCGGCAAGTCCTAGGCTCTGTGGTTTAACCCACAGCGCCACCCGCGTCCCAATGTCTGGGTAGGCTTGGCTAAACAGAAATGCTTTAAGCCTGCCTGACGTCAAGAGGCAGGGAGTTCCAAAGTAAACTAGAAGATGGATATCTTATGGAATGAGTGATGTGTGGAACCTGTAACAGTCCCAGTGGAGACATTCAAAAGCTTTCTGCAATGAGGCTTGTTTTGACCTGGCACCCGAAACTTAGCAGGGAGACTGCCTGTCTGATTTATCGCCGGCAGAGAGCAGCCATCACTAGCTTTTTCCTCCTTGGAAATTTCCCCCCCCAATCCTCTTTTTGGTACATCTTGTGCGAGCAAATGCCATCCTGCCTAACTATCTGATCCGATGAGATCTTCCGGATGAGCGCTCGTGAGCTTGCTAAGCAACGCAGGTCCAAGGCTGGAGCGTGGAGGCTTTCGCAAGGAGGTACTTACCCAGCGCGGAACAAGCGTTCAGCTGCCTGGCAACGGCGCCGTCCGCAAGGTCAAGCAAAAATCCGATCAGGACCAGCCAGCATGCATAATTATATTGCCTGGTGGAGGGGAGAGACGGGAGAGTCCTGTTACACATTGCCACGGCTGCCCTGCTGAGCGGCCTCAATGTTCCCAAAGCCGCCAAGCGAAGCAAGGAGCGGTCAAGCGCATGAGGAGGGGATCGGGGCCTATCAAAGTGTCTTCGACCCTGGCCCCACCTCCTGTGACCCTGTGTGGATGAAGGCAGACCCTCCAAATGTCCCTATTTTCCAAGGGACAGTCCCGGATTGACAAATCCGTCCTGGTTTCTGATTTGATTCTGGAATGTCCCGCTTTTCCCTATTTAAATCGGGAAAATGTTGGAGGGTATGGAGTTATGCGACACCCCCGTCCCCCCGAGCCAAGGAGATAACTAACTATAAAACCTTTAGAAGATATCTGAAGCCAGCCCCGTATAGGGGAAGTTTTTAAATGTTCAATCCCTTGTTTATATTTTTTTTATATGTTGGAAGTGTTGTAAGAATTTAAGGTCTCAAATATATAAATCAAATGTTCATAAGTTTACAAGGTAAACACATGCGTAAGTATATAAACCACGCGTCTGAAATAGTACAGGAGAGCAATCCTGAAGCCACTTTTGACTCTCCCAAACCATTTGGACTCTCCCAAATTGACCTCAAACATTTCTCTGCAAGGAGGAAGGAAATGGGAAAGCCTCTCCATTGTCTTTTCTTACCTGTGTTAAAGGTGTATTTGTGTATGGATAGGGTGAGCCTGTGACCTGGATTCAGGAATTCAGGTATTTACCATCACAAAAGAATAGCCAGGCTGCCCAGGTAAAGCAACTAGTGACCATTGCCAGGTATCCTGGCAGACAGGATTTTTGCTGTAGACTGCTTCCTTCTGTGATGTATGTATGATGTTTTGGGAGGTGGTCTTGGGGTACAGGGTGGGCAATTTCAAAAGTCTATATAAGGGTGTGCACACCATGCATGTTGTGAGTGAGGACCCTGTTGCAACAGTTAATAAAGATCAGGCTTACTAGCTGCTTTGCTTCTCAATATTCTCTGGCTGGCCTCTGTTATTTTCTCCTACCGATAGGGAACCCACTTAAGGACTCTATATGGACTCTTGGATACCCCATAAGGGAAAAGGAGCAGGCTTTTTCTTATAACAGAAGCCTCCCCGAGTGGCTGGGGCAACCTAGTCAGATGAGTGGGCTGTTGTTGTTGTTGTTGTTGCTGCTGCTGTTGTTGTTGAATAGACACCCCTTGTTTCACAGGAGAAATGTTGGAGGACATGCCCAGGGTCTGGCTTACCCATTCAGACTGCAAAGGACAGACGAGAGACCCATCACCAGGTTGGCCATAGAGATGGAGTTGGCGACATTCCGGCGCAGGAACTCCAGAGCCTGCGCCCGTCCGGCCTGATCGCTCAGGAACAGCTTCTTGGTGTGTTGGAATATACCTGGAAGGCGGCAGAGGAAGGAGTGAGCAAGAAAGGGGGAGATCCTGGCAGAGATGTCCCCTTTGTGCTGAGCATACATCCCCAAAGAGGGGCAGGCATTAAAATCAGGTGCATTAAAGTTCCATCCCATCTGCCCTCCGCCAATCCCTTAAGGGGAATGTTGGGAAGTGGCCAATGGGAGCTGAGTGGAGGGGTGACCGGGCAGATCACCACTCCAGAATTTATGCTTTTTGGGAAGAGAGGGCCAGACCTACTTGTGTGAGTGCCTGGAGGCAGTTGGAGGATGGATGGTGGCTAACAGATCGAGGTTGAATCCTGACAAGACAGAAGTACTGTTTTTGGGGGACAGGGGGCGGGCTGGTGTGGAGGACTCCCTGGTCCTGAATGGGGTAACTGTGCCCCTGAAGGACCAGGTGCGCAGCCTGGGAGTCATTTCGGACTCTCAGCTGTCCATGGAGGTGAAGGTCAATTCTGTGTCCATGGCAGCTGTCTACCAGCTCCATCTGGTACACAGGCTGAGACCCTACCTGCCCGCAGACTGTCTGGCCAGAGTGGTGCATGCTCTGGTTATCTCCCGTTTAGACTACTGCAATGCACTCTATGCGGGGCTACCTTTGAAGGTGACCCAGAAACTGCAATTAATCCAGAATGCAGCAGCTAGACTGGTGGCTGGTAATGGCTACCAAGACCGCATAACACCGGTCCTGAAAAACCCACAATGGCTCTCAGTACGTTTCCAGGCATAATTCAAAGTGTTGGTGCTGACCTTTAAAGCAAGCCCTAAATGGCCTCGGCCCAGTATACCTGAAGGAGCTTCTCCACCCCCGTTGTTCAGCCCGGACACTCAGGTCCAGCGCTGAGGGCCTTCTGGCGGTTCCCTCCCTGTGAGAAGTGAAGTTACAGGGAACCAGGCAGAGGGCCTTCTCGGCATGGCTGTCAACTTTTCCCTTTTCTTGCGAGGAATCCTATTCAGAATAAGGAAATTTCCCTTTAAAAAAGGCAAAAGTTGACAGCTATGCTTCTCGGTGGTGGCGCCCGCCCTGTGGAACGCCCTCCCATCAGATGTCAAGGAAATAAACAACTACCTGACGTTTAGAAGACATCTGAAGGCAGTCCTGTACCTGGAGGTTTTTAATGTTTGATGTTTTATTCCGTTTTTAATCTGTTGGGAGTGACCCAGAGTGGCTGGGGAAACCCAGCCGAATGGACAGGTTATAAATATATTATTATTATTATTATTATTATTATCCTACAATTTGCTAAATTGTAAGAGAGAGATCGAGATCTACCTGGACTTTAAAGTTAACGCTTTGTTCTCAGTTTGAAAGGGAGATTTTCCGTAAGCCGGAAAAGGCAGCAGCAGGAGGAAAAGTCAACGGGTGTTTGGCTCCTGCGACTGGGCAGCCTCCAAAACACTGGCCATTTGGAGGGTGGTTGATGATCCCAGCAGCACCCCCTGGTGTTGGCTCCCATTAGTGCATGAGAAGAGTCTGCTGGGTCAGGACAGTGGGTAAGCAGAATTCGAGCACCAGAGCCCCGCTTGCAGTTTGTCTAATATTTTTAAAGCCCTCTAAACTCCTCATGTGGGAAGGAGTTCCATAGATTAACATGCACTGTTAAGGCATGCTCAACCTCCCTCCATGCTTGCATCACCTCCATGCCGCCCCTGTGAGATTGGGCACGCATTAAGTTGTGTTTTCCCCTCCATGCTTTTGGGGTGGGGGAACCCATAAGCACAGCCTGCCAAGAACTTTGTACAGCTTTAGGGTATACCTCCCCTCCCTAACTGCTGGGCCAGGTGAGTCTTCAGCCTTAACCCTGGTTAGCAAACATTGTGCCAGTGAATCTTGCTTCCTGGGTGCATCTACTGCCTCCCAACCCAACCCAGGGAAGCCTTTAAAAGCCCGCAGTGGCAAGGTGCTTTGCAGAACTGCAAGACCATGCAAGCAAAATCTGGAAGTGGGATCCCCGTGCCCCAAAATGGTACAAAGCTGGCTTTATACCAAACACAGTAAGAAGCATTTTTAGTTTTGCAGAAGGTGAGGTATCAGCACAGAAGGAAGCGAACAGCAGCCCACATGCAAAGATATAGCTCAGCCCATCCCATTAGCTTTTGCCTCTCAGCGCTGTGACGATCCCGTTTCTTAAACAAGCATCTTGTTCTTAGTGATGCTTCTCTTCTCGTTCTTCCCCCACCCAATTTTAAACATAAAGACCAGCCCCGCTCACAATTCATAAAAAACAACAACAGCAAACTAACAGCCCTACTCGCTAACACTAAAAATAGATTATAGTTTATCATAACCCCAAGGGGGAAAGGTCTACTCTTGAGAAAGTGTGAGAAGGGACATGTCCTACTAGCATGTTTTGCACCCTGCCCTTGTCGCGTTTCCAAATCCCGGAAAGTTCGCGAGATTCTTCATCTGAAAGAAAACAGCAGATCAGAGCAACCCCGAAAAAAATATTTTTTTAAAAAATCACCCAGGAATGTGAAACCTGGGTTCACACACACACACACACACACACACACACACACAGGCACACACACAACTGCTTGAGCCCATCCCTCTGCCACCGCTGGGCACCCACCAAACCGCCATGATCAAAAAGCGCCCGTCAGAATCATGGAATGGTAGAGTTGGAAGGAAAAACAGTGGGCATCTAGTCCAACCCCTGAAAAGATGCCCCTCTCTGAACTCTAGGTAAAGGTAAAGGGACCCCTGACCATTAGGTCCAGTCATGGCAGACTCTGGAGTTGCGGCGCTCATCTCGCTTTATTGGCCAAGGGAGCCAACAGCTTCCGGGTCATGTGGCCAGTGTGACTAAGCCGCTTCTGGCGAACCAGAGCAACGCACGGAAATGCCGTTTACCTTCCCGCCGGAGCGGTACCTATTTATCTACTTGCACTTTGATGTGCTTTCGAACTGCTAGGTTGGCAGGAGCAGGGACCGAGCAATGGGAGCTCACCCCATCGCGGGAATTCAAACCACCGACCTTCTGATCGGCAAGTCCTAGGCTCTGTGGTTTAACCCACAGCGCCACCCGCGTCCCAACTCCAAACTCTACCCAATGCAAAAAACCCAGAAATGCATTTTGCTCATTCAAGAGTTGAACCGATTGTTGGGGCAGCAATTGTGTGTGTGCGCTTAAGTTAACAACCACCTCATTTTCTCCCCTTCCTTTCTTCCAAAACCAACAGTTCACATTCTTGAATAACAGTGATTGATTGGTATAGAGCCTGCCATCCAAAATGAGGGTGGTTTTTTAGTGACGGACTTTAGATCAAGCATACCCTTCCTCACTTGAGAGCACTACCCAGCAGTAATTAGATTGGTGCTCCCACCAAAGGGACTGATTTCTATACAGTGGTACTTTGGTTCTCAAATGCCTTGGTTCCCAAACTCCGAAAACCCAGAAGTGTTCCGGTTTCCGAATGTCTTTCGGAAGCTGAATGTCCGATGCGGTTGTTGGCTATTGTTTCTGGGGCGCCTGCACCAATCAGAAGCCATGCTTTGATTTTCAAATATTTCAGAAGTCAAACTGACTTCCGGAACAGATTAAGTTTGGCGCTTTTGTTTTTGCTATTTATTTTGCGTTTTTGAGGCTTTTTCGGTGCATTTATTTTTGTTACTGTGTGGGACCCAGTTCAGCTATGATGGATTGATTGATTGTGTGACTGCAGAAATGGATAAAAGCCCTCCATCCAAACAATGACTATCATCAGTGCAGGTAAGAAAAAAATTAATTTTAAATTTTATCATCTACAATAGTTATTTATTTTATAGTACAGTATATTGATTATTGCTTTCATTTTATGGATCCATAGTCTCGTCGATAGTAAAATTCATGTTAAATGGCTGTTTTAGGGGTTGTTTTTAAAAGTATGGAATGGATTAATCCATTTTGTATTACTTTCTATGGGAAAGCGTGCCTTGGTTTTGGAACGCTTTGGTTTTGGAACGGACCTCCGGAACGGATTAAGTTTGAGAACCAAGGTACCACTGTATTTACATCACACAGCCGAAAACATTTTCAAGCACACTTTCTTCGCTTCGGAACTTGCAAGTACTTGCATTGTGAACTTGGAGAGAATTACTGAGTCAACTGCTCCAGCCAGGGATGGATAACAGCGACTGTTTTCGCACCATCACTGGGAGAGAGTCGGTGTCCCCAAATATCTGTGCCTTGCCCCCAAACAACAAGGCAGGCCACAGGTATTTTACCCGAAACCAGAGGACTTTGTGCCTCTGCAGTTAAGAGATGTCAGTTCCACGCAGAGATTTATCAGCTGCAGATAAAACTCAAGAGTTGGCAGCTTGAAGACATACCCGTGGCTCCCATTTGCAATGTCCCCAGCCCCAGTTTCACTGGATAACAATGCAACAGGCAATTAATAAACCCTGTTTGTTTCATACCCGTAATTCTGGATTCCCCCCATCTCTCCACAGACTTAATGCTGGGTGAACGTTTTTGGCAAAAGGAGCAGGAAGCTGCTCTTGAATTTGGATGGAAAGTGGACCAGTGAGGGCCTTTGGGGGGGGGGACTTCGCTGCTTCTGGGTAAAGGTAAAGGGACCCCTGACCATTAGGTCCAGTCGTGGCCGACTCTGGGGTTGCGGCGCTCATCTCGCTTTACTGGCTGAGGGAGCCGGCGTACAGCTTCCGGGTCATGTGGCCAGCATGACTAAGCCGCTTCTGGCGAAATAGAGCAGCGCACGGAAACGCCGTTTACCTTCCCGCAGGAGCGGTACCTATTTATCTACTTGCACTTTGACATGCTGGGACTTGGCTGCAAATATGGGGCAGTCCTTGTAGGCAGTTCATGGGTGGCAGCGGATTCAGAAGATGGCAGATACCAAAGGAGAGGGTGCCGGGAAGGACATCAGTGTTACAACATACCCGCTTCTCATAATGCTCATCCCATAGTAGTTTGCAAGGGCTAGCCTGGTCTCTGTTGCATTTACAACCAACTTGCTTTGCCAGATATCGACTGGCAGAGCTTCAAGATCTTGAGCAGGCATTGGTGCACTACAACTCCCATCATCCCTGACAACTGGCCAGGCAGATGGGATTTGTAGTCCAGCAACACCTGGGCTTTATGTAGAGGGTGCTACTGTGCAGTGCTCCGTAAGAGTCCACACATTCTGAGGCAGGCAGGGGGACATTCCCAGACCTCCCTGAAGATGCTGCTGAGGATTGCACCGGAGACATTCTGCATTCCAAGCAGGTGATCTGCCACTGGGCTACAGCCCTTTCCTTTCCCTCTGTTTGGGACTGAGGCCCTGGCTCAGCGGTAGAGCATCTGCTTGGCATGCAGAAGCTCCCAGCTTCCGTTCCCCAGCAGCATCTCCAACCTGAAACTGCTGGAGAGCCTCTTGCCAGTCAGTGTGTGGACAATACTAGCCTAGATGGGCCAAGGCTCTTTGTCTAAGGCAGCATCATGCCACATGTGAGTCGGACTCGGCCACTGGATGATCTGAAGGCCGATCTTGAGATACGCAAGGCAAGGCAAGTGGGGAAATCCTTTGGCATTGCCCAGATGAACAGAAGGACGTTTGTGTAGTTCATGGTCCCAATTTGGGTTGTCAGCAGCATCCCAAACCTGAGACCTAGGGACATCCCCTGGTGATATCACAGGAGAGGGGCATCCCCTGGAGATGGAGGTTAATTGGGACAGGGGAGGGCAGTGATGTCCCAGGGGCAGGCCCGAGAGACGGAGGTTAATTGGGAGAGGACATGGGCAGATACAGATACACACACACACACACACAGCTGCCCAAATATCTATGCTATAATTTGTAGCCAGCTCCTGCTGGGCTGAAGCTTGCAGGCTACATAAACACACTTCTTAATATAATATAAAAGCCTCTCTCACCCACCTGGAGATTTCAAGACCTGCACCTGCCGCCTGGCGGAGGCTAGGCATCCCTGGAGGCTTCAGGTCAGACGTGGAGGTCTGGCAACGCTTAGTATCCATCCCTGTTTCCTCGCCATAAGATCCCTCCCCAAATTCCGTTGCCTTCCCACCTCCCAAACAGACACAGCATCCTGTCTTCCTTTAAGCCTTGCAGTCCAGTCTTCCCCAATGTCCTCCAACTGTTTTGGACCACAGTTCAAATGCCCCCTTCCCCAAATGCTTCACCATTCTGCTTATTTATAACTGCACTGGAGCAAACTGAAAAAAGCAAAAATCCACCCACATGCTATTATTATTATTATTCACACAACCTCAGGCAAACCGGATCACATCAGGCGTGAATTCTGAAGGAGCTCTAGGATTTTTCTGAGCAACAAATATATAAGCGTAGCCAGTTTTCCTCGGCAAACTGGATCCCAACTCCTGCCATTTGAGGCAGGTTTCTGTACTTATACTATGCACAGGGGGCTGATGGCCGTTGAAGTAATGAAAGAGTCGTAGAAAATAATCATAATTAAGTCAGTTCCGATTTGTCGAAGCTCAGAAGAACGGGTTGTGCCTGGGACCAGAGAGCTCCGTGGAAAACCTCCAAGGACAGAGCGGAAGGGAGAGGAACCAGAGAGGAACGGATGTTTCACAGATATCTGCAACCACTTGACCCTTCTGCCTTCTTGGGGATGTGGGAGACACCCAGAACGGATTGACTGTAAACAGTATCCGCAACAAACTGATGGCACCAGCCTTTGATACTGGCATCTAAAGGGTGCTGATTTTTTGAGGACATATGGTGGATCCTCAGCCTGGGAGTCATAGATATATTTAATGGGCCCAAGTCAGCTGTGTCTGTTAACTTCAATGGGTCTGCTCAGAGTAGGGCTAGCATTGGATACAACCTAATATCCTGGAGATTTCGCTTTCTCTCTCTTTTTTTTAGTTTTTTATTTATACTTTTCAAATTTATACATTTCATTAGTTTTACAATCAATTTAACATTTCAAAATTTGACTTCCTTCCCCCTCTTTCTGCAATTCCTTTAATTTATATTTTAATACCTTCTGCATATCCAAGTAGTAGTAGTAGTAGTAGTAATAATAATAATAATAATAATAATTTATTATTTATACCCCGCCCATCTGGCTGGGTTTCCCCAGCCACTCTGGGTGTCTTCTAACAGAATATTAAAATATAATAACCTATTAAACATTAAAAGCTTCCCTAAACAGGACTGCCTTTAGTTCATTTAACTTGCTCATTTAATTATATACTGTAAATAAATACTCTTATAAAACTGCAGGTCATTACAATAATCCCGCTAATGTTTTTATCTGTTTACAATTTATCTGTAAATATTCAATAAACCATTTCTATTCTTTTATAAAAAGTCTGCTATCTTGATTTCTTATTCTTCTGGTAAGTTTGCCATTTCTGCATATTCCATAAGTTTTTGTATCCATTCTTCCTTTGCTGGGACTTCTGCTTCTTCCCACTTTGGGACAAGTAGCATTCTTGCTGCTGTAGTAGTATACATAAATAAATTTCTATATAATTTAGGTAGTTCTGTCCCTATAATTCCCAAAAGAAAAGCTTCTGGTATCAGCTAGCCCAGAGTTTTCCAAACTGTGTGTTGTGACACAGTAGTTAAAAGGTAAAGGACCCCTGGACGGTTAAGCCCAGTCAAAGGCAACTATGGGGTTTCAGCGCTCATCTTACTTTCAGGCCAAGGGAGCCGGCGTTTGTGCACAGACAGCTTTCTGAGTCATGTGGCCAGCAGGACTAAGCCGCTTCTGGCGAAACCAGAGCAGTGCACAGAAACACCGTTTACCTTCCCGCCGGAGCGGTACCTATTTATCTACTTGCACTTTGACGTGCTTTCGAACTGCTAGGTTGGCAGGAGCAGGGAACGAGCAACGGGAACTCACCCCGTCGCGGGGATTCGAACCGCCGACCTTCTGATTGGCAAGCCCTAGGCTCTGTGGTTTAACCCACAGTGCCACCCGCATCCCTGCAAAACTGAATTACTGTGTCGCAAAATGATGCCTGTCTAAAAGGTGTGTCACCAACATGAAAAGTTTGGAGAGCTCTGATCTAGGTCAACCCCCTGCTATGCAGGATCCATTTACAGGGATTGAGCCTGCAACCTTGCTGTTCTCAGCACCATGCTCTAACCAACTGAGCTATCAAGATGCAATCCGAACACTGAAATCAGCTGAGCACAGTTTGCAGGCTGTCTCCTGACACAGTGCGTGTGTTTCATGTGTCAGTGGCCAGGGTAAAGAGGTGCAGTCTTCAGCATAAGACGCAGTGCAACTAAGGTGTCAGAAGCGCCTCCCTGGGGAAGCATTCCTCAGCACAGGGGCTGCCAGAACAATTCAAATCAAGTCACAAGACTACGTTTTTTGAAATAACATTGGGAAATTTCCTTCCTCTCTGGTTCCCAAGCAGGGGGTGGGGGTGGGCAAGGTTATTCCACCCATCAAAAACCATCCACGAGTAAGAAACAGCACAGGAAGAGTGAGTGGGAAACTGAGCTATATTTGAGACTCACCAGAAGGGGGAGACAGCATCCACATCTTTGCTGGATTTCAAGAGGACCTTGCACTCTGTAACTGGAGAGAAGAGAAAGGATGTTTAGAGATTTACAGGGAGTCACTAGCCAGGTTCTCAGGCAGTGGGAACACCATACACTTAAAATAGACCTCCCAAAAAATAATATTTTTGTACGGGCTGCTGGGAATTGCAGCACTGTGAAGGGTAAACTACAGTCCGCATGATTCTTTTTGTTAAAGGTGCTGGAGATTGTAACTCTGCAAAGGAAAAACTACAGGTGCCAAGTTCCTTTTTGCAGAGGGTGCTGGGAACTGTAGTTTTGCAGGGAATAAACTACAGTTCCCAGAATTGGTTTTTTTGTGTGTGTGGCTATAAACCTATGCAGCCTTAGATTTCAGATGACGAACTTCAGCCAAGCAACAAGCGGGGGGAATAAAATATCCAGGGAAGGTTTGTGTATATTATTAAACCATGAGTGAGATTCACCACCCACAATTTGGAGAAGTTCAGAAAAAGGGCAACCCAGAATAATCACGGCTGTAACTAGGGAGGGGGAATCTAAAAAAGCTGGGCTTGAGTGTTTTAGGTCAATTATTAGTCCAGTTCTAATCTACTCTATTCTATGAATCGTAGAATTGGAAGGAAGCTTGTAGGTCATCTAGCTAAACCCTCTAGGAGAGTCCACAACTTCCCGTGGGAGTTGGTTCCCCTCTCTTCCTGCCAGAAAGTTCTTCCTGACGTTTAGTCATAATCTCCTTCCTTGATGTTCCTTTTTAACGTTGAAAAGGAACGTTTATGATGTTCGTTTTTAACCAGGCCTTTGGTCGACCTGATCGACATGCGATACCCTTCTAAAATGTGGCTCTTTTTGGGGGGTGGTTTTATTGGGTTATTGTTTTTATTTTGATTTTATATAGTGTGATCTTTTCTGTGAACCGCCCTGAGACCTCCAGGTGAAGGGTAGTATATAAATACCAACAAACAAATAAAATAATAAAATAATAAATAAATAAATAAATAAATAAATAAATAAAGGCTATTTTTCAGCTGGAACTAACAGGAACCCAATTTGCCATTCTAAGAGAAGAAGGGAGGCATTCACGGAGAGTTCTGGCACCTCTTTTTCTAGAAAAATAGCCCTGTTTAAATCCATCGGTTTGGATTTATTCCTAATTGCCCGCATAATCCTGGCAGAATAGAAAATCCATTTAAAAGGCGTCCGCTGGGTCTCTGTTGGCAGGGCATTGCACCAGACTGGGTCAATGGCACGAAAGGTTCCGTTTGCTGTTAGCTGGCTCCATTAATCACAGTGGGTTTACTCTGAGTCGGATGCAGCCCAGGGTCTTAGACCCCGTCCTCAAGAAGGCAAAAACATCTCTCAAACCCATTATCAGACTGGGGTGTGTGTGTGTGTGCTTGAGAGATATGTTCCTCTTGAGAGAGAACAACACACACACTTTCCCAGGACCAAAGTCTTCTCAGCTGACGCATGTGAAGTCACATGGCACTGGGACAGAGGCCATGGAGTGCAGAGAGATGGCAAGGAGCCAAGGCCATTCAGCACCCCCGCCAAATGCTTCCCGACCCAGTGACCCTCTCCCATACGCATATCGCGTTTCCGAAACCCCAGCTCATTTCATGGGGTGTGCCGCCGTCTGGAGGTTGCAGAGTGCAAACATCTGTCCCAGAATGGAAGATCTAAAGGGAAGCTAAGTTACACTGCACAGAGCATCCCATTCGGGGGAAGAGGCAGGTTTAGGAAATGTGGGCGGCAAAGTTCAGGCTGTTCTGAACTTCTTGTCCCAACATCCAAAGTCCTCCTGCAAGCAGCGCTGGCTTGTTTTCCGATTAAGTAAGAGGGTTGGCTTAAGCTGTTCCTCTTTTCTGCCCACCCCTGGAGCGTAAGAACATAAGAAGAGCCCTTGTGGCTCATCCGATCCAGAATCCTGTTCCCACAGGGGCCAAGCAGATGCCCCCAAGGGGAGTCAGCCAGCAGGATTTGAACACAAGACCAACCCTCCCCTCCTGTGGTTTCCAGGAACTGGTATTCAGAAGCATTGCTACTTGGCAGAGTAGAGTGATCCTCTCCTCCTTGTCTAATCCTCTTTTAAAGCCATCCAAATTGCTAACCATGACTGCTTCCTGTGGCAGGGAGTTCCGTAGTTTAACTATGCACTGCCTGAAGAAGGACTTTCTTGATTCTTCCAACCCTCAGCTTAGTCTATGAATTCTAGTATTATGAGAGAGGGAGGACAGCTTTCTTCTATTTGCTTTCTCTATGCAATGCATAAAAGGGATGCAGGAGGCGCTGTGGTCTAAACCACTGAGCCTAGGGCTTGCCGATCAGAAGGTCGGCAGTTCGAATCCCCGCGACGGGGTGAGCTCCCGTTGCTCGATCCCTGCCAACCTAGCAGTTTGAAAGCACGTCAAAGTGCAAGTAGATAAATAGGTACCACTGCAGCGGGAAGGTAAACGGCGTTTCTGTGCACTGCTCTGGTTTCGCCAGAAGCGGCTTAGTCATGTTGGCCACATGACCCGGAAAAACTGTCTGCGGACAAACGTCGGCTCCCTCGTCCAGTAAAACGAGATGAGCGCCGCAACCCCAGAGTCGTTCGCGACTGGACTTAACTGTCAGGGGTCCTTTACCTTTAATGCAATGCATAGTTTTATAAATATCCATCATGCCACCTCTTCCTGACCTAAAAAGTCCCAAACATTGTCATTTTTCTTTGCAAGTTGTCATTCCATCCCCTCGGTCATTTTCGTAAACCTTTTCCAATGCTGTAAAACGCTTTTTGAGGGGAGTTGACCAGGGAACAGTCACTCATTCTCTCTCACACACACACACATATAAACACACCCCAGCTAGGGAGCCCAGACCCTTTTGCAACACATAACGATGCTGCCTTCTAGCGCAGGAACATAGGATGCTGCTGTCTTATACAGAGCCAGACCCTTGGTCAATCAAACTCAGTATTGTCTGCACCGACCTGCAACAGCTTCTCCGGGGTTTCAGGTGGCGGGTCTTTTGCAGCCCTACCTGGAGATGCCGGCGCTATTGAGCCCTAAGATTCCAGTCCTCGTGGTTCTAAGCAAAGAGCTGATTTTAAAACGCCAGAGGATGCCCTCTACTAAGTCATACCACCGGTCCAGCAGGCTCTGGGTTTTTTGTTTGGGGATGCCTGGGATCGAATGTGGGCCCTTCTGCATGCCAAGCAGGGGCTCTGCCACCAGGCTACAGCTCCCTCTCCCAACAGGTCAGAAAGAAACCTTTTGCACATCCCCTTCTATGGGAAATCACTGGAGGGTGTTGGGGGAAATCGAACCTGATACAGTGGTACCTCGGGTTACATACGCTTCAGGTTACAGACGCTTCAGGTTACAGACTCCGCTAACCCAGAAATAGTACCTTGGGTTAAGAACTTTGCTTCAGGATGAGAACAGAAATCGTGCTCCGGCAGCGGGAGGCCCCATTAGCTAAAGTGGTGCTTCAGGTTAAGAACAGTTTCAGGTTAAGAACGGACCTCCGGAACGAATTAAGTACTTAACCCAAGGTACCACTGTATTAAGGGGATGCAGGTGGCTCTGTGGGTTAAACCACAGAGCCTAGGGCTTGCCGATCAGAAGGTCGGCAGTTCGAATCCCCGCGATGGGGTGAACTCCTGTTGCTCGGTCCCTGCTCCTGCCAACTTAGCAGTTCGAAAGCACGTCAAAGTGCAAGTAGATAAATAGGTACCGCTCTGGCGGGGAGGTAAACTGCGTTTCCGTGCACTGCTCTGGTTCGCCAGAAGCGGCTTAGTCATGCTGGCCACATGACCCGGAAGCTGTACGCCGGCTCCCTCGGCCAATAAAGCAAGATGAGCGCCGCAACCCCAGAGTCGGTCACGACTGGACCTAATGGTCAGGGGTCCCTTTACCTTTACCTTTACCACTGTATTACTAGACTGCAACACCCAGCATTATCCTTGCTGATCATTAGCCAGCTTAGCTGCTGAGGATGATGGGAGTCGGAGTCTGGCAACAGGGCACTAGGGCATCACATCAGCCAGCAGAAGCCTGATGCCTGATGGCAGCTCACCCCACCTTTAAAGATTCTTCCAGGCTAGAAGCCATTAGAAACCCTGCCGCCACCTAAGGGTGTCGTCCTCCTCAGCACCATCACCCTATCGCCATGGCAACGGGAAAAACGCCACTAGCCACAATGGCCAGGCTCCTCCTACCTGTTTGTGGCCTCCAAATAATACCAAGTGGGAAGAGTTTTGCTCTCGCCTTCAGGTCCTGCTTTTGGGTTTCCTGGAAGATGCATTGGGGCTGGCTGCTGTGAGAGAAAGATGCTGGGCCGGGTTCTGGCCTGATCCAGCAGCCAGCTGATGTTTGTTAGTGGGCTTTTTAGAGAAAGACAGGCCTCTCTCCCAGCTCTCAATTTCATCTCAGGGTATCAAAGCACAGGAAGACCAAAGCAGCCCTATTTGATCAGCCTGCATCTTCACTGTTGTCCAATGGGAATCCCTGACGAGAAAGCAAGAGCCCACCCCCTCCAAGCACTTGACGCTGAAAGGTAGACTGCCTCTGCAGCTGGAGGCTTCAATTGGCGATTCCACCCAACCGCCCTTAACAAGAGGGGTCCTGACCTCCGCGATAGCCTAATGGAAGACCGCTGCTGAGCAGGTGCAAAGTGCCCTTTCTGATTCCCTCTTTCCTGATGGGGGGGGCCGCATTGGCAGCAACATCCTTCTTCCCTCTCTCCCTCCTCCAGGAGATTTGGAGGAGCGTGGGGGGCCCTCTCACAGCGATGCCCAACTAAGGTGGCTGCCGCTGCTGCTACTCTCCGGGGCGCTTCTGGAGGCAGCCTCCGTCCTTCCCCCAACGGTGCATCCAGGGGGTGTGTATCACCGTAAAGTGCGCCAACTAGCAGGCCAGGACTGGAGCTACGACGCGTCTCTCCAAAAGCGCCCAGCGATGCGCCCAGGGCGCACGGAGCCACGCGTCACCGCGTTTGCCTTGCGCCCATCCCCAGGAGACGATTCCCGGCGGAAGGGCCGTAGCTCAGTGATTCAAGGGCCGTAGCTCAGTGATTCAATCCCCGGGTTCAATCCCCGCTGCCATCTCCAGACGGGAGAGACAGATTCCTGCCTGAAATCCTGGACAGCTACTGCCGGCCAGTGTAAAGTCTGTGCAGACAATATTGAGCTAGCTGGACAAGGGTCTGGCAGCTATTCTGTGTGTTCTCCTCTCGGACGCACACAGAATCCTAGTCGAGTTGGAAGGGACCCAAGGGTCATCTAGTCCAACCCCCAGCCACGCAGGAATCAAAGTGGGGCTCGAACGCACGAGCCGGAGATTAAGCGTCTCCTGCTTTACCGACTGAGCTTCTGAGTAAAGGGGTCGAAGCTCCGGCGCGCACTCACTCACCAACTCGAATCCGGTGCGACGCCGCTTTCACCCTCTCCGAGAGCTGCTGATGCGGTCCAACGCTGCGGCTGCTGCTTATATGTTGCGCATCTCTCTCCTCCTCCCCCCCCCTTCCCCAGATCCAGAAAAATTCCACAGGAAGGGGCGTGGCTAGGGTAGGCACCCTTTCACACACACCCCTCGTCTGTCTCCCTCGCCTCTGGACTGCACCCCGAGAGGTCCATGCCCGCGGCACCACGCGCCCCTCCTGCCGCCTTTCAAGCGGAGACGGAGGGAGACGCGGAGGGAGGGAGGATTAAAGAAAGACCCCTTGCCAAAGTGCTCTGATCCACTTCCTTCCTTTGCATAATATGCAAATGAGTTGTTGATGCTGTTAATCACGTGGAACACGCACACCCCTTTCGTAGGCGCTGCAGCTTGGAAAGGACAAGAAGGCGAGATGCGTTTGTTTGGTTTTTCCACTGGCGTGGAAGCCCCCAAAGGACTGTAAGGAACATCGAGCCGGTTCTATGCTGGTCAGGAGCCGGAGGACACCGGCCCAGCCCTGTACGCCTTCCCGGGAGTAAAGCTCTCCGCACCACCCACCCCCGCTCTGTTCGCTCCTCCCGGCGTGCGTAATCTCCAGAGCGGTGCCCATCAGATGGCGGCAACTGGGAGCTATGGGAGCCGTAGTCCGCTTGGCTGACGAAGGCTGAGCTGCGCGGTCGACTTATTTGCCTCTCTCCCCCGCCCCCGCCAGCCCAACTGCGCTGCCGCTTTAAAAAAACAATCTGGGCAAGGAAGTCGCTGACAATCATTCCCGGTTCTGCTGGTTGCCTCCGGCTTCATTACTATGCAGAGCAGATCCATCCAAATGACCAGATCTAAGTTAGCTTCCATTCCTGGATCGCAGGGGGTTAGACTAGATGACTTCGGAGGACCCTTGCAATGCTACAATGCAATGATTTACTGGAGCCATTTGTCAGGGATTCTTGAGCTGTGATTCCTGAATTGCAGGGGTTGGACTAGAATATTATTATTATTGGTAAAGGTAAAGGGACCCCTGACCATTAGGTCCAGTCACGAACGACTCTGGGATTGTGGCGCTCATCTCGCTTTATTGGCCAAGGGAGCCGGCGTACAGCTTCATGTGGCCAGCATGACTAAGACGCTTCTGGCAAACCAGAGCAGCGCACGGAAGCGCCATTTACCTTCCCGCCGGAGCGGTACCTATTTATCTACTTGCACTTTGACGTGCTTTTGAACTGCTAGGTTGGCAGGAGCAGAGACCGAGCAACGGCAGCTCACCCCGTCACGGGGATTCGAACCGCCGACCTTCTGATCGGCAAGCCCTAGGCTCTGTAGTTTAACCCACAGTGCCACCCGCGTCCCTCATTATTATTACTATATTTATTATATTTATTTATACATACCCTGTCCATCTGGCTGGGTTTCCCCAGCCACTCTAGGCGGCTCCCAACAGAATATTAAAAACAGAATACAACATCAAACACTTCCCTATACACTTGGGATGTAACCTTCCAGCTCTACAGTTCTGCAATTAATTCCAAGAGGCCTACTCTGAATTGGAACTGTAAACAAGGGTTACAATCCTGTGTGAGTTGGCGCTATTTCCACCCACTGTCTTGAATAGTTCTACATCTGACTTCGATCCCACTCTAAATAATCATCATAATAAGCTACTAGTGGTGTTTCTCTACCCTCTCAGAACATAAAACTATTCTTCCCCACCCCCACATACACAAAGTCTCTCCTCTGCTGCTGTTTCTGCTCCCAGAGACCTGTATTAATGTACTGTACCCTGGTTGGATGGAGCAAAGCTGCCTTCTTACTCCACGGCCAAATGCACTCTAAGCCCTCCTGGCATCCATTCAGTAGCTGGCATTTCACGGCCTTGCGCTGGCATCATGCCCGGCTCCTGGACTTTTGCCCTGGTACAACAGCAGGACCCCATCTCCCCGCAAGGCTGTCCTTCCCCTGTTTACCAAAGAGGGAATTGACACATTTAAAAACACTTCTGTGTTCCAACAAGTCTATCTGGGACACAGTTTTAGTCTGGTGGCTCCTAAAGTGGGCAGCAGCAACACGGGGGTGGGGTGGGGTGGGGTGTTTGGCTTACCCAAGGGGGTGCTAAGAGGCAAGGAGGGGCAATATATGGGGGGCACTGGAGGTGTCAATGACCATCAGACTTCAAAAAACTGGCATCGGTGGAGCAAGTTCATCCATTTTGCTGAAGCAATTGAACTACAGTGGTACCTCGGGTTACATACGCTTCAGGTTACATACGCTTCAGGTTACAGACTCCGCTAACCCAGAAATAGTGCTTCAGGTTAAGAACTTTGCTTCAGGAAGAGGACTATTGTATTGATGAAAACTAAGAGGTGAAGGTTTATAAAATGCAATATAAAATTAGGAAATGCGTTTTTAAAAATTTGAATAATGGATGATTGTCAGAGAGGTTGAAGGAAGTCAAAAAGGGAAAATATGTGACAAATTTAGATTGGATATTATAAATGTATGTTGGAAAATTTAATTTAAAAATATTTTTTTAAAAAAGAACTTTGCTTCAGGATGAGAACAGAAATCATGCAGCGGCACAGCAGCAGCAGGAGGCCCCATTAGCTAAAGTGGTGCTTCAGGTTAAGAACAGACCTCCAGAACGAATTAAGTTCTTAACCCGAGGTACCACTGTAAACTTTTAAAAAAAAATGGGATTATGAATTGATGTGCAATTGTTGCCATTTTGAATTTTTCTCATGTTATTATCTCCCT